CTCACTCAGTATAATAACCATTGCTACAGTCTATATTATAGACTGCCAGTACACTCAGCAAACCTAATAACCAGGCTACAGTCTACATTATAGACTGCCAGTACGCTCAGCAAACCTAATAACCAGGCTACAGTCTACATTATAGACTGCCAGTATGCTCACCGAGGTTAAGAACCAGGCTACAGTCTACATTAGTGCTTTTAGTTTTTTTTTATAATTTAGAATTTTGTTCACTTTATTTGTATTATTTTTACGGATGTATCTTTGTCTTAACCCCTCCCAGCTTTATCATGATTTGCGCTATCAGTGTCAAGTTATGAAATTAAGTTCCCAACTAGAAGTCTCGTAGAGCCCCCAACTGTGTTCGAGATTGGTCCACTGCAGTGGATACCACAGAGCTACAGCTGAGACACGCTCACCTGTGGCTACCGGTGGTGCACACGTGACGGGCGGCAACTCTCCCCCCGTCCACAGAGAGTCGTGTTCGTCGCATGACGGCGAAACCGATATTTTGAATTCTCAAGAGCTGGAATTTTGTCCGTTCGTGCAGTCAGTGGTGAACGGGCTGAGACTACAAACTCGCTGCAGTCAAGAACACGGTTCAAATCACAGACGGGCGTAACGTGGATTCAAACCCAGGACTTCGGTAGTGGCAGCAAAACATCTCAGACCTCTGAGCCACCCGGCCACTTGTGTTCCAGTGGTGAGGTTGCGTTGGCGTGGAAAGCGTTTATAATCCAATGCAATCTAATGTCACCTAAATGGGCAACGCAGCAGCCCAGCTGACCGTATCACTGCAGTCCCACTAGACTGACGAGAAACACTGTTGAGGCCCTTATTTGGAGCAGTGTCAGATTAAACTGTGGAGGCGGGAGATTAGTGATGGGGAGGGAGATGGTTTTCAATTTACAGGAAGGTAAAAGCTCCCCCCCCCCTCCAGAACTCATGCTGCCTTCTGAACCAATGCTGTTTGCAAGCTCCTCTTAACACTCTTAAGTGTCTTGCATGCAGCGAGGCCAGGAACATGATATTTTTTTCTAAGCTAGATTTTTTTTCATTTTACCAAGTTAGGCCCAACGAGCCATATATAGTTATTTTTCCGAAGCGACTTGGCCACAAATGATAGCTCAAAGAAGTGGCTCATCGTGGACATTTATAGCAACTAAATACTCTAAACGCATGTCGATTTCTAAAGGTGGGAAAAACTGGGTGACCTGGAGAAAAACCCATGCAACCACGGGGAGAACATACAAGCTTCAAAATATACAGCAGGCATCAAGGTCGGGATCAAACCCATGACCTCCTGTATACCAGGCGAGGTAGTTAACATTGCCTGGTATACAGGCGCCATGTAAACCAATCGTCACGACCGCACCGATGCAGAAGGTGATACTGATATTTTAGGCCCAGTACACCGAGGAGAGGTTCCAAGCTGGATTACAAAACCAGTGTGTATTGTTTAGAAGCTCCACAATGAAGGTTCCCGGCATTGTGACTCTACCGGGAACTTTTGCCTTTTGGAGTTTAAAAAACAACAGCCTCAACTTCCACTTTCAGACTACGTCTCTCTTTTGGTGAGCATAGCAATGGAGTAGCTATCGAGTGTGCAGCAGAGGTCGCAAACTGGTTTTGATTCGTTACCCGTACCCGGCCGCACCAGGGTCGCAAATGGGTACCCGTACCCGTACCCGGCCGGGTACGGGTAGCCGTTCCTTACCCGTACCCTACCCGTACCCTACCCGAAATGAGTGACAAACGGCTACTCATCAGTGACTCACGGCCTACCCGTACCCGTACCCGGCCGCACCAGGGTCGCAAACGGCTACCCATACCCGGCCGGGTATCGGGTAGGGTACGGGTATCGGGTACCTGGTTGCGACCTCTGGTGTGCAGGCGGTACAAGGGGATGGGGGGGGGGGTGAGAGGGAACTTCCATGCGACGGTCTGCTCGAGTCAGCTGTTCACCACGATGTGATGCTTCAGCAATTTCGGTCCGGTAACAACTACACTCCCTACAGCAACCTCCACTGCACTCGTAGTAAATCTGGGGGACGCGGGTGCCCGACCTCTGAGTGTCAGTGGCAGCGGCCAGCCTCTGCTGTGCGTGTGTCAAGCGACATTCTGGACAAAACTTGCAAACGCGAGACGTTACAATACCCCCCCACCCCCCTTACATTTTTCTGGTGAAATCTTAAAAAAAAAAAATCCTCTGGCTTATCTCGGTATGAGATAGGCCTCCAACTACAATTTTATTGGCGCTCTCACTACAAAATCACACGGGAAATGTTTAACAATCATCAGGCATGGGCAGTGTGTAAAAATACAACTTGCGTGTAAACGTAGAAGATTGGCAAGCGTGGCTGGGTGGACAACGGTGGGTTGAGACGACAGTAGATCGGCCAAACGCCGTATTAATCATGCGCCGCCAATAAACACGTTTTATTTAGCATCATCGGATCGCAGCCAAAAGTGCCGTCATCACGGTTGTTGTTGTCACGATTCGAAAGACTTGCCTACGGGCCACACCTTGGCAGAGGCACTCAAATACCTTCAACGCTAATTAACATAATAAAAAAAGGGGCACACGTTACGCCGCGGCCGAAAAGAAAAAGCTCCAACATCGTCGCTGCTTCATGCACGTGCTTCTTCAGGTCTGCCAATCGACACCGCTCCACCTACAGCTTGGTAAGGTGCCAACGGATGAGCGCAGTAGGGGCAAGAATGTACGTAGCGCCTCCGATCAAGTGACATGGAATGCAACCGATCCCCATGATATTTCAGCCGCTCCAAGCAGGGCTTGGATGGCCGATGACCATCATGGATAATAAACACAGGGGGCTGTGTGTGGTGGTGGCCAGCAAAAAGGCAGTGCAGCCAAGTCCACTGTTGTACTTTACTTCTATGCTCCCAGATCTACAGTCCCCTACCAACCCCACTGCCCCTCACAAACCCACGCTGACCAGCGCGGTCAAACGTCAAACTCGCCCCCCCACGACTCGCATGGCGTGCGAAGGCTGTCATCCAGTAGTGGAGTGACAAAATGGTCTTTACATGTATTCATCTACACTTCATAGTAAATGGGGGGTGGTTTGGGTTATATCATGGAAATATGAATGTGTCGTTAAACCCGCCACCACCTGACACAACCAATAAGTAAGGTTCGTCACGTAAACAAAACGCAGGTACCATTGGTCGTGAAAGGGGTCGTGTTATACTCTACACTCTTGAAGAGAACCGATCCAGTGCTTGGCTCTTGAGGCTCTGAGTTTAACAATCCGCACTCCTGCAGACAATGTGCCTCAGAAACCTTTTCAAAGGTACACACTTTAAAAGCCACCGCCATAAGCTATTCCCGTATAATGTCGAGGCGTGTTAGCTTAGCGACTGGTTGCGCTAAATACGTTCATCAATCAAAGTCCTTTATTCAGACGAGGGCCTGGATAAAGAAGTTAAGGACACGTCCATTTTGGAAGGATAGTTATTGACTTAGGTTCAAAGTAAGTTTGTTATTATATAGAAATATTAAGAGCACGGATGCTGCGGTGTAATGGTTAGCACTCCGGATTAACAATCCAGGGGTTGGAGGTTCAATTCGATCTCCCGGCGTGGCAGTTAAAACAACGGTGAAAGTTTATTCAATTCATCTTGCACGGTCGACCCAATGGTATACACGGGCTCACCATGGTTAGGTCAAGCGGGGTATTTTTCTTTTACAAGGTAAGGTCCCACTGAGCTATGTAGCGCTTTTTCAGAAGCGACTTGGCCACAAACGATAGCTCAACAAAGTGGCTTGTCACGTGGATATTTATAGCAGCCAAATACTCTAAACGAAAGGTGTATGTTTCGATTTAAAGCTTTCGTGACTGCAAGGATTCATCTTCTAGGTTCTTTCGGTAAAATCACGTAGAAGGGAAATAATAAAATAATAAAAATTTAACATAATAAAATACAATTCTCACGACGTTTCGGCCACAACGCAAGCAGCATTGAGATGCTGTCTTTCCGACTGACCTGTTCTTCACCTGAGGACGGCAGCTTGCGTTGTGGCCGAAACATCGTGAGAATTGTATTTTCTTATGTTTTATTATTATTTTATTATTTCTCTTCTACGTGACTTTACCGAAAGAAGCAAGAAGATGAAAGGTGTATGGTCGGTTAATTTGTGAATATTGCACCGGTTAAGTGGTTTCATGAAAAGCTGCCAAGTGTCCTGGCTTGGCCAGGAGAGCGTCTATGGTTTCAGAAAGGTCGAGCCGGTTATCCCAAAGCATTTGCAAAATTCCGAATTTTGTCCAAGTTTTTTATTTCCTGGCCTCATGCACAACTCGCGATATGAACAAAGCACGGGGCTACTCGAGCAGTCGGTGGGGCCTACGGGCAGGTGTGTGCCTATCAAATCACCGTGTTCGGGGCTAGTGATTGAGTGACCAAGGAAGGTGCAACCAGAAGCACCACGTGTCCCGGTTGAACCGTCAAGACGTGCGACAGCTTCGTCTTAACATGCCGAGCTACAAGACTACGAACACAGGAGGCAAGCGTTAGGCCTGCGTAGGCGTTCGGGATGAGCGATGGCGAGGACGAGAAAAATACACAGGGTGACTTTTGTACCCACGCAACAAGTGCCGCCACTTACATCAGCATCCACCCGTGTCGATGTTTCTCAAGATATAGATAGGCTACAGCGTGACTCCGCAGCCACATGACACCACTCAGGACAGCGGTAACCAAATACACACGGTCCGGTCCACCCACCCCTCCCAATGAGCCCGAAGTCAGTGAATTTGTTTAAAGTGGGGCAGCAATACAAAATATTCGGGTGGGAATCACGGGACAGTCAATGTTATATAAACTTTAAAACAAATGCAATCGGAAGGTTTTTAAAATCAAAATCTTGGTTGGGGGGTTGACTCAGCCCTTCATCCCTCCCCGGTTGATAAAATAACAAGGACCACGTGGGGAGAGGACCACGTGGGGAGAGGACCACGTGGGGAGGGGCTCACCGAGTAGTTTTTGGTGTTGATCTTCACGCCGGCCTTCGCACCTCCAAACGGCACATCTGAAACGACACGCCGAGAAGAACATTTAGATTTTGATATTTCGGCAAGGGATAGAAGAAATAATTAGTAGTGCACGCACGAGAGAGAGGGGAATGAGAGACTCCAAACCGATCCGTTAGTTTAAAAATCGGGCCACGGGGCCCGTTGAGACACGCGCAAACACCGGCCACGATCGCAACGCGATGCTCGTGTCACCATCCGACATGGCGCGGTGAGTAAAGGCACACGACACGACAACAGGAATACAGAGATTAATACGACAAGAAATGTCAAGAAATTAAATAAAAATCATTCTCTCGTTCATATGGCTCATGCCGAGGTAGCGCAACAACTACAATTTCACATGCGGGTGGTCAAGCCAAACAACCGCATCAGGAGCAGCCGAGTAGTGTATCATCGCTGTGATGTCTCCTTGATATTTGTGGATCGGCACTGCGTCATTCTACGCTGTACGGTCTCTGTTCTGGATGACCAGTCGTACACTGCAGAGTACACAGGATTAAAATCAGTATCAAGTGAAATCTATAGGACATAAATTTCCAATGAAATCCCCTTCAAATGAGATATAGGAGCCGGTTTAAAAAGCACTTAGTCATATTGACCAATCAATGAGTCGGTTTGCCCATTAAATACTTCATGTATTTAACACTGGGGTTTCCAGTCACCACATTACGTTGGGAGTCAGTGGAAATGACAGAAGCCCAGTCGGATCCAACGACACAGTGCGTCGTGTTTCGAGCTCATGCATCGTGCCCACGTGTTCGGCTTCATTGTAAATAACCAAACACGTGGGTACATGACGAATAGGAGCATCCAATACTCTGTAAAGCCAGGGGAGTAAACCCAATCACACTTTGCCTCGCAGTCCGAATTAACCAACAACAACCCCAGCGCGCTCCAAGTAAAAAAGGTACGAAATGCATTCCAACGTTCCACATCCGCCCCTGAACAATTAACTGCCCACATCAAGTGCTTTATTTGTGCATGGTGGTGGTGCAACTCAGTTTCTCTAGATTATTGCATAGCCGACCTTTTCATATATCCGCCTATACCTCAGACCCCAGCCAGCCGGATGTGTGACGTACTACACAACGGATTAAAACTACACTGTCACCCGCCTAGTATATCCGTGACCGGGGAGATTTTTTTTTTTTTAAACGTAAAGGAGATGCAACGGTTGTTCTCTGTGCAATGTTGGAAGAACAATTTTACACATCTAAGAATTTTACTCGTGGGACAAATTCCAAACAGGATGAGAAAGTTTATTATTCCAAAGAATGTTTATTTAGACCGGAGGAATTAAAGGCGGTCACCGTATCGCACGCTTTCAGATGAGCTTCTGCGGCCGTCTGGAACGCTCTTCCTTCTGGTAATAGGAACCCACTTTAGAACTGATTTGTGTTTCGTTTTTGGCCTTCCCACGTACCTATGATTAATACGGTTGGCTACGTATGGTGCAAAAGTAGTTCAACATACATTCTAACAGCATTTCCTCCAACAGTGCCATGTCACAAGGGACATGTTTACCATTCAAACACATGCAGAGGTAACAATTGCATCTGGTAAAGACCAAGAGGTACCATTGTTGTTTACGAGGACTGGAAGTTTGGGAGCAATGCCCTGATGCTTTAACGCACGGATATTCACAGAGCCGATCAGACGTTCAGTCGATGCACTTGGGGGCACAGCAATTACCAAGCAAGCCGCTAATAAAACGCACGACCTCGACCAGTTTGACATCCCTACGCAGCGGTGACAGGGAGAGGCAGAGATGGGAGAGGCAGAGGTGGGAGAGGCAGAGGGGGACAGGCAGAGGGGGACAGGCAGAGGTGGGAGAGGCAGAGGGGGGAGAGGCAGAGGGGGGACAGGCAGAGGTGGGAGAGGCAGAGGTGGGAGAGGCAGAGGGGGACAGGCAGAGGTGGGAGAGGCAGAGGGGGGAGAGGCAGAGGGGGGAGAGGCAGAGGTGGGAGAGGCAGAGGGGGGAGAGGCAGAGGTGGGAGAGGCAGAGGGGGGAGAGGCAGAGGTGGGAGAGGCAGAGGTGGGAGAGGCAGGGGGGAGAGGCACGTGTGGGGGGGGGGGGAGTCGAGAGTTGGCAGCAGATAGAGAGGAAATGGCACTCGAGTGCACGGGACACCATTGCATTTCTCGAAGCCGCACGAGGAAGATTGGCAACCAAGGTGGTACAGTAACGCCGAGGACGTATCGGTGTCACTGCAGGACTCCCCGTCCGCCTGCGTGTCGGTGTGGATGTGTGGGGAGCGGTGGCGCAGAGGTTAGCGCGCTGCGGGACGAACACGGCGACTAGAGTTCGATTCCCGCTCACGGTCACCAACATCGGTGACGATTATCTGAACCGGTCCCGGGCCTCACTTAGGTCGACTCGGCCTCAAATGGAGTAGCTGGTGCGGTGGTTGTAAACATCGCCACTGGGCAGACAAAGGCAACCGGGTGAGGTGCTGCCTAACCCACCCCCTCGTGTGTTGTGCCGGCCTTAATAGGTGCTCGCTAACAGCACAGCACGCTGCACCATGAAATGGGGATTGCAGTGGTTACGTGCTACGCTATGAAGCTGCTAACCTGAGTTTGATTCCCGGCCATGGCTAAAATCAGTACTACGTGATATCCAAACCAGTCCTGGGCCAGCCCAACAAGTTAACAAACGAACGTCAGTGACGGGCGATATCCAAACCGGTCTTAAACCCCCCCCCACTCCCTTTCTCCCCTAGTCTACTTCGCAAACCTGAACTGACCAGCGTGATGCAGCAGGGTCAGAAAAACGACCACGAAGGACAAATGGGCACGTTACGAAACACCGGCACACATCACTTTCTTGATCTTCGTCTCTGGCCCCAATCTCCCATCTCTCACCGCTGACGCATAGCACCACCAGTGCCACCACCACCCACCCCACCAGCCCACACATACTCTTCCCACCCGTCCTCCCCCTCCTCGCGATGACTTACCTACAACGGCGCACTTGTACGTCATCAGAGATGCCAGAGCCTTCACTTCATCCACGCTCACCTCTTCGCTGTACCGTATCCCTGTGGAAGAGAAACAGGCGGACGTCAGCGAGTGACATCATGACGGTGGGAACAAACGCGCGCCTGCGAGCCAGTGAGTCGGAGGAAAGGTCTCGTGGAAATTATTATTTAAACGTAAAAAATATTTTACCAGGTAAGGCCCAACGGAGCTATACAGCTGTTTCAGAAGCGACCTGGCCACAAATTATATCTCAACGGAGTGGCTCATCATCACGTGGACATTTATAGCGGCCAAACACTCTAAAACGCGTGATGTTGATTCTAAAATGTGGAGGGAAAAACCGGAGGACCCGGATAAAAATCCACGTGACCATAGGGAGAGAGACACGCAAACTCCAAATATACAGCAGGCGTCAGTGGTCGGGATCGAACCCCATTAACTCCTGCATACCAGGCGAAGGCGTTAACATCTCGCCACTGCGGGAGTGCTACAATGGTGAGATGTTTTTTTGGGACCGCCCAAGCCCCCACCCCCCCCCCCCTTTAAATGTATAAACCGAAAGAGATGACAAGCGATCTAGACGAGAAACACGGATGCTGCGATATGAGAGAATTATGGAGGTGGAATGAGATGAGAATCCAGAGGCAACCATTAAGCTACTTGGGGACCCAAAGCTTTTGCTTAAATTTATTTATTAATTTATTTATATTATTACTTCTATTAATTTTATTCTTATTTTTTACCGACGTGACTTTACCGAAAAAGCCTAAGAGTATCTTCTTTTAGACGCTGTCGCCTCGACAGACCTGGTCTTCGCCTGAGGACGGCTGCTTGTGTTGTGGCCGAAACGTCGTGAGAATTATTTTATTTATGTTTTATTTTTATTATTTTATTACTTCCCTTCTACGTGACTTTACCGATAGAACCAAGAAGCTTTTGCTTAGTTTCCTTATGCCTTCCACCACCACGGGTTGGTGGACCATGCACAGATTTGTACAACTCCCAAACCTCCCAACCCCACCGGGCTGCGAGCTGATCACGTGAAAGTACAGAACATGGGCTCGTGTACCACCCATCTTTGCGGACCGGAGTGTTGTGCCTTTGAGCTATGCCTTCGAACGTGTGGTTTTCTCAGGAGATGAAACTCAATCAAATGGACATTGCCAAACATCCAAATACAGGTCCCTTTTGAAGAGAGTGGCGGGGGCTTTCCTGGAAAAATAAACGACATAATTATTATTACCACCACATTTGCCAATTACTACATGTTATTAAATAACTAAGTAGCAAATAAATCCTGTAACATTGTTGACGTTGCGGCTGTGATCGTGTGGAAATAATTGAGCAGAGTGTAAGCATCCCCCCCTCGCCCCCTATCTTATTTCACGGGTCTCATTCTGCAGGACGTTAGCGGTAACGAGGGGATGGCACGAGATCCCGCTGGAGTTAATCTCTCACCATCAGCTGTACATAAATCTAAATACTCATTTGCAGCCGTTTGTACATATTGAAATGCCGATCGGAGGTGCGGAAAAGTGGGGGGGGGGGGGGTGTAGAGCAGACACTTTGGCGGTGCAGCTGCCAAGTGTGCAGGCGGTGCAACTGCAATGCGGCACACAGAGCAGTGGCCCAGATCCTGGGCTATGTAAAGAGGGGGGGGGGCATGGTACAACCCCCCTCCCCCCCCACCCCACATGCTGCATCGGTCCCAAATGGTCAACTCGCTGATGGATGAAGACCTCCCCCCCCCCCCCCTTTGTATCGGAGCCAAAGCCAACATCGTTGAGAGTCTGCCAAGCAAGTGAATCGATAGACGTGCATTACGAGTTGGCGGAAAGCCTTTTTGGCTTCCTGTGAGGACAATAAGGAAAACAACAGAATTGGAGGGGGGGGGGGTGCGAAGGGAAAGATTTCAAAACCAAAACAAAGACTGCAGCAGCTTGGCAGTTAGGGGGCGATTTCGCAAATGTGCTGCCACAAGCTCCGTCTCCTAGGCGGACGTCCTCAATCGGATGCCGTTCTATTCCGTGGCCGCCAGTCCTTCATTTGTCTTGACAAAATCGGGGCCATCAACCCCTTCTAGCGACGTGTCCTGCCGCGTGAGCCAACTTACTTTTTTCTTCAGGGTTTCCACGATGTCATCAACCCTAACCCCGCGAGTTCCTCCTTGTGTCCACTCAATTAAATTCCAAGCGTGCTGCGTCCGTCTACAATGCACATCTGCGCACCGTTCCGATTTTCTTAATTTTTTCGTAAATTGCCACATTTCTGAACCACGTCGAAAACCACCACATTTGTCACTTTTCCACCTCCCACCCAACATCGATGGACGATGCCCCTGCAGGCGACAACATCAGACCTCTACCGTTGAACCCCAGGGGCCAGGGGCAATAAATTCCAAAAACTTCGCTTGCCACAACCTGCCCGGGTTGCGAGCGCACCTTTGACCCCTAAGGGCTTCGATGTGAATTCAAAAAAACTCCCAACTTCCGCATGGACGCGACGTCATTTTGTAAACCTTCTGCGCTAAGAGTCGCCCTCTGAACACGTTGAACACACGCGTTACGCGTGCGTGCCCGTGACCCCGGAAAATGATGGAAGGTCTACGAGGGGGAAAAACGTCCCTTTACTTAATAATTAATGAGAACAAATCTGCATTCACAGCAAAGCGCTGGGAAGCTCAGTGTGGTGGCAGCGGTGGGGTGGCCGTGCCTGCGAAGTCGTGACCCAGCGCGAGCAATCGTGGGTCACGTCGAGATTCACAGATCTCACAAACCCGCTAACGCTAAATCTAGGATTGAAAACTCATTTCTTTACAACTGCCTTTTCGTGTATAGTTTGTTGTCGTGCCCGCACCTCCCATTAGCACGGTTAGCTACGTACGGCGCGAAAACATTTCAATCTGCATACCCCTCCATCCTGTCTCTCCTCTCAACCACCACATGAAATACATGATTTTGATGTGGTTTAAAAAGAGATGGGGGAAGTGTGTCTTTGTTATTTGTAATTAATTTATTTTTGGTGGACAAATATGACTTTCAACACCTTTTTTAAATCACCTGTATATTTAACTCCTTTCTTTCACATCGTATGTATCCAACCGTGCTAATGGGAGGTGCCGGAAAATCTGAGCCGCACTGTTACCAGTTTATTTACGGTCTCAACAAGCAAAGTGGCTGTTAAGGTTAACAGTATCTCAATTTCAAAAACAGACCTGTTATACAACTCTTATGTAATGTTACAAGTGGCTTTAAATTTTTGTCCTAATAGCAATCTAACGCGTGCGCGCGCGTGCAAGATCGCATGCTGTTAACCACCCACTTATAAATTCCGATTTAAAGCTTTCATGACTGCAGGGATTCATCTTCTTGGTTCTTTCGGTAAAGTCACGTAGAAGGGAGATAATAAAATAATAAAAATAAAACATAATAAAATAATACAATTCTCACGACGTTACGGCCACAACGCAAGCAGCCGTCCTCAGGTGAAGAACAGGTCTGTCGGAAAGACAGCGTCTGAATGAGCACCACCAGGCTTGGCAGCGTACTTATACTCGTTTGCCAAGTGCCTCAGAGTCACTAGCAAAAAGAAGACATAGGTGCTATTTCTTATTGAAAATAAAAACATTCATTCGTGTTGTTATTTTGCGTTGTCAGGCAGGCACATCCACCCAGCAGTGGAACGCTGCCGCGGCACGATGGTCAGTCAGCACGCTGGACTTGCAATAGGCCACCTTTCGATGCGATCTCCCGGCACGCCAGTGAAGGGGCCATCCATTTAGCGCGTACGCATGGAGGGGGGTAACCCAAATGTGTTCGCTTGAGTATAGGGGGGGGTCTACTGACAATGTACGCTTAGGAAACGGGGAGGCGGGGGGGGTGAAGTCTCGATAATAATTTGTCGACATTGGCCTTCAAATGAGTTAGCTAGTCCTGCGGTGGACTGTTTGCTTCAACACGTGAATATTATTCATCCTTGATCGTTTCTGCGTGGATTCAATATCGGCCGTTCTATAGAATTGGTGGGGGGGGGGGTGTAAGAAGTCCGCGTGCGTACAGGGAGGGGGGGAAGGGTCAAGTTGACAGATTTTTGAGTTCCTACTAAATGGATGGCCCCTAAAACAACGGTGCAGAGGTTTCGTCATCGCCGCCTCTGTTCATTTACGCCACGGTAAATGGGGGGAAGTGTGTGGATACGAAGTACTACCTCTTTACTACCTCGTCCAGGAAGTCTAGCCAGCGTAGAAGAGTAGGCCAAAAAACACTCGAGTGTGACTCAATAAATCTCTCAAGTCGAGGTTCTTCCGATAGCAGCGGCCCGAGCAAGCAATTGCAGCGCTGCGCCTCCTTCGGCTTACGTACAGAGCATTAATACTGGTAGGAACCTCCTGGTTACACCAGCCCACAGAGGATTATTGTGTCCGTTCGTCGTGCATCCAGAAATGGGAGTGGAGGGGCTGGGTGGGGAGGGGCTGGTCACCCCGTGGTGCCCTTATAAAACTCAACGTTTAAACTACTCACGCCGGCTTGTGCCCGCCCTCACAGTCGGGCATATTTGCGGAATACACCACGCCGCCGTTGACCCTGGCCATTGACCGAGCAACCCAACGTTCCTACCAGCTCCCTCCGCAGCAGGAATATGTTAGACTATCATCTGACGTCGCTTTTTTTTAAAGTCAATCCAACCCTTCCAGTTTAAACAAGGAACCTCCGGGGAAGACAGCAGTCACGTCAGCTGTAGTTTGTTCAGCCGGGTAACAACTCAAAAGACCAGGAAGCGAGGGCCTTCATTTTGCAAGAGGCCGCTTCACTTAATAGAAATGACAAACACAAAAACGTGACCGACGGTGACATTCGTTTCCTGCTTTTGGGGGAGACCATCAGAATTCCCTGTCGTACAGTGAGGCCCGCGTGTTCCAAGTCTATAAACGGAGGGGTTGGGGTTGAGCTCAGGGTTACATAAGATTCATCGTCAGCAGCAGCAGCAGCTGGCGATGCTGCTTGTCCACAGAGAGAATGAATGCCTCTTAAGAAAGACGGTACAGTAACAAGATATGTTAAGGCACCTTATTATTTTGGGACAGCGTTTGATTTGTCATGCGACGTGGGTTCTGCTCTGCTCGGATTTCTCCTTTGCTGCACTCTATTTAGTTTGTACCAATTTTGCCATGTTTTGCTCTTGTGACAATTAATACTATCCATTGTATATCTTAAGGGTGCCCTCATACGGTTAAATAAAATAAACTCTAACACGCACGCACGTATCATCCCGTCTCTCTCACAGCGCTTAATTTATTTCCAGAACGCTGTTGATCTGGCTTCATGGTATTTACGGCATAAGGCACTAACACTCGAGTCGAAGGTGCAGTATGAATATCCATGATGATACTGTACTCGAGTCCTGTATTATTATTAATAATAATTTGCACAGACCCTACGCTGCATTCATCCTGTGAACAGGATCACGAGGCCACGATCAGAGTATTGAGAGGACAAAAATACGGTGAGAATGGGCATGGCGTGTAAAAATAATCCCCGGTAGAATACACACAAACACACAATACACACAACAAACACACACACAATACACACAACAAACACACACACAATACACACAACAAACACACACACAATACACACAACAAACACACAACAAACACACACACAATACACACAACAAACACACAACAAACACACACACAATACACACAACAAACACACACACAATACACACAACAAACACACAACAAACACACACACAATACACACAACAAACACACACAAACACACAACAACACACAACAAACACACAACAAACACACAACACACAACAAACACACACAACAACAATACACACAACAAACACACACACACACAATACACACACAACACACACACAACAAACATAACAATACACACACAACACACACACACAATACACACACAACACACACAACAATACACACAATAATGCACACACAACAATACACACAAACAACAATACACACAACAAACACACACAACAACCCAACAAACACACACACAACAATACACACAACAAACACACACAACAATACACACAATAATGCACACATACAACAATACACACAAACAACAATACACACAACAAACACACACATACAACAATACACACAACAAACACACACACAACAAACACAACAATACACACACACATACAACAATACACACACACATACAACAATACACACACATACAACAATACACACACACATACAACAATACACACACACAAACACACAACAATGCACACAAACAATACACACAAACAATACACACAAACACAACAATACACACAACAATACACACAAACACAATACACACAAACACAACAATACACACAAACACAACAATACACACAACACGAAAATAACCAAAAGTGAGAAAAAAAGACTGCGCTTGAGACGACTCTATCGTTTACTCTTTGGTTCTTTCGGTAAAGTCACGTAGGTAAAAAAATTGAAATTAAAAAAATTTAAAGTTAATTAAATCACGACGTTTCGATTGCAACACAAGCAAATCATCATCAGGAGTGAAAATCAGAGCTAGAATTTTTTTACCAAATCGTTTGTCCTGCCGTCAGACGAATTGTGGGTGCATCAACAACATTAATTTGCACTATGGGGACCTCATTTGCCAGTAAAAATATGATAATTGGTTCTTTACCCTTCTATCTGGCAACAAAACTGACACCTTTTTGCAAGGAGTCATGTTTGCATAGACCGCAATACCTGCAGTCATAATACAAACAAAAGAACATAACTCTGATAATGTGCACTGTCCTTGAAGTTGATTGGTCCACACCCGAGACAGCTTTCCTCATCTGGTCCAACCCATATGAGACTAGGCTCTAAGGAAAGCTGTCTCGGGTGTGGACCAATCAACTTCAAGGACAGTGCACATTATCAGAGTTATGTTCTTTTGTTTGTATTATGACTGCAGGTATTGCGGTCTATGCAAACATGACTCCTTGCAAAAAGGTGTCAGTTTTGTTGCCAGATAGAAGGGTAAAGAACCAATTATAACATTAATTTGTATTCTTGATTCTTTCCCTTCTACGTGACTTTGCCCGAAAGAAGCAAAAATAGGAATCCCTGCAGTCACGAAAGCTTTAAATCTAAATTGAACATTTATTTGGCAAAAGCTCGCGGGTTCGCAGCGTTAAAGCCCCCCCCCCCCCACGTGTCTATTCCGAGGCAGACCTTGGCTGACAACACGTGGACATCAACACGGCAAAGGGAGGTGCTAACAGAATATTTCCAAAACACACCAAACTCTCTCCCCGTCTCTCGCTCTCACTTCATCGCTCCAGCCCAGTGTGGGGCAGCTTTCGAGTGTGCAGGCGGTGCAACTGCACTGGGGCGTACGGGGGGGGGCAGAGGGGCTCAGATCCTGGGCTATAAAGAGAGGTGGTGGTGGTGGTGCGCCAAACACAATCCCCGGGGCAATATAAATAAACAACACTCAACAGTGAAACTGCGTTTGGACACTTTAATTTGTCCACTTTCATTTCTATTATCAATACGCCAGTGTGTTGGCTGCGGGGGCGTACGAATGGGTGTGTGGGTGTCAATTCTAGATTTGAAGTTTTCGTGACTGCAAGGCTCCACACATACTCTTTGTTTTTTTCGGTAAAAAATAAAATAAAAAAATGTATTTTTTTTCATTTTTTATTTTTTTCTTATGTGACTTTACCGAAAAAACCAAAGAGTATGTGTGGGTGCCGTCGGGGCGGCCAGGTGAAGAGTTGGAAACGAAACGAGGCCACAATTTTACTGGTAGGAACCTCCTGGTTACACCAGCCCACAGGGGATTATTGTGTCCGTCCGTCCGTCGGGCTGGGAGGGACTGGGTGGGGAGGGAGGGGAAGGTGGGGAGGGGCTGGGTAGGGAGGGTGGGGAGGGGCTGGGTGGGGGGGGCTGGGTGGAGAGGGGGGGCTGGGTGGAGAGGGTGGGGGGGTGAGAGGGGTGGGGCTGGGTGGGGAGGGGCTGGGTAGGGAGGGTGGGGAGGGGCTGGGTGGGGGGGGCTGGGTGGAGAGGGGGGGCTGGGTGGAGAGGGTGGGGGGGTGAGAGGGATGGGGCTGGGTGGGGAGGGGCTGGGTGGAGAGGGGCTGGGTGGAGAGGGGCGGCTGGGTGGAGAGGGGCTGGGTGGAGAGGGGCTGGGTGGAGAGGGGCTGGGTGGGGAGGGTGGGGAGGGCCTGGGTGGGTGGTGGATGGGGAAGGGCTAGTCACCCCGTGGTGCCCTTATAAAACTCAACGTTTAACCTACTCACGCCGGCTTGGCCATTGACCGAGCAACCAACCCAACGTCCCTACCACCAGCAGCTCCCTCCGCAGCAGGAATGTGTTTGATGGGTTGGGACGGTGGCGACGCCGCAGTCCACTCACCTCCTTTGCAGGGCGTGCGGTGTTGGCTGTGCTGAGCTCGGTAGCCCTCGATGACCTCCCACTCGCCGTTGTCCCTCTTGATGGGGAAGCAGACGCTCAGCACGTGGTTGCACGGCTTGATGATCCTCAGGATCCCGCGGACGCGTTTGTGTTTCTCCTCCACGGAGTCTCTGGAGCGCATGTCGTCCACAAGCTTGTCCTCCAGGATGCTCGCCCCGCGGTCGAAGAAGCCCTCGACCATGTGAAAGAAGTTGGGGTCGTCCCTGTCCTTGTCCGCGTCGTTGTCGTGATGATGAGTGGTGCCCGTAGGAGGTGCAGGGGGGTGCTCGCTGTGGCTGCTGTACGAGGCGGCCGCGAGTCGGGGGGGCTGGAGCCGGCCCCCTGCCCGGCTGCCCACCCCGACGTGTTGGTGGTGATGGTGGAGACGAGACTTGACTCTGCTGACAAGGCGCAGCATTGTGGTGGTGGTGCTGTTGTTGTGAGTGGTGGTGCTGTTGTTGTTGTGAGTGGTGGTGCTGTTGTTGTTGTGAGTGGTGGTGCTGTTGTTGTTGTGGGTGGTGGTGGTGCTGCAGTTGTGGGTGGCGATGTGCGGCTGCTGCGGCTGCTATTTGATGATGCGGCTGCTGCTGCTGCTGATGATTGTGCTGCTGATGGCGATGCCGCTGCTGATGATGATTGTGCCGCTGCTAATGCTGCTGTAGCTGCTGCTGATTGTGCTGCTGGTAATGCCTCTGCTGACGGTGATGCCGACAACGATGCGTCTTTGGTTGTTACAGTAATGCCGCTGCTTCGCTTCTTTGTGCTATTCTGCCGACAGGCGCGTCTGACTGTCCTTGTGTTTAATGAATGATTACTATCGCTACGGCGTATTGACGCTATTCGTGTTCTTCTCGATTACGGCAACGGTGCGTGGTGGAGACGGGAGGCGATGAACACGCGGGCGCACCCCTGACGCAATGCAGGCAGCAAAGACGACACGGCACGCCAGAGATGGCGTGGATGTAGAGATGGAGAGAGATGGAGAAAGAGAGAGAGGCACAGAACGAACGCAGAGACGCGACGCGAAGCCGGATGATACCGGGGACTCAACAAAAGTTGAGACGGAGCAATGAAGCCAGGAACGAGGGCATCATCGGTGGGAGTGTGTCGGGGTGGGAGGGGGTAGCCTTCTTGTTTTTGAAGTCTCGGATGGAGGCGTTGCCTCCTGTGGGTGTGAGCCTCATCCAACGAATGCCGGCGTCTCACGGAAGGCAGCCCTCACGCAACACAACAGACAAAGATCACCCGTGTGGCCGTGGGCAAGACTGTAGGAGCAAGTGCTGTGAGCGAACGAAAGGGGTTGGGTTGGCCAGCGATGTCTATCAAGGCCGTAATTATAATATATGTTGGGACACACACCCCCCCCCCCATTTTCAAATATGCTCAAAATGTCCCCCCCAATATATTGCTATAAAATAATTGCTATGCTATGTAAATAAAAACAACACTTTGCTAAACCTTGGCCACAATATCTGGACTTGTCTTCATGTAAATCAATGCATAGATTTGTGTTTATATGATTGTGGTTATGGTTGTACTTTATTAATCCCTCATCTCTGCCTTTACATACAATGAAACAAGAAAAGGTAAAAAATAAAAAAACAGAACAATGTAATACAATACACTATTAGACATTATTGTAAAAAATAAATAAAAGTCCATCCCATGTATTAGTGAACTTTTTAATATTTTAGGCAGGAAATAAGTTTTCAAATTTAGATTTTTTTTTTCTGGTTTGGGACCCCCAGACCCCCTAGAAGATTTGGTCCCCCCCAATGTTGACTACATGGCTACGGCCTTGATGTCTACACACAAATATGACCCGTGTAAACTTAACAGACTATTGGGGCAAGCGCTATGAGCGTGTACCTATGAAGGCCGGCACCACGCCAGCACATCACAAAGAATTGTGCCCGGTGTCAAATAAAGTTACATTATCCATGTTTTGTCACACACACACAGATATCGAATTCTAAGACGCACCCTCACAACTTTGGCATTGAAATATTGAGGGGGTTCAGGGATGGGTCTTATAATCGGGTAAATACGGCATTCGTTTGTGTGCGAGCAGTTTTGTTTCGTGTTGAGTGGCGCCGCTCGGAGCAGACAGACCAAGAAATTGCTTAGGAAGTCCAAGTAGCACAAGGGGGGGGGGGGGGGTCCCGGATTTATTAAAATATGGTTAATCAAACATCAGCTGAAAGTAAAATCCGAATAAACATACGCCGATTATTATTTATCATAGAATCAAACATCCCCTTTAATCAACATCTTTCCCTGCATCCCTTTTATTTAATATTACTCTGTCCTATTGTTTACAGATTTATCATCTCAGATTTATCATCTCACTGCATCACCGTCTCCTCATCAGTAGCTCGCACCTGATCATCTCACCACGTCTCTATTTCTGTCAAAGTTTATCTTAATCTCACTCCATATATGTCCCTTGTCTGACATTCCTTCTTTCATCTCACTGGGATTTTACAAACTGAAAAAGGGGAGTAGGGGCAATGTGCCAACAACCACCACTGGGTGGAGTGGCTGGAGAGGTGTGTTGATGGGTGGTAGGGTGGGTCATGGAAATGCACGATATAAATTGACGTAAGGGGAGTATGAACAAATACTTTAGAAGCATCATTACGAGGCAGGAAAAACAGGTATGACTGAGCAGATCATTCCACACACCCTACTTTATTTATGTCGTCTTCCATCGGGTAGGAGACGTCAAAAGTAACGACAGCGTTTGTGTTTACGTGGGGCCAAACGACTTTGTGACCAAAGTAGTAGTGACCCACGTACAACCCACTCAATAACAATAATAAAGACCTCCCCGCGGTGTGTAAGTCGTGGTGGTGGTGGTGATGGGGGTTGTTCAATCACACTTCACCGTCCTAGAATGTTAAAACATCGGCTACTCGACCTATTTATTCATCACCATAGGAACAAAATCGTCGAATTGCAGAGGGCCGGAGGGGGGTGAATAATTCCAGCCCGAGTAATGATCGATCCACTGATGGATGAGAGCCTCTCCATGCCGTGTGGGTCATGGTGGCTATTTGACATCACCACACTGATAATTGGTTTTTTACCCTTCTGTCTGGCAACAAAACTGACACCTTTTTTTACAAGGAGTCATGTTTGCATAGACCACAATATCTGCAGTCATAATGCAAACAAAAAACATAACTCTGATAATATATGCACTCATCTTCTTGGTTCTTTCGGTAAAGTCACGTAGAAGGGAAGTAATAAAATAATCTGTGAGAATTGTTTTATTATGTTTTATTTTTATTATTTTATTACTTCCCTTCTACGTGACTTTACCGAAAGAACCAAGAAGATGAATCCCTGCAGTCACGAAAGCTTTAAATCGAAATATATGCACTGTCCTTGAAGTTGATTGGTGCACACCCGAGACAGCTTTCCTTAGAGCCTAGTCTCACATGACTCCTTGTAAAAAAGGTGTCAGTTTTGTTGCCAGATAGAAGGGTAAAAAACCAATCATCATATTTTTTACTGGCAAATGAGGTTCCAATGGTGTAAATCACCACACTGGTTGGTGAAGGGGTTTGCCCAGGACCAGTCCAGATATCGCTCGCCACTGGGAATTGACCACTCAGGGTGGACCGGATCAATATGACTGCGCTATCCACTGCGCCACCACTCGCACCCCTGATGCGGTATACTGCACGACAACATGACACTATGCACACCACAGGATATTCGTTGCGTGCTCAATGGCTAAACGCCAGGGTTTACCAGATACAGCTCAAGTATTCTACTGCACGTACCACACACACAGATGTGGTGTTAAGTGCAGGCTCCAATTCTGATTAACCCTCTCTGGCAAACACTTTTTGTACTATGAAGTAAGGTCATTGACCGAAATGTCGCCTAATATATATTTTTTAATTTTAAGGCCACAGTGTTATTGCCGAATGTGTTGATATTTTACGAGAGCCGGAACAAGAATGATTTATTGTTTTATGGGGCAGGTCTAAGAGCCGGGCGGTGGTGGCTATGCGCGTGGCTTGTAATCTAGAACTGGCTTTCACTGCGGTCCACGCGATAAACACCACGACTCGACCCACCCCGACGTTTTATTTTCCGCGTTCACCCAATTTTACTCCCCACATTCGAATACAAATTAACCTTTGCGCGCGCAGACTGAGATCTCGATCTGTATTGGAATCGGCTCTCTTCTTGCAGAAAGCGTTCACTGCTCGGCACGTGGGGCGTGTTTACCAATCATCGGGCGCGTGCTGCGTGGAACGAGTTCATTTGTGTTGGAATGTGGGGAGTAAACTTGGTGAACGCGGACAGACGTAGCGTGGTGTGGGTCGCCAGGACTGGAGTTTGGGAAAATCCTGTGGTCGAGTGTTGCCCACTTGTACAACGAACTGGGCTTTCTCCCACGTGTAAACGCTAATGAATTGGCCGATTACACCTTGATACATAGAGAACCGCAGAGCTCGGGCAATTATTGGTAGCGACGGCTCACTTATGTGGCTGAATTCCCGCTCGTCCGTGGTTCTTGCTCTCGTGCCTCTGAAGTTGCCCTGTCTCTTTGAGAATGAGCGAATACCGTGCAGTGCGTTACAATTCGAAGTGCTATCACAAGTAGAGAGATTCAGAATATGCATTGATACTGGAGGACTCAGATGAGCTATTAAACTATTTTTCACAGATGTCCAGAATGTTGCTCGACAAATGAAAATAAGACAGCTGTTATTTTCATTCTCTTCTCATAACCCTGTTCTCGGTGTACTAAAAGCAACGTGTGTTTTGTGTAATTATAACATTCAAAGATAATGTGTATTGTGAGGTTGTGTTTTTACATTCTCTAGGATTGAAAGAAAATTCCGATGAAATACTTCGAAGCACAAATTGAAAAGTTAGAATACTTTTGACGGAACCTGGTCAGTCTTCTGTGTTCGTTACTCCCACCTCATCCGTGTCGCTTTCTATTCTTGCTTTCCGAACCTCTTCCGCCGTTTCAATTCAATGAGTTTTTGCTCAATTTCGGTGGCAACGGCCCGCAGCCGCTCACAACGGAGTCACTGTTGGGGTGGCAAGGAGACCAGCCAGCAGCCAGCCAGAAAACTGGTGGTACAGATTATTAATTACAAATATTATCAACAGATTATTTAAATACGTAGTAGTAGTAGTCGCATGATATATTTTACCGAACGCACCCTTGCATGCTGATCTGTGTGTTTGTACAATTGCATTATCTGGCAGGAACGATCGCTTTGCAACGCGCATTAGGAATGCACATGGCAGTGACATTACAGAGGCTCACAAAAGCGCACCAAGATGTTGACTCTGAAACCTGAGCCCGCTGCGCGTGGCTGCCAAAGCCTCGTCAGACCCCTGTGGGCATTGTACGTTACACGTGCCAGACCGTAACCATGGTCCATCCGCTGCTGGATGGAAGCCTTCCCAATGTGATCCAGCGATGTGTAACAAATCCACCTTGGCACCTGCACGAGAGCCGATTTCATCGCTCCATCTCCACGGTTGTTGTCCTCTCGTACAACGTTCCATTCATCGAACCTTCTGTAGACGTGTCCTGCCATAGGCAACTATACTCACCATTCTCACCACGTTGAATTGTCGTCCACCTGTGTGTGTGTGTGTTCCCTAATCCGCGTCTTCCTTGCTCTCTCTTCCCCAATATATTTCCAAGCACGCCCCACTCCGTTCTTCTTTTGAACACTTTCGATGGTTTCTTTTTTCCCTACCCATACACGATGGATATAGTGGATTGTTACGAGAATTCAGATTCCAAAAAACACAGGATGAGATGGTACTATCCTTTGTGCAAGCACTTCCAAGAGTTCATGAACAGTGGAGTGTTATGAATAGGGGTAAAGTGACTTCCCGCCTGCTCTGCATATTGTGTTGTGTGTGTGTGTACGCCTCGCGTTTCCGTGACGACCACTGTGTGTGTGTGTGCGGCTGTTGCCTGACTGCCTTCTGCTGTTTGGCTGTGTGCAGGACAGTTTTATGGTGTTTACAACATCTGTGGTGGGAGCGGTGGCGCTGCGGTTAGCGCATTGCGCTAAAAAAAAAACACCCCGACCACTTGAGTTCGACTAGCGACCACTGTCAACGCAGCAGCAGCAGCATGACCGATTTATTTACTTATAGAGGCTTCACGATTGTTCCATTGATCTCACTTCAACGGTAAACACATAATGCAATGTGTCAGGAACATGTTTGTGTATATACTTTTAATACAAACGCGTTTATTCAGTCACACTTTTGGATTGTTGAAGAGGTTGTCTGTTCCTCAACACCTCCTGATATGTCACTCACCATTCACATGCCAAGTTACAAACGGTTCATATTCTTGGGTTTTTTCGGTAAAGTCACGTAGGTAAAAAAATGTAAAATTAAATTATTAATTTTAATTTCATATTCTTGGGTTTTTTCGGTAAAGTCACGTAGGTAAAAGTTTTTAATTAAATTATTCATTTTAATTTAATATTCTTTGTTTTTTTCGGTAAAGCCATGTAGGTTAAAGTTTTTAATTAAATTATTCATTTTAATTTCATATTCTTTGTTTTTTTCGGTAAAGTCACGTAGGTAAAAGTTTTTCATTAAATTATTAATTTTAATTTCATATTCTTGGGTTTTTTCGGTAAAGTCACGAAGGTAAAAAAATGTTAAATTAATAATTGTATTTTAATTTTTTACCTACGTGATTTTACCGAAAAAACCCAAGAATATGAATCCTTGCAGTCACGAAAGCTTCAAATCTAGAATTACAAACGGTTCATCAGCAAACATTTATCAAATGTAATTGTTATCGGACCCCATGGTGTAAAGTGCAGTCTTCAACCAGCTATTATTATCCACTATCTCTCTGGTCTTTCTATTTATTGGCCATGAAAACGGGTCATTTCCTGAAACGTCGCCACTGATGTTTTTTCTCAAGGCCATGGGGTTATTGACCAACGTGTTGAGGTTGTTTTTGTGGCCTTTAGATGCGGGAGGGATGGGGGTGGTGTTCGTCTTTGTGCACGATGTCAGTTTAACACGGAGTAAGCTTTCGCGACCAATATCATCCATAATAGGGTTTTTTTGGGGGTTAGATCGCGTAAATATATAAATGTGTCGTTAAACTCGCCACCACCTGATACAGCCAACTAGTAAGGTTTGTCACGTAAACAGAACTTGCCAATTCGTCACTAGTACAGCACTAGTGTGTAGTGTAGTGTATAGTGTAGTGTATAGTGTAGTGTATAATGTAGTGTATAGTGTAGTATCCTAGTACCACATCACCGGTGTGTTGGAGAGCCAAGCTACGACGTTCACAATCTGAGTACGACGTTTCGCCAGTAATTACAACTAGCTTCATCAGGCGACAGCCAGATTTGTGGAGAAGTCCACCTGTTTCGTTCCCTATTGTCCTTCCCCCGCACCTCCGATTAGCACGGTTGGATTTTCTGTTTGCACATAGTCACTTTAAGATGTTTTCTTGTTCATGTTTTTTGTTTGTTGCGGTTGTACCCGATTCAAGAGCCGAATGGCTCGCAAGGCTATACCAAATAAATGAAACATGAAAACTGAAACACGGTGCGACAGAAGTTCAGCAGACATACATAGTCAAAGGTGCTCGCTCACAGCACTTGCCCCAAAAGTCTGTTAAGGCTATATGTCTGGGGAGGGGGGGTATCTTTATATTTGTCTCATCATCCCCAACAAGTATAAACCGTAAAAACAAAGTTTTTCACTATAAATCCTTTACATGCGTGGCGGCTCGAGTCCTCTCGTCCTCTGGCTTGAGATGGCTGCCACCTATGGGTCAGATGATTGCATGCCACCATTAAGCAATTGGTAATTAAATATAATATTTTTGTCCTAAAAAGTGTAAAATCTTGAAAAAAAAAATTTCACCAACAAAAATTGTCACACACAACGAGTCTGTGTGCAAAATGTCAGCTCGATTGGATCACGGGAAGTGGGTTAAAAAACGACCGAAAGATTTGCACGGTCGTAAGCGCGCAAGCAAGCACGCAAGTGAACTTAATATAAAGGATTAAAAAAAAAACATGAGCGGTGGCGCGTCTCGTTTGGCTGCTCCACGTGTGTCTCTGCAAGCCGTGCGTGCGAGCGAGGTGGGAGCTGCAGTGCGCGCCTGGAAATGTCGCCCTCCGTGCTCCCTCCCTCGTGCAGGGAGGGAGGGAGGAAGAGGGGAGAGGTGATTTGTGAAGGAATACCCCCACCAACACCAACACCACCGCCACCATGAACCTCTCTCTCTCCTCTCTCGCCCATCCCCCACCACACTCAATCACCACAATGTCCTTGCCCTACGACAGGACAACACCCCCGCCACCAGTAGGACAAGGCTTCTCGGGTTTTCCGTGTACGGGGTCGTCCATAAATGACGTCACGTACCTGGGGGGGGGGGGGGTCAGACATTTGTGACGATGTGTGACTCGGGGGGGGGGGGTGAGAAATGTGACGTCACATCAAAAGTGCACAACTTTAAATAAATATAGACAACACGTTCTGCTGAATTAAATAGCACGCCCGACCTCCGTTGTTTCCCCAGTAGCGATGTTTACACACTGCACCACGTACTCATTTGAGGCTGAGTCGACCTAGGGGAGACCCATGATCGGTCTCCCTCAGACACACATCACAAGACCCCCTTTACTGCACCTCCCTACTGTGACTCGTCAGGGGAAATGTATTCGGGGCCCGTGTTGGGTTTCCACGCTAAAAGTGTTTTCATCCACTCTGCAGCGCCTTTGCCAAAAGCATCGGGCAAACCCAGCAGCATGTTTCACAAACATGACTCATGTCGATGATGAGATCAGGAATGTCGAAAACTATTCCAGAGCTTGCTCGCTGAAGCGGATGCTTCTGGACAACATGTCTGGGAGGCTGATGGACTCGTGTTTTATTGATGTGGAGATACAGAAAGGCGATTATGCACTGCCAGCGTAAAGCCTACAGTGCGATGAATACAAATGTTGAGTTAATTGGTATACAGTATCTTCTAGGTTCTTTCGGTAAAGTCACGTAGAAGGGAAGTAATAAAATAAAAATAAAACGTAATAAAATAATTCTCACGACGTTTCGGCCACAACGCAAGCAGCCGTTTTCAGGTGCAGAACAGGTCTGTCAAGTAGACAGATGATGAGATCGGGAAACGTCGTGAGAATTATTTTATGTTTTATTTTTATTATTTTATTACATCCCTTCTAAGTGACTTTACCGAAAGAACGAAGAAGATGAATCCCTGCAGTCACGAAAGCTTTAAATCGAAATTGGTATACAGTAGGCTAATAGCATAATTCTAATATTTCCTATAGGAAGTGATGCCTATGGTAGTACATCTGAGATGGTTAATATTTGCTCCACTGATATTTGACTGTTGCTACAAATCCACTTATTGGAAAATATCTTGTTGCTTTGAATAACGCAGGAGAGGCGTTACCTTGTCCAGTAAAGTGTAACTGTTCTATATTTATATTCTTGGTTCTTTCGGTAAAGTCACGTAGAAGAGAAATAATAAAATAATAAAACAATAAAAATTATCACGACGTTTCGACTGCAACACAAGCAATCATCATCAGGTGTGAAATCCACAGCTGCTGTGGATTTCACACCTGATTGAGAATTTTAGTTTTATATTTTTATTATTTCCCTTCTACGCTACTTTACCGAAAGAACCAAGAATATGAATCCCTGCAGTCACGAAAGCTTTAAATCAAAATTTCGTTCTATCTTTATCAGTCGTTTTACATTTCTTTCAATAAAGCTGTCAAGTCGGGCTCAATATCCACATGAGCAAAACAAGTCGCTTACAAAAAGTTCGAATGGCAAATGGAGATGTTTAGTTTTGCTCTATGTAACGTTGCACATGCGAAGTGCATTGCACGATCGTTGAAGCAGCAGCTTGGCGATGGGTATCCGTTGCCCAACATCAATTAGTATTGTAGAATATTTATTGCAAATATATTTTATGTAACCGACCGGTGGAAAGATGCACCAACTCTCCGAAACGTTAAACTATGATACGAGCATTAAATCGTGTTTTGAGAAATGTTGAAAGATTCATATTTCATCCCTGCAGCCATTGGAGGTGCTATCATTCATCATAAATAGCGATTCAATGTTTTTTTACAAGCATTGACAGGGGTGGTGGGAGGGTAGTGATTCGTTCCACTGAATTAAATCAATACACATTCAAGTCTATATTTTATTTATGAAAAATCATGGTACAATAAGCGGTTACGTAAATATAAGCAAAAGTACATACGACAAATAAGTTTCTCGTGTAGGCTATAAAATGTTCAATGTATGTGCGCCGAGTGACACGGATAGTCTCAGCACATAGGCGTGCACGCTTACAATCTTCAGTTTTTTTTCCGAAACGCTATGGCTTCACTATCGGTGTGGCATGTCACGAGATGAATACAAACGGACCTCATGAGTTGAGCCATTCGGAACCGATGCTCAAGAACGTCTTGGGGAAGCGGATATCACAGAGCTCCATTCAGAGATCCCTCCCGGCGACCTCTGAATTCTCACCATGAAAGGGAACCACTTTCCAAACCATCCTGCCACCAAGGGCAATGTTCATGCCAAGACAAGTCAAACCACGGAGCTGGAATTTAGCCCAATTAAGCGCTGAACCAAACATAGTACAGTTATAGGTTTTTACCCTTTTATCTGGCACCAAAACGGACACCTTTATACAAGGGATCATATTTGCAATAACCACAACACTTGCAGTCAAAATGCACCCGAGACAGCTTTTCTTAGAGTCTCGTCTCCACTGTTGGACCAGATGACGCCAAAAGGCGTACACCAGTGGAGACTAGGCTCTAAGAAAAGTCGTCTCGGGTGTGGACCATTCAATTTCAAGGACAGTGCATATTTTATCAGAGTTGTCTCTTTTTGTTTGCATTTTGACCGCTTGTGTTGTGGTAATTGCAAACATGATCCCTTGTATAAAGGTGTCAGTTTTGGTGCCAGATAAAAGGGTAAAAACGTATTACTATATCTTGCTACTGGCAAAAGGTCTCATAATGCTGAACCAAATGTTGTGGGTTTTTTGTATGCAGCCATTGGTGACCGGACAAAGACAATTCACCACACGACAGAACCCGATGTAATCACAGTGCACAGACTGGATTTGAACCCAGGATCTCAGCAGTGCCAGCTCGGTGTTTGACCCGAACCATCCGGCCACCTCACTCTGAAATATCCTAACCATATCCCTGAGAATCTGTGAACAGCAGCATTCTTCATCCATAACAATTTATGCACTTTTTATGCAACCAGATTTTGGCCATGTTCATGTGATCAGGTGCGAGTGCTGAAATGACAAAACAACGCCCCCATCTGTTCTACGCGCGTTATACATGTACGTTGACGCCATCTCCCGATAGCTCGGAAGGCTTATTTACACTAGCGCTTTAAATTTCGTTTTCATGACACGATTCCCAAATTCCAGTTCTCTTGACCCATAGCACTGCGTCTTTCCATCTTTTCCAATCTTCTTTGTTCAAATGCATACGGAATTGTCACACTGCTTGTACTTCATTTTTAAACAAGTGCCATGAAGATAATTCCAATTTACATTAATCTTCTGCGACCCATGTATGCCATGAGAAACACGTCAAGGCGCGGGGCAGTCGTGGTAATGGCACTGCGCTCCGCACCTGGTGAGCCAAGATCGACTGCTGCTCATGCCCAACATGAATGGCAAATATCTGAAACGGTCCTGAGCCTTCCCTAGGATGATCCGTGCTGGAGTGACAAGGGCAGCAGGGCATGGTACTGGACACACCCCACACCCCCTTGTGCACCTTTATCGGGTGCTTGCTAACAGTATTTCCTATAACAGCCTGAGAAAGGCGAGATGGGGGTGAGAGATATGATTTTAATGAAGAGATTTTGTCTATGTATGGGTCTCCTGTCTAAATTTGAATCAGTGCTATGTCATAAGGGACATCTTTACCAATCATCAAACACATGCAGATGTAGCAAGTTGTTGTTTACGAGAACTGTACGTTTAGGGAACACTGCCCTGATGCTTTAATGCATGGATATTCACAGCTTCATGAGATATAAAACGACACAAATTGCCTACATTTGCTACATGGCTCAACTGCCAATACTCACCAAGCCAGCAAAGCGGACGGAGCTCCTACATTTTTGAAAACGTATTTTCCCTTAGCCTTTCTCAATGGCTTTCGGGAAAATAACACACTCGGACAAACACGCGCACGCACATCACTTCTCTACAGCTCCCGCTCCGTTTGGCTGCTGCTTTTCTTAAGCGGAAGGCTTTTCTTTATTGCCATGGATGTTGCCAATTTGTCTTCAGTCTTGGCTGCGGCTTTGGGTTTGCCTTTCGCCTTTGGCTTTGCCTTTGCCTTGCCCTTTGTTGCCGCTCTCTTGGTCGCGGTCAGCTTTTTGCGCGCTGCCCTGACGTCGACCAGGTCTCCTCGGCCTTCCTCGCGCATCTGCTCACGCCACGCCGCCATCTCTCGCGTGTAACGCACGCGGTCGTCTTCCGCCAACTGCTGATATTTCTGCACGCCCCAACGACGCACGTGCACACACACAAAAAGACAAAGATCACCCGTATAGCCTCAACAGACTTTTGGGGCAATTTCTGCTAGCGAGCAGCACCTACAAAGCCCGCCACAGCACACAAGGGGGTAGGGATGGCCAGCACCACGCCCTGGTCGCCTTTGTCTCGCCAGTGCAATATTTACACACCGCAGTAGGTATTAGAGGCTGAGTCGACCTAGGGGAGGGCCCAGGACCGGTTCAGATAATCGTCACACACATAGGCACGTCAGGCTCCTTCAGATTCTAATGTCAACGCTTTTCATCCATCAATCTAGATGTAAATACACAACACGTATCGCCCTACCACATTGCAAATTAAATACTTTATAATATAATATAATCCACGCATAGACGTGATTTTTCTACACGTGTGTTTTTATTTTTGCAATTCTTCAGGAACGCTATCCCATTTGAGCTATTGGCATCATGTCATGAGGCAAAGTGTCCATGTCATGTCCCTTGAAGAGCAGTCAAACCCTGCCTTTTAGAGAATGGCAAAAAAAAGCGATCACAGAAGTGCAGCTGATATCCTCTCGAGTGACATCTGGTTTGCATATCAGAGGGCAGCACTTTCCCACCTTAGTTGCAATGAAAGTAAAAATGTTCATCACATAACAGCAAAACAAATATTTAAATTATCGGTGTTCAATCAATCAATCATTTATTTAATGTGCCAATATCACCCTCAAGGGTAGGCATCAGTGCACATTACAACAGAATGGGAACGGTAGAAGAGGCAACAGGAATGAAAAAAGAAACCTGTCATGCCTTCAGCGCAGAGGTCGCAATCGGGTACCCGATACCTGTACCATACCCGATACCCGTACCCAGCCGGGTACGGGTACCCGTTTGCGACCCTGGTGCGGCCGGGTACGGGTAGGCCGTGAGTCACTGGTGAGTAACCGTTTGTCACTCATTTCCCAACGTCTTGTCTCTTCTCACAATTCAAGTTCCTAGAATCAACCCACCCGCGCCTGCAACATGGCTTCATCCCAGAGGTCGCAATCGGGTACCCGATACCCGGCTACCCGTACCCAGCCGGGTATCAGGTACGGGTACCCGTACCCTACCCGGCCGGGTACCCGTTTGCGACCCTGGTGCGGCCGGGTACGGGTACGGGTAAGGAATCAAAACCCGTTTGCGACCTATGCTTCAGTGGCTAACATCGACTGAGCAAACTAAATTGCAACCGCGCGCAAAATAAAGTGCAACCGTACGCGACGAATAGCATGAGAAAGGTAAGTAGTAAATACAAATAAATAAATTGGATTTTACCTAGGTTAAGTGCTGAATCAAATTTCATCCAATGGTTTTAACTCACTCCATTCAAAACCCCAGTTTAATCACAGGCAGCTGCCTGATTTTTAAATCAAGTTCCAAGCGGTCCCACAGTTCAGCACTTCAACCGTTTTGCGTTCGAACATGTTTCGTATTTTGTGCGTGGCATTTAAGCCATTAAAATAAAACAAACCCATTAAATAACTACAATCCACAAGCGAACGCCTCACCTGCTTCTGCATGTCGTCGAGTCCCGACCATTCGTCACGCAACCGGATCAACTTTTCCTGCACACGACAACAACGCATGCGTGTCAACACTCCGCGCAGAGTCAACGCTTGTTACGTGCGCCGTGCAAAAGCCTCGATTCCTTGGCACGCACGCGTTGATGCCGTGTGAGCAACGTTACGGCCGACGCTCCCTTCTCACCGGCTGCGAGGAACCCGTCACCCGCTTGAAGTTCTCTGCCATGAAGATGTTGAATGGAACACTCGGCCTCTTGGGCTTACCCAGGGCAATCAGCTCCTGAGGGCACGCAAAAGGGGGAAAACAAGGAATAGAAATCGTGACTATGCACGGATTAGACTCCTCCATCCATGGGGTGCTCCAGCGCAGGGAACCCAGTAGGCCGGGTCAACCGAGCGGAAGAGCTCCACACTTGGTATTGCTCTATCGTGTGCAGTTAGCAAATATGGTCGTGGTATTAATTTTTCACGAGAGGATACGATCAGTTTTCTATGAGTTTGTAATGGTATATCACGCTTGTATTGTAATGTTTTTTTAATTCACTGTACTGTTTGTACGAATGAAGATAACTTAAACATTCTTCAACTGCAGTTTTAATCAACGCAACCCTACCACACGTCTTCTTAATCGTTGCAACTTTACAATCTTTAACGATTATAACGCACACGCTGTCAATTATGATCAACATATATTTTTTATTTGACAAACTATAAAAATGTTGTCTTCTTACTGCCATACTTTTAATTACTCTGGAAAATGTTTAACATAGATAGCACATATTGAATGAACAATATTTATTTGTTTAGAACTTTAATCATTGTGCTTTTGTTATGTCATAGTCAGATAATCACTTTTTTTTTTTAAACATGAACCAATGGAATCACGATATACCGATGTTTTTCAAAACGGATGATACCATTATGACGAGGCTTATACTATACGATATACATCGTGGTATCGCCATTTCACGACAAACCCAGTAGCAAACCTTATCTTACTTTCCAGGCAGCACACTATGGTTAGACATGGAGGCATCCCATCGTTAGCCCAAGAAGATTCTGGCAAAATGCAGATACAGTCTGTTCTCCTATAACGCCGCGTGTTTTCACAATGCGAATTGGATATAACGCGATGAAAATATTAGGGAGCACATCTTTTCATAGCGCAGATGCGATTTGGACGTAATGCGAAATATGAGTAAGTGGTTGTACGGTAGCATCACACAAGGCGGGATGCTTCTGGATGCTACTAGATGCTCCCCACGTGCCTCAGTTTTTGTTCAGCCTGCAGTACGCATCTCACGTGTTATCGCGGACTGTGCTTTACCCCATGTTATATATTACTAGCTTTACTACCCTGGCTTCGCCCGAGACTTGGATCCTTTACTCTTTGGTTCTTTCAGTAAAGTCACGTTGGTATAAAGTAAAATAAATCACGACGTTTTGGTCGCAACACAAGCGTCCGTCATCAAGTGAAAAAGCACGATTCTTGCCTTGGATTAATACACGGCCTACGCGGTGGGTAGGGGGGGGGATGCGTGACGTCAGCAGGCACACTGCGTGACGCTGCCGCATGCGGGTGACATCACAGATGTGACGTCACCGCTCACTTGCCGTGCAATATATTATATCCATTATTGCGCCCCCCCCCCCCCCCAAAAAAATACAAAAGTCTATTTTTTGACTTTTAGCATTATGGACAGTCTGGAAGCTACCCACATGCCAAATTTAAAGTTTGTTGCATGTTGGGAAGTATGCTAAACATTTCAATCAGACACACACATTCACAAATTTCCCTTTTATATATATTTATTTTTAACGCGTGTTTTCACATCGCGGTGTTCTTCAGGAGCGCAACTACTACCGCGTTACAGGAGAACAGACTTACCTTCTTTCGGATGCGAGCCAAGCGCCTGGTCCTCTTCTTTTTACTCGCATCCTTCCTGGCCTTGATCTGCTCTGGCGACAGCCTGCTGAGGAATCGCTGGTACTCATCTTGGTACTGCTGCATCTCAGCTTTTGCAATCTCTTGATATCTCTGTCCATCAGCAATGGGGGGTGACATCGGTTTCCCTCTTAATCAGTGCGTTTTTCAATTAGAAATAGGGAGCGATTACTTCACCTGTGAGATAAAACTTGTTTTGATAAGGTGTAGTGTTTTTTGAAAAATACATCCTCTGAATTTTCAGGAACATTTTTTTACTCGGATAAACAAAACAAGTTTGTTCAAAATATCTAACTGGAAACCCAGTTACTTTGCGTGAAATAGGCAACACAGCAAGAGCAATATTCTCATGTCAAGTCTTGCAGCGCTGACAGCTATTTAGAGTTATACTTCTTAGCAAGCGGTGTTAAATTTAATTTCTTGTTCATTAAGCGACTAAAGTAAAATGAAGCTACAAATTATGCACTACTGCATTTTATCTTATTTAATGAGGCATGTGCTTGTTAATTTTAGCTGTAATTAACATAGTAAGTTTTTCGATTATGCCATAACCCTCCATCAATGGTACAAAGAGTGACTGGGTACCTCCTTGTGTATGTCTGACATTTTTCTCCATTGCTCCGATAGGTTCTTGATGATTTCTGTGTGTTTCATTTCTGCATTCACCAAAACGCACAGGCAAAAGCGTATATTAATACTCGAATAATACTCAAATCAAACATATACATATACATTTTCACAAATGGTTGGTCCAAAGTGCTTTACAAGCTGAAAATATTTTATCGGCAATTTAGCAATTCTATTACATTAGAGATATCTGCGTCATGCCATGAGATGAAATGTCCATTCGTAAGTCTTGCAAAAAAAGCAGTGTTGCCCCGTGTTCGAGTGCAGCTCGTAGAAGCAGATATGGAATCACTATTTGAGAGATGCCTTCAAGTGAACTCTTATCCCCTGCAAGGGGACTGCACTTCCCCACAAGCCCCTCTAAAGAGAAATGGGGCCCAGATATCCCTTTGCAAGACCTTCCTGCAAACAGAGCATTGAGTATTTACACCATTGGAACCTCATTTGCCAGTAAAAAATATGATTATTGGTTTTTGACCCTTTTATCTGGCAACAAAACTGACACCTTTTTTTTACAAGGAGTCATGTTTGCATAGACCACAATACCTGCAGTCATTATGCAGGTATTGTGTTTGCATTATGACTGCAGGTATTGTGGTCTATGCAAACATGACTCCTTGTAAAAAAAAAGGTGTCATATTTGTTGCCAGATAAAAGGGTAAAAAAACAATTATCAGAGCATTGAGTATTTAGAATAATTGAGGCTTTCCTCGATAAAACAAAGGGCATTATTATTTGAGCCGCCTTTGACCAAATCACCAAGAAATTTACACAGTCTCATCAGATCTCAGAATCTAAGCTTGGTTGCGCCTGGATAATACTTGGATGGGCGAACACCACGTTGGGCATGTTGTAGTTATAGGCCTACGGGAATAAAGAGTAGGCAGCGGAAGGCAATTCAGAAAATCAATTGTAATACAATATTTCGATTCTTGCACGTCTTGTGTCAACCCAGACTGACACATGCGGTGAAGTATGGTTAAACAAACCCCGGACCTGCAAGAGATAGAGAAATCCTAATCCAGTAGTGGACTGACAAACGACCGCACATGTACATTGTTGTGTCTGCAAGGCAATGTGTTATTACTTGTCCAAGTTGTGTGCCGATGTCTATTCGAGTTATTGGTGCATTTTGCAATACTGATTTGGTTCCTGTGTTATGGACAGCTTCTTGTGGATGGGTAGATTAGCAATTTCAAGGTGAATATTCAGATTAGGTATACAATTGCTCTGGTTGATGTGCGGTGGATTACTTCAATACCTCCAATGAATTTTCAAGAGTTCACAATGGTTCATTGTTATGTGGTCGATGGTCTGGTCAAGTGTTTCCGCAACCGCACACGCCAGCCTTCCTTTGAATTTCTATTTATGATGGTCATGGGCTGATTCTCTACGAGAAATGCAGATCCGATTTAACGTGTTCCATTGTTTTCAAGGTAGATTCAATCCCAGGGGGGCTTAAGTGGGATTTGCAATAAGCTGCTTGTCCAGGACACTGATGTTCATCAAAATCTTTCACCGTTTCTCCGTGGAACTCAAAGCCTGAATTTGCAAGGTCACTAGCTATACTTAAGAATGACTTGCATGATGAAAATGCATTTGCCGTGCACCAACCAGGGTACTGCAGAGTTGTTTGGGGCCGCTGTTCGGCCAAGAAGCGGAAGAAGGAGGTGAGAGGCCGCTTGGGCGGCGTGGGACTCGGGACAGCGGATGGACCAGAAATAAGCCGCACAGCCATGCAGCTCACTTGTGGCCGGCTAAACACACGCATCACACACACACACACACCCCCAGAACGACAAGGATGTTACATAGGGGGTTGGAATATTATTTGGTATTACTGTTACCTGTGTTTAAGCCACCAAGAGCGCACGGGAGTGGCGAAGCGTGGTTGGCATGGACGCTGTTCCAAAGGAGTAGAATTGGGTTTCCCCATTTGGATTCCTCCCCCCTTCGTATCCCAGCGCGTTAGCCAACGGGGCCCGGTGCAGTCGCACCGCCTGTACACTCGCTAGCTAGGCCACTGGTGCTCGACTCGCAATCGAGGTCACGAGTTCAAATGCTATTATGAAAGGGATGTCGACAAACTTGTTTTTTTTCATCCAAGTAACAAAATGTTCTGGAAAATTCAGAGTATGTATTTCAAAAAAATACCACACCTTATTAAAACAAGTTTTATCTCACAGGTGAAGTAATCGCTCCCTATTTCTAATTGAAAAACTCACTGATTAAGAGGGAAACCGATGTCACCCCCCATTGCTGATGGACAGTCATCTCTCCAGGTGCAGACAATGAGCACCGTTTTTGGGAGGATAATAGTGGTCATATAATGCATAAACTGGTAACTGCCACGAGAATGTAGAATTTCGACCAAGGATGCCTCCAGAGATGAGTGCTGTCCCACACTAATTTAAGCAGGAATATACTTTGTTTACGACGCATGACCAAATAACGCCGAATGTGGTAGTATCTTGGAAGCTAAGGTAAAAAAAACGCCGGGTAGTGCGACCATCATGTGCCGTGTAGATGGCAGTGAAGCAAAATTAATCGATGCACTGCGCTCCTGCTCCAACATCTGTTCCCCGCGTTCGTCAACCCGCATTGATGAGAGTGGTCAAGTATGAGGACTGTAGTCCTCTACTTATGATGGAGATGCGTTACGACGACCCCATCGTAAGTCGAAAATATCGTGAGTCGAAGATGGCCTAGCCTACCCAGGAGTCTTAAAAGAATGATGATTGAGCAAAACAGAGCAATTTACAGTACCGTACTGTATAAACTATATACTGTATGTATTTATCATTTACAATACTGTATTGCACAGTAAAATGTAACGTGAAAAAACAAGGTAAATTCTTAGCCTACCTATATGAACTGCAATTTAATAGAATGTTTTTTCAGGAAACAATCCCAGCAGCGTCCCAACGTGAAGTATCGTCCCTCGTACGCTGATGCGTTTGCCTGCCGCGTGAAATGTAAAATATTTAACAATTTTGTCGTATCGCTATCGCCATCGTAAGATCGAAATGTCATCGTAACTCGGGGATTATCTGTATAGGCAAATCCCACCCCCCAAACCCGCCCCAATTGACTGGCAACACATTCCTGCGGAGGGAGCTGGTAGGAACGTTGGGTTGCTCGGTCAATGGCCAGGGTCAACGGCGGCGTGGTGTATTCCGCAAATATGCCCGACTGTGAGGGCCTGAGTAGGATAAATGTTGAGTTTTATAAGGGCACCACGGGGTGACCAGCCCCTCCCCTCCCCACCCAGCCCCACCCCTCCCACCCTCCCCACCCAGCCCCACCCCCCACCCAGCCCCTCCCTCCCCACCCAGCCCCTCCCTGCACGACGGACGGACGGACACAATAATCCCCTGTGGGCTGGTGTAACCAGGAGGTTCCTACCAGTAAAAGGCAATTAATCTACATGTGCTGGACATATTGACACCACTGCAATTGCAACTGTTTGCTATAAATATTATAATCAAGGTCCCTTTTGCAAAATGAAGCGGATATGAAGTAGAGGTTTCTTTGTTGCTAACTTATTAACGGATTGCAATGTATCAATAACGTTCTTAATTCGCGTTAACGTGAAATTCACACCGACACAGATGCTGAAGATCTCGGTAGAAATGCCGTGAATTTGTCTTCTTGATCCCGAAGGATGCACGTCCCGTTACATTTACAGAAAGCTTACAATAAACAACATACCGTGTGAACCCGTCTCGTTATTTACTTATAAATATTAATAAATAAAATAAAGCCTCTAGCCCGGCCCACGTGGACGTAATGCCCTCTCGTGTGCCCTTGCAAACCTCGACTAAAACCACAACACGCCAAGCAACGAAACATTTAAGGGCTCTACGAAGTTCAATTCCGGCACGTATTTAAAACGTAGTTTCTCGTTACTATTTGACAACAAGACACTTAACATTATTAGCCCCTTATCCGCGTAACGTTATTTTTGGCGCTAACCGATAGCGTCTCTCCGCGAACCAGCTCAAACTGCATTCTTAGCATTCTTACGAATTTATAAAAATGCGGGCTACTGTGCGATCTACGTGTGCCACAATCCATACAGGCGACAAACGCAGAGTTTTGTTTTTAACTTCAATACATTAAAAATTACTTTATTACCAACTTGGTAGAGGCCTTACACAGATTCACACAGCGGGTCTCGGCTAGTTCTCCCGCCGGGTTAGGGCCACCTCAGGCGGGGAAGCATCTATCCGACAGAGGGGGTTGGGCAGTGGGTCTCGGTAAATCCCCGGGTATCTCTCGTCTGTTTAAGTCTTCTCTCCTTTCTTATTACCCCGCTCCTTCTCCGTGATGTCTCCTGGAGTTCGCCAGAATGGTTACCTGAACACGGGCCTCGAAAGGACGGCGGCCAAAGAGCGTAGGAGCTGCATAGCGCCGAGGAACTGCGTGGCGACGGGGAACGAGGCTGGAGGCGGAGGCAGCCACTGGGCAGCGGGGCCTCGACAGCGCCTCCTGTGCCTAGGCCCGACAACGACAGCCACAATTGTAGATTTGAAGCTTTCGTGAACTGCCAAGGATTAATGCTGTTAGGTTTTTTTCGGTAAAGTCACGTAGGTAAAAATAAATAATAATAAAAAAAGGAATTTTTCTTATTTATTTATCTTTTTAGCTACTGACAATAATAGAAATAAAAATAATAATAGAAAGAATTATTTTTTAGGTAAAAATAAATAATAAACCTATTAGAAATAAGTATTGCTATTATTTATTTTAATTTTTACCGACTAATAATAGAAATAATAATAGAATTAGAAATAATTATGGAAATTTTTTTTTTTACCTACGTGACTTTACCGAAAAAAACCGAAGAGTAGGCAGCCACAATGTTAACACAAAATAACAATATCATCAAGCATCCGAAGACATCAGTTTTCAGTTTTTATTTATTTGGTATAGCCCTGTGAGCCATTCGGCTCTTGAATCGGGTGCAACCGCAACAAACAACAAAAAACGTGAACAAGAAAAACATCTTAAAGTGAGTATGTGCAAACAGAAAAATCCAGGAAAAAACTACAAAGTCTTCCAGAAAAAGCACCGTACACCAACGCTGTGCAAAAATCCCAGTGGGATGCAAGTCAAACAACAACACCAACAACCACAAGACAACTTAGATTAAAGCCATCAGTCTAACTCCGTGCTACAACAAACAAACATGGCCAAACCAAAAAACTTTTCGAAATCACCAAAATAAAACCATAAAGCAATGTAACAGTGATCATTTGAACTGTGACCGAAATTTCACAATAAACGACAAACAACATGTACCACCAAACCCTGCAGCCATAGCTGGCTGCATGAGTCACTCCACAACAGTAGGAGCATCAGTCGGAGTATCAAAAATTTCCAATGCACCTTTAAAGATCAGCACACTAAATCAAAACACAGATCATACGTTTCACCGGTCATTGTACATGGTGGTCGCACATCATCATCACCAGCAACAAAAATTAACCCGTAAAAACAAAGTTTTTCACTATAAATCCTTTATATGCGTGGCGGCTAGAGTCCTCTCGTCCTCTGGCTCGAGATGGCTGCCACCTATGGGTCAGATGATTGCCTGCCACCATTAAGCAATTGGTAATTAAATATAATTTATTTTTTCCTAAAAAGTGTAAAATTTTGGGGAAAAAAATTCACGAAAATAAATTGTCACGCACAACGAGTCTGTGTGCAAAATGTCAGCTCGATTGGATCACGGGAAGTGGGTTAAAAAACGACCGAAAGATTTGCACGGCCGTAAGCGCGCAAGCAAGCAAGCAAGTGAACTTAATATAAAGGATTTAAAAAGACAACAGCAGTATCATCATCAGCAGCAGCAAGAATAAAGCGAGCTGCATCAATAGGCACGTATAAAAAAAGAAATGATCAGCAGAATCATCATCAGTTTCAGCAACAGCGTCGTATAATAGCATCGTCGGAAGCATAATCATCAACAGCAGCATTATCCTCAGCAGCAATATCAAACAGCAGCGTTAAGTCGTCATCAGTCCACTGTTGGATAAAATCCAACTTGATCATTATATTCAGCCACGTTATGTCCACTTCCCCATTTTTGTATATGCACAGATATTGTCAAATCACTACTGGATTTGGGCCCTTTTGAACGCCGTGTGGGGTCTTGTAGGTTTATTTCGCCATACTTCACCACGCCGGTCAGTTACGGGCCGATGGTGTGGGAGTATAGACGCGGATGCATAGGAGTGCAGTACAACGTATTTTACTACACTACCCTCTACTACCCACCACGTAGCTTTGCAACCCACGTGACCACCTGTTTGTACATGGTAGTCGCACATACAAGCACTGTCCAGGGTCAAAACTCTGCTTAGCTTCTGAGATACGATGAGATCGGGTGCATTCCCGTTGATTAGTTGATGGTCAGGTCGCGAAATAACCATGGGAAATTTTGTGGCAAAGGGAATCCTTTCTTTAATTAATGAACAGTGGAACAAAAACACGAAGTCATGAATTTATTTTGAAAAGTACCATACAGCAAACACAGTGCAAAGTCAAAAACATTGACACGTTAAATCTGCATCATTGGCAATGCTTATGTGTAAAACATATATACAATCCATGCGAATTGCAGATACAGAAAATATATTCCTCTGATTTTAATCCAGTGCATAATCAGTAAATTGCATATTTGGTAAATTCTATACCGAAGGTGGAATGAAACAGATCACAATTCATAGATTGTCTTGGTAGGTGCCGCGAGAGGTGTAACCATTCAACCACTTTTCAAGATTAAATTCGCGAATAAATTCTTGTTTTAACACTGGCAAATGTAGAGGCCACAACCCAGTAAACAATGACTGATGGGCCAACATTGAGCCAACGGTTTCAGCCACATCCCAACGTTGACCCAACATTGACCCGAAGGAAGTTCAACATATATACAGACTCCAACGTTGCATGTTGAATGGTTCGTAGCTGCCGAGGCTTCATTAACCCATTACATACAACACACACAATTCGAGAAAACATGAATTCATATACACGCGATTCAGTGCACATATCGTGAGCTCATGAATCATTATTAATCTATGAATCGATGCATTACTATTCTCGAGTTGACATCAACGGCGTATTACTGCACCAGCACTTTTGTAAAAATGAATGAAAATCCAAAATAGACACCAAAGTGCTGTATAAACCAATCCGAAATTGCAGATAAATAATTCATAGGTAGATTATTCTCCGACTCCATTAGCAGTTCTGATACATTGCAGGAAATTCCACATTCATACGGCAAGTACCTAAAAAACGTATCTTATGTCGATTGCCTATCTTGGCAGAAAGCAAATACCACCTTGCCATGAATACTGCCTTACATCATCAGCAATGGTCTCTCCGCTGCTGGATTAAGGCCTCCCCACATCATCACCATCCCTCAGTCTTACGTTACCACACATTATCTCGCTTGTGTGCATAAGCTTAACCCTTTCCCGTTCCAAAAGGTCCACGTTGAGACAAAGGTTCCAAGTACACTTCCGCACGGGACAAAAACACAATTCTTGTTGAGGAAAAGCATTCATGATGCAGTGAATACCTTTAAAGGAGACATGTGCGACCAGTGTTGAATTCCATCCAATCATATACAGCTCTAATCAGGAAAATATGGTAAAACCAGTGCATGAATCACAGTAAATCCAACTGGCTAGCTGTTAAGTTGAATGATTCATATTTTTAGCATGTTGGAAAATGTCTCGAATTTCTCAGCCCCCCAATAAAATTTCATTTTAAGTCAAGCGAATGTCGTGACTTCTCTTGCTTACAGGAAATCTAGCGACCGTTTACGCGTCCTCCCCGCGGTTATGTCTGTAGGACGTCTGCGAGTGAGGTGACAGTCAGGGCCTCCTGAACGTGGCGGGCCGTGGTGTCCTGCCACGGGTAGAAGGTGATGTTGCGTCTGCCCTCCGTGAGCAGCAGCCCGTTGTCACTGAATCGGCCGGCGATGGCTCCGACGTCGAGCCACACGAAGGGAGCCACTGCCACTGCCTCCAGGGTGACCACCACCGGCGCACCAGGCACGCCACTCACGCCTGCCACCTGTGCCGAAACCACAACAGGCCCGTCGTATAACACTGTGTCATGTCTTGTTACGCCATCCCATTTTATAATCAGCCATGATCGATCCAATGAAGAACGAAAGCCCTCCCAAAGCCATTGCCATATCTGTAACAATCCATCCAGCACATGAATGCAAGCTGATTTCGTCACTCCACCTCCATGCTGGACGATTTTGTATGCGTTCTCTCACTTGGCTGCCACTGTTGTTATTTTCGACCACCATTCATCATCCATTCTAACGATGTGTCCTGCCTAAGCCTATACTTACTTTTCTTAAGTTAATTTCACTTGCATTTACACCACCAGAGGTGAAAAACTGAATAACTCACACTTTTTCTACTGTGCAGTTTTGCAACAACGGATTGGTCCAGCATTTGTCTTCATCGCAAATCTCAATCTGCACTCAATTAAAGTTACCAAACGTACAGATTTGGCTGTGACTGTCCCATAAAAAAAAAAAACTCTGCCCTGGTCTCCCAAAATATTTGTGAAAGTGTGCACATTGTGCGAGTTGTGATGTAATGTATTTGTTTTCTTTTAACCGACGTGACTTTGCTGAAAAAAAACAAAGAGTATAGTTTTAAATTTCCTGACCTGATGCTCGATTCATGATTCAGTCAAGGGCAGGGCTACTTGAGTTATAGGCGTGGTTAACAGACGAGTTGGTGGGGCTAATTTCAGAAAGAGTGGGGCTACTCACTGTGAAGCCGAGACGAGTGACTGAGTGGACAACTATCACGTTACCATACATAGCAGCCGTGACCAAAAAGATCTCCAAAATCCTTAACAAACATAAGATCCAAGTCCGATTCAGTACAGTACATAAAATCCGTGATCTAATTCCATCTGTGAAGGATGTCATCCCTGACTTGCAATACCCTGGAGTCTATAAACTGAGTTGCAGCTGTGGTGAACTTGTATTTAAGAGTTTGCATCTTGAATCCCTGCCTCACTTGATGCAGCAAATCTGGCTGTGACGGTCCCACCTGATGACGGAGACTTGTGTTGCCTCCGAAACGTCGTGATTTTATTATTTTATTTTTATTAATTTTAATTTCATTTTTTTACCTACGTGACTTTACCGAAAGAACTAAGAGTATGAATCCTTGCAGTCACGAAAGCTTCAAATCTAGAATGAGTGGACAAGGCTATCTAAATGTAGGAAGAGATGATGGAGAGAGGGGCTGCTAGCACTCACCATGTGTCCATGTTGAGCCTCCCAGAAAATTCGGTACCCTTACCCACCATACCACTTCACACAACCACAGTACATGTGTATCCTATAACTCACAGATACAACCAAACGCTGCCCGACAGTGAACACACCAACACATCCTATACCTTGTCATGAAATACCCTGCCACACCACACCACACGCTGCCACATCGCACACTGCTACAGAACACACGCTACTACTTTACACAACCATAACTAAACGTGGATGGGGTTCTCACCCCGTGTCCCTGTTGAGCCTCCCATAAATTGGGTGGGCCTTACCTTCGCTGATGAAAAAATAATAGGCTTTACCATTTTCAGTAATAATATAGGAAGTGTTAAGATGTTGCAAGGCATCAAATTAGCATTAACCACACATGCTTGTGGTAAAACATGCAAACAAATGTGCTTTAATAATGATGCATGCATCGTCCTTGACATTGATTGATCTACACCAGAGACAGGTTCCTTTATAGCCTTGTCTCCCCACCAAAGTTGGATCAGAGAACGCCAAAATGTGAATAGCTGAAAGGCAATGCAAATATTAAAGCATTAAAAGCTCGGGTTGAGCGGGTTGTATCTACGGTACCAATTTTTTTCCCGTATCAAAATAATGAAAAAAGAATACGGTCACAGAGATACTCACCTTCTTTGGTTCTTTCGGTAAAGTCACGTAGGTATAAAATAAAATGGCTTAATTCACAACGTTTCGATCGCAACACAAGCAATCATCATCAGGTGGGAAAACCACAGCAAGAATGTTTTTGCTGAAGTGAAAGAGGTTATATAGGTAAAATTTTCTTTGCTGTGGTTTTCCCACCTGATGATGATTGCTTGTGTTGCGATCGAAACGTCGTGATTTAATTTATTTTATTTTATACCTACGTGACTTTACCGAAAGAACCAAAAAGCATAGATCCCTGCAGTCACGAAAACTTCAAATCTAGATTATACTTACCTTCCACAAGAGTTTTTTTTGGGTTAGATTGCGAAAATATAAATGTGTTATTAAACCCGCCACCGCAGCCAATTATTTCCTACTCCAGCACACCGGTGTGTTGGAGAGTAAACCCACAACATTTGCAATTCGAGTACCGTGACGTTTCGCCCCAGTAATTACAACCAGCCTCATCAGGCGCCAACCAGAATTGTGTTAAATATTCTCACCTTCACAGGCCGCGCGTGCAGCCCCTGCGCGTCCTTTGGCGATGCCAGGAAGACGTGATTGCGGGGGCCGACCTGCGTGCCGTTCTCCGCCTGCAGCTGGAAAGTGACGACGCAGCGCTGCCTCGTGCAGCCGGTGCAGCGAGCGAGCAGCATCTTGATGGGCTCGCGGTGCTTTTTCACCGCGCTGCCGGCCGCGACCCACGAGGACGCGCCGACGAGCGCGCACACGGGCCGCAGGCTGCTCCACGCGTACGCCTCCACCTGGTTCGCAGCGCCGAGGGCACGGCGAGAGGATGAGCGTGTGAGATCATCATCGTCATAATTATCATTGTCGTCATCAACTGTCGTCTATTCACTGCTGGGCAAAGGATTCCCCGCGTCGGTGAGATATCACTATCGGGCTTCAGCGAATTAGGTTATATCATTGCTCCTTCAACCAGCAGTGGATAGACCATGACTGCTGCCGCTGACATTGATGATCGGGATTCCTTCAAAGAGCAGTGGACAGATCACAGATGATGATGATGAGATATTCTTCATGCAGCAGTGGACAGATCACAGATGATGATGACAATTACAAACATAAGGATGATAACAAGGAGAGGAGGCCGTCATTCAGTAGTGGACCAATCTAGGCTACGCCTAATGATGATGATGATGAGCATAAACACATTCCCTTTCCCCATCTTTACAGGAGAATACACAGGGCTCAATTTCAACCTGATATTTCCACACCCGGCAAAACCACGAGTTGTCCTCCTAGCACCTCCACGCCAAAAGGCGTCATCTGGTCCAACACCAATGGAGACTAGGCTCTAAGAAAAGCTGTCTTGGGTGTGGACCAATCAACTTCAAGGACAGTGCATATCATTATCATCATCAGAGTTGTTTCTTTCTGTTTGCATTTTGACTGCTTGTGTTGTGGTTATTGCAAACATGATGCCTTGTATAAAGGTGTCAGTTTTTGTACCAGTTGAAAAGGTAAATATATTTTTCCACTGGTAAAGGAGGTCTCATAGTATACATAAGAGTAGTCAGGTGCTTTTTTTTTCCAGAAAACATCCAGTGAGAGATTAAGCCCTGGGAATGAGTAACGCAGAGCGGCAACCCTCTCACGCACCCGCACGGCGAGGTGCAGGCCGAAGAGTTGGTCGTTGACGGCGTATATGACGAGCTCGCCGCCGTCCAGGAAGCCGATGGGCAGCACGGGCGAGAAGAAGTCACGAGCAAAGTGGTGAAGCATCTTCCACTTGCCGCCGTACTCTTGAGCACAGCGCCAGCACGAACAGCATAAGCGCACAGACACGCACGAGCGTCCGACGCTACGTACGTCGTATAAGATAAAGGTGCAGCCCTACAAAATACTTGCTCATGCCACTGCTTATAGAAGGGCCTCTTTGAGAGGAAGCTTTTGAGAACTCCTCTATTCGTAAGAAACGTTTTTGGGTTAGATCGCGTTATTTGTAAATGTGTCGTAGACCTCCACCACCCGACACGGCCAATCAGCAAAAAAAGTGTCACGTTGACAAAAGACAAATAGTTCACTATTTTAACCCACCGGTGTGTTGAAGAGTGAATCCACAACATTTACAATTTTTGAGTACGACGTTTCGCTGATAATGAAATCCAGCATCATCGAGCAATTTGCCAGAATGGTGAAGCCCTGACTTGCTCCCGGTCTATTCGGCCTATGCTTTCATGCTGGCCAGGCGCCTTGGAATAGGTGGCAGTCCCCATATTTTACACCAGCGCATGCGACCTGCCGATTGGCTAACTGTTGTGTACCCATTTGTACTGCTCGGTGGACAGAGGCAGAAGGATTTAAGCAACTTTTCCGCATTGTTTAAAATGCCATGCTGGAGGAGATCAAACCGGCAACCTCTGTATTTGTAAGATGGGTGTGTTTACCGATACACCATGGTAGTAACCCTACGTAGTGCACAACGTGTATATTGAATGCAATGATCCCCTTATAATGAGTAGAATTTTTCCATGCACACCGACGCCTTTTGCAAACCGCTTTAAACGCAGGCGAGGAGGAGTTTCCGCACTCACCCAGAGAAGACCAGGAAGCTCCCTGCCAGATGTCGTTGAGCTGCCAGTACAACGCCCCCATTGTGTGACCCTCACCAGAGATCACCTCACTCCGGCTCCGTCGGTAAAACTCCGTCTCGCTCTTTACGCACTGTGCCTGCATCACCTGTAAGCAAACACGAGTCGGCACGGGCAGCCCCTAATTTGCACAAGGCAGCGCAGCGAGAAGGTGGACTGAACGAGATGACCTGCGATAGCAGGCGAAATAAGTATAACCCGTAAAAACTAAGTTTTTCACTCTAAATCCGTTATATGCGTGGCGGCTAGAGTCCTCTCGTCCTCTGGATTGAGATGGCTGCCACCTATGGGTCAGATGATTGTCTGCAGTATTAAACAATTGGTAATTAAATATTTAATTTGTTTTCCCTAAACAGTGTAAAATGTTTGAAAATTTTTTTCAGGAACATTGTCTCGCACAACGAGTCTGTGTGCAAAATGTCAGCTCGATTGGATCACGGGAAGTTGGTTAAAAAACGACCGAAAGGTTTGCACGGTCGTAAGCAAGCAAGCACGCAAGCAAGCAAGCGAACTTAATATAAAGGATTTAAAAATATATTCGCCTGTGGAGGACGCGGGGATCGATCCCGCGACCTTTGGCATGGGAAGCGAGGGCGCTACCAACTGCGCTACTCCGCCACGGCCTGTGGAGGGGTTACGCTCTGGGCTCTTATACTGTGACGTTCAGCCAAAGCCATGAATGCGTTCTATTTGAATATATGTAAAATAAAAAAATTTTGCCTAAAAAGTGTAAAATTTGGGGAATTTTTTTTCACGAACAATAATTGTCTGGCACAACGAGTCTGTGTGGAAAATGTCAGCTCGATTGGATCACGGGAAGTGGGTTAAAAAACGATCGAAAGATTTGCACGGTCCTAAGCAAGCAAGCAAGCACGCAAGCACGCGAACTTAATATAAAGGATTTAAAAAGGGCATGTGCACCGTCTCGCCGCCTCGTCCGTATCGTTTGTTCCGTCCGAACGTTGTGCACCTGGGACAGGTAAAGGGTGAGCTGGAAGGCACAGAGCGGATCGCCGGTGGCCGGTAGGGGGAAGTGACGCGCGATCTGCTGCAGGATCTGCTCGTTTCCTTGCCCGTGGTGCTGCCGGTGCTGCATGAAGGAGCTGTTGAAGGACCAGTCGCTTTTCTCGGACACCTGCGTTCGACATCGCGCAGTGGCGGCATTCGTAAAGTGAAACTGAAATTCCCGAAGTGGGGGCGGCATGATACTGCGTCAGCTACACGTGGCGCACACTTCTCTGGCGACGGGGGCCCGTGTGTGTATGTTGAACTTCTTTTGCACCGTACGTGGGAAACTGTGCTAATCATGAGGTGCGGGTGTGAACATGCGCCCATCTGCCACGTGACTAATAACCGCGGGGAACAACCCAAACTTCCAAAGTATGGCGGCGGCGCGCCCCTAGTACCCACCTCCAGCTCAGCTGTTTGTTGTCCTGCCCCCGCACCTCCGATGAGCATGTACGGTGTGAAAGAAGTTCAAAATCCATACGCACATACGGCTGGCACCTGGAACAGCCCGACCGGCACACACCTGCGCCAGCGTGCTGAACGACGGCCAGGACTGGAAGCCGTACTCGGAGACGAAGCGAGCGCGCGGGTAGCGGCTCCAGTCCCAGCAGTCGGCGCCGTACTCGTAGTAGTGCGTGTCGCCGTAGTGCGCGTCGTACGGGTCGCGTGCCACCCAGCCCTCGCTCTCCGACTCGGCGCCGTTGGTGGGGCTCGACGCGAGGAACGGGCGCGTGGCGTCCTCCTGCGTGCGATGACGACGGCGGCAGAGAGAGGGGACCAACGCGTCGTTGTAAATGCTGTGGGCTTACTCCTCCAACACGCCGCTGTGCTAAACGTGACAAACCTTACTATTTGGCTGTGTCGGGTGGTGGCGGCTTAAACGACACATTTATAGTTACGCGATCTAACCTATTATGAATAATATTGGTCGCGAATGCCTACTACTACTACTACTACGTGTTACACTGGGGATGAACGCACCGGCACCCAGAGATTTTCGTCCTCAGTGGGAATGTCACTCGGCTCTCCACTGCTGCCACCATGGTGTGGAACTTGTCCCCCAGCCACCTGTGCTGTTGACTTCCCGGCCCTGTTCAGTTGCAAGACCTTCCTTGGTTACTTCTGCCTAAAATCGACCGCCTCGTTCTCTCTATAATATATATCGCCACTGTTTCTGTACAGCGTCTTGAGATACTGCCATATTTGGAATACATATTTGAGTCCATGGATCTCTATCTAACTCTATGGCTCCCTATTTAAATCTATGGGTATATGCATTGAGTCTATAGGTCCTTAAGTGAGTCTATGGGTTGATTGTGAGTCAGCGTGTCTCTATGCAATTCCTTCGTTTCTCACTCAATATTTTCCGGGTCACTGGTAGAAAGTAGGCGGCACGTGACTATTCGTAGCAGCAACAGCCATATAATTTTATTTTTTTACCAGGTAAGATCCATTGAGCTATATTGCTCTTTTTACATGCTTTTTTAACTCACTCTGTCTGTTGTTGTTGTCGTTGTAAATTTTTACCCACTTCCCAATGTGGTATCGACTGCAAACTTGGTATACTTATGTCATACTGATGACAATACTATATTCTATCATAACAAAAAAATATATATATATTTTAAAACATAATTTTTTATATGTTATGTTTCGGCTTGGGTCTAATTGTCCACGGTAAACTGACGTTGGCTGTAAATCACCACGGTCCCTTACGTTATGACAAGCTTCGGGGCCCACTTCCTGGAGTCGTGGAGTTCTGCCATTACTAGTACGGTATATTTCATGAAAACGTGTTTTTAAAAAAGTATTTTTAAATATTACTTATTCAGAAGTGACCTGGCCACAAACGATAGCTCAACGAAGTGGCTTATTAAGCGGAAATTTATAGCAGCCAAATACTCTAAACGCCTCTCTCTAAATGTGAAGGGGAAAACCGGAGGACCCGGAGAAAAATCCACACGACCACGAGTAGGATATGCAAACTCCAAATATACAACAGACGTCAGGGTCGGGATCGAACCCACGACTTTCTGTATACTAGGCGAGGTAGTTAACATCTCGCCACCGTGGTGTCCAGCGAGAGGTATAGTGGATGTGGCATGGAAACATTCCGACGTTGAAATTACGCCCTGAACCTCCTGCTACATGAAGACACTTGGCCATTACCTTAAGAAAAGGAAATAAAAACGAGAGTCATTTTGCACCGTGTGGGCGGAAACCGGCGAGCCTGCAGAAGTTCGAGCCACTCGCCTGCATCACGGCCGCGCGCACTGTGCCCACGTAGAGCTGCACGTACTCCTTGTGGAAGCGCGCGTAGTCGGCCGCCGGGATGTGGAACCAGTTGGTGGAGAGCGCCGCCTCATTCTCGTTGTTGGCGCTCCACACGACCACGCTCGGAAAGCGCTTCAGCCGGCGCGTCTGCTCGTGAAAGGCATTGGAAAACTTTTGAACGGCACGGTCGTCGTCATCAGTTCGGGCTGCGATTTTGGCACGGTTACTTGATGGGGTGCCGCAGTGGCAAGATGTTTTCTCCCTCGCCTGGTATGCGGGAGGTCATGGGCTCGATTCCGACCCTGGACGCCTGTTATACATTTGGACATGGTATGTTCTCGCCGTGGTCGTGTGGATATTTCTCCAGAGTGCTCCGGTTTTTGCCCGCCACATTTAGATTCAACGTAGTTTAGATTATTTGGCTGCTGTAAATTTCTACGTGATAAACCACTTTGTTGAGCCATCATTTGTGGCCAGGTCGCTTATGAAAAAGAGCAAATAGCTCAGTGGGCTTTACCTGCTAAAAAAAATCTAAGTTAAATTCACAGCCATGGTGCAGGAAAAACAACAAGAATTCATGGGAATGCCACAGAATAAGTTGGGGCGTCTCTCCATCTCTGAGAGAAAAAGCACACACACGCCCACGCACAAGCGAAGAGAATGCTCAAACCCTGACACAGACATGCGACTGCGTAGATTTTCCCAATTGTGCTGTTCAGATCTCCGATGCACATGGCAGCAGAACGCAGGACATTGCAATAAATGTGCCGAAAACACATCGGAGACCTTTCAGAGGCAGCTAAAGAGAAACCTCGCTCGACCACCTCTGTGGGATCTCGTGTCACGAGTCTCACCTGCTGCAGCACCTCGGTGTTGACGGAGCTCAGGACGTCGGCGTCCGTTGGGTAGAGAGCACAGGCAAACATGAAGTCCTGCCACACCTGCCAGAGTGGAGATGGGACATGTCTGTAAAGATTACGACAAAGGGCAATCGTGGCTGGCAAATGTCAACAGTTGCTGCACCGTTTTTTATTGCAGCAAAAAAGGATTGACCAAATCTGCAGAAATCTGATCGGTGCCTCCCACAGTGAGCGACTGGAATGGCAATAACCAACTCAATCAGATCACAGACAGAGGTCACGTGACTAACCGAGGTCATTTGTCCACCTGTTGAAAAATGTAGGTGTCCAATCTGGATGGAGCATACACATTCACGATGTATTGCTTCACGAATTACGAATGTTTATCGTTAGATTTATGTTTTTGTTCTATTAATGTGATAACTTTATCACTCTGCACCTCCTCTGTAGCTGCTCATAGTAAATGCGCTGCTAGCCATGGTTGCCATAAAACTGCCCCAGTGACTTATGAGCTTTGCAGTGTAAGAAGTGATTGAGAATGGCTGTAGTTATAAAAGCGTTGTCATGTCAAACAAATTCCCCTCGAGCGCCACTAAGATGCATGTAGTGACGGATGTTGTTTCGAAGTGGCAGTACTCATGTGGTTACAGGGAATACAACATTAACTCACGGGCTGGGTACAGTCCAAAGTCGTAGGTTCCCCATCTATGATTATAATAATTATCATTCCATTTATTTACCCGAAAAAGCATCACCGAGTCTCAAGACTCTTTTTAAGGAGGGTCCTGCCAAGTTTTCGAGCAGGGAATGATGTTGCTGTGTGTGCAATCCCATCGAATGTAGTTTTTTTAAGCTATGGGAGGCAACCATGTATCCCGGAGAAGACCCATGGAGCCGTGTCAGGAATCGCACTCCCAACATTTCATGCTGGGCCATTGTTGGTCCATAGTTGCAACATACGTGCCGACGCTGGCCCAACGTTGCACGCTTACTGGGCCAGGACCTTCTTGCTGCGAGGCACGAGCATTACCACGACGCCACTCTGCCGCCCACCCCTGATCAGCAACGTGGGGGCGGGGGGGGGCTTCCTCGTTTGCTTCTCGTTTTTTATTTGTGCGATGCATCGTCCTACAAACGCAAACGATGCGGCGCTCACCATGATGCCCAGCTCGTCGCACGTCTCGTAGAACGCGTCCGTCTCGTAGACGCCGCCCCCCCACACGCGCAGGGCGTTCATGTTCGCGTCCGCGGCCGACTGCAGCAGGTTGCGCAGCCTGCACATGCCATCACACGCAGCTTGGCCGTCAAGCAACAGGAGCGTCGATCATCGAGCAAGAGGAGCATCTAAAATCCAGCAGCAGGAGCATCGATCATCAGCCAACAGGAGCATTAATCAATGAGCAACAGAAGCATCGATCGTCAAGCAACAGAAGCATCGATCGTCAAGCAACAGGAGCGTCGATTGTCAAGCAACAGAAGTGTCGATCATCGAGCAACACGAGCATCGATCGTCGAGCAAGAGGAGCATCGATAATCCAGCAACAGGCGCATCGATAGTTGGGCAACACAAGCATCGACTGATCCTGATGAGAATTAAATATTTGAACGACAAAAAATTAAGATGACCAGTTTTGAAAGTGTACAGAGATCGGTGGGAGTCACGTCGAGGCTTTGACATGAAATGTTAATGAAAACATTAAATGTTGTTTTCTCTAGAAATTCCCCTTTTTATTAGTGGGGTGTCTTTAAGCGTATTCATAATCTTAGTTTTTTTTTTTTCGGTAAAGGAAGCTTGTGTTGCCTCCGAAACATCGTGACTTTTATTTTATTTTTATTTTACTTTAATTAATTTAAAAATTTTACCTATGTGACTTTACCGAAAAAACCTAAGAATATGAATCCTTGCAGTCACGAAAGCTTCAAATCTAGAATGTCTATAAGCGCATCGCTGTCCTCCATGACTCTGAGTAAGCGGCCTGTGGTCGAGGTTGGTGGAGGAGGGGGGGGGGGGGCTCGCCCACCGGCCAGGGGTGACACGGGTGTGGAAGGAGTCTGCTGGGATCCAGTTGGAGCCCTTGAGGAACACGGGCCTCCCGTTGATGCGAAAGTAGAAGCTGAGCCCCGGTGAGTCCGGCACGGGTTCCTGCACGAGCTCCACTGTGCGGAAGTAAACCTGACAAACGACACGTGCAGAGAGAGTAGGGGGGTGGCGGGGGGGGCAGGGAGGGAGACGTGGAACATAACGAGAACATACGCAAGGTTACGAAGGAGAGGGGGTCATTCGGTCCGCCCGGCTCGTTACGTTGTTGGTTGCAGATTAATGCGAGAATCTCGTCGAGGGGTGTCTTGAAGAGTCCCAAACGTATCAAGGTACAGTTCGATTTAAAGCTTTCGTGACTGCAGGGATTCATCTTCTTGGTTTTTTCGGTAAAGTCACGTAGAATGGAAATAATAAAATAATAAAAATAAAACATAATGAAATAATTCTCATGACGTTTCGGCTACAACGCAAGCAGCCGTCCTCAGGTGAAGTCCAATGGCTGGTTGTTTGTTGTAAACAAGACGACTCTTATTCTTGGTTCTTTCGGTAAAGTCAGGTAGAAAGGAAATAATAAAATAATAAAAATATTAAACAATTATTGTTACAAATATAAAACAATGATTGTTTTATTTTTATTATTTTATTATTTCCCTTCTACGTGACTTTACCGAAAGAACCAAGAAGATGTACCAAGGTACAGTTCGCCGATCGTGCCCCCCGTGGCGTGACCATTCGCGGTTGGCCGCGAGACGGCGAGGTTCCTGAATGCATCGTAACTGTACTGCTCGCGATGATGCTGCCGCGGAAGAACACACGCCACCATCTTGTCTCCATCTTGTCTCACAAGTGGCACATCGCGGGTCGCAGGTCACGTGGTGTTCCCAGCCTCCAGTGAGGAGGCAGTGAGCTTCAGCCGCACGCTTTTTTTCCCTACGTAATTTGTTTTCACTCTATACATTTACCGTAAAAGTGATATTTTGCACCAGAAAATATTAATTATATTTAGCATTCAAAATGCTTTCTGTTTCATGTTTGGGTTGATGTAGGGTAACATAAAACAAAAGGAGGGATGGGTGTTGTATTACGAACCGTAAACCAAACGCTCGTTTTCCCATTTGCACCTGGGGGTTTGCGGATCGCAGATTTGCCGATTGCGGCGATTTTCAAGAAAGCAACCCCCGTGATGGACAAGGGTTTTGTGATGGAACATCGCAAAGTAAATACATCATTTTGAATCTAATCGCGGCCATGAATGATAATTTATTAAATTACAAAGGGGGAAACTCCCTTACATGCCGAACATATTAGGATGTTTCAAAAGTAAAGATAACCTTAATTTTTTATTTAAAGCTTTCGTGACTGCAGGGATTCATATTCTTGGTTCTTTCGGTAAAGTCACGTATTTGTATTATTTTATTATTTCCCTTCTACGTGACTTTACCGAAAGAACAAGAATATAACCTTAATTACCCTTGAATTCTATGTCTGTGCCAATTTGTTAAACATTGCGTGATAAATGGGGCCTGACTGTGGCACATCTGCAATAGATGGCAAATGCATCAAATGATAAGCGATAGCTCCACCCATGCACAACTGCAAATAAGAACCGAAGCAAGCTGTCACTTACTTTTTGTCCACTGGGCGCATAACAGCAAGCACATTTTTTTATATGAAGAATGAATCGAAAATTTGGTGACGATTAATCGAATCGGGATTGTGGTCAAACCATTACATTCCTGGTATGCATCGTGGCGGACCAGCCGTGTGGTAATGACAAACGATGTGTGCACATCTCACCATGGTGTCTGCTGCCAGGATGACGCCCCCATCGAGTAAGATCTGGGCTGTTGTGTGGTAACCACTCTGGTTTCCATCCCCTCGGGGCCACCACATCTTCAGGTTTGTTCCGTTCTGCATGTATAAGCACACACACACACAAAGATCCACCCCCCCTGTCACCATAACAGAATGTTGGGGCAGGCGCTGTTAGTGACTTGAAGGCCAGCACGGCACACGAGGAGGTGGGTGGCCAGCACAATGCCCGGCCGCCCTTGCCTCTCCAGTGGCGACGTTTACACACCGTACCAGCTACTCATTCGAGGCTGAGTCGACCTAGGAGAGGCCAAGGATTGGTTCAAATATTCGCAACTGTTATTGGCCGTGAGCGGGAATAGAACTCGGGTCGTCGGGTTCATAGCGCAGTGCGCTAACCACTGCGCCACCGCTCACGCGCACACGCGTGCACGGCGGCACACCTGTGCGAGGAGGAAGGAAACGTGCACGGGGCTGGTGCCAGGCGAGAGCGACACGTTGTAGGAGAAGGACGTCTTGAGCTCCAGCACGGACACGCTGACGGCTGCCTCCACCTTCTGGTTTCCCAGCAGATCCACGTGCGCCTCCAGCTCCAGGGACCACCGTCCCCACGGTCCGTCTGTGGTCATCATCATCATCACCAAACCTCATCATCATTGTCACCAATCATCATCATCGTCACCAATCCTCATCATCATTGTCACCAATCATCATCACCAAACCTCATCATCATTGTCACCAATCATCATCAATCCTCATCATCATTGTCACCAATCATCATCGTCACCAATCCTCATCATCATTGTCACCAATCATCATCACCAAACCTCATCATCATTGTCACCAATCATCATCATCAATCCTCATCATCATTGTCACCAATCATCATCATCACCAATCCTCATCATCATTGTCACCAATCCTCATCATCATTGTCACCAATCATCACCAGCAGCAGATCGATCCACTACTGAACAATCAACCTAGCACGCGATTTTTGTTAACACGTATGCTTTTGCGACCGATATAATGGGTCATAATTAATTTTTGGTCAGATCGCCGCGTGAGTAAATTGCCGACGTGTGTCGTAGGCCCTCGTCCACCAAACAAATACATGTCATTGTCACGTGAACGAGCGTGTGCTCGGAGTGCAATCCACAACATTTAACAATCCTCTTTAGCGCTGTTAAACAGTGCCGCCTGCCGTTCGTGTATATCACGCACTCCCATGGCCGTTTGGGGTGAGCGGGCTGCGGGTGAGACAACCATCGGGGAGAAGTCCGCCGGCTTCTTCACCTCACCGAGTGGAGAAGGGATGACGGCCAGGTCGAGGAGGCGTGCCAGGTCGTAGGCTTCCAAGCGCACACTCCTCCAGATGCCCTGCGTGGCGAAAGCAGGGCCCCAGTCCCAGCCAAACGAGCACTGCTCCTGTTCACAGCCCCAACGATACAAGAGGCCCACTCAGCTATGTAGCTCTTTTTCAGAAGCGACCTGGCCACAAATGACAGCTCATCGAAGTGGCTTATCACGTGAGAATTAATAGCAGCCAAATACTCTAAAGGCGTGATGTTGATTCTAACTGTGGAGGCAAAAAACGGAGGACCAGGAGAAAAATCTACACGACCACGGGGAGAGAGAGAGACATGCAAACTCCAAATATACAAGCTTCAAGATTGGGATCAACCTGACAACCTCCTGTATACCAGGCGAGGTAGTTAACATCTTGCCACCGCTGCGTTGGAGGAGGTAGCAGTGGTAGTAGAGGCAAATAAGGAGTTGATGTCGGTTGTGGTGGTGATAATCGAGGCAACGGTGATGGCAGTGGAGGTGATGCAGGAGGAGGCGATGGCGGTGTCGGTGTTGGCGGAGGTGGCGCAGGCAGAGACACGCACGCGCATATGAGGAGGTGGAACAAGAGAAGCGAGCGAGCGAGGTGCTGCGCTCACCTTGCGAATGTAGTTGACGTGGCACTCGCCGTGCTGCTCGGGTGGAGGGCACGCGGGGGGCACGGGCCAAGCGGGGTGCTCGTGCGCGCGTCCCGACGCGTAGCGCGGCGCCGACTCGAACGCCACCGTCAGCAAGTTCGTCGCGCCCTCGCCGTCCTTGAGCAGGCCGCTCACCACAAATTCCTGCGCCGCACAGAGTAGCGGACGCCGCCTTCGTAGTTTAACAAGTAGTAGGCTTTCGTGTAAATATAAATGTTGTGTCGTTAACCACGCCACCAACGGATACAGCCAATTAGTAAGGTTTGTCACGTAAATATAACGAGCCAATTAGCTACTAGTTCAGCACACCACTATATTGGTGTGCAAACCCACAACAATTACAATTTGAGAACGACGTTTCGCTGGTGATTAAAACCAGCTTCAGCAGGCGATTTGCCAGAATTGTGAAGAAGTCTTCCTGTTTCGGTCTTGAATAGAGTAGAGGTGATGTCATTACTGTGAGCCTAACAGGTGCACAGACCAGAGGGGGGTTAATGTAATAGCTGCAATGCTACATGGGCTGAGGCTAATTCAGGCCTAGCGGTAACGCGTTCGCCGCTTGTTGTCGCAGAGGTGAAAGGTTCGAATCCAGCAGCTACCCTGGTTATTACTGCGGGTGCCTTATTTGTAAAAAAAATATTTGCTGTCTCCTATAGTTCGTAAATGTATCTTTTTTCTCGTTTAATACATTTTCTATTTTTATGTTTTAGTATTAATGCGATGGCGCTTTCAGTGGCAAAAATAAAATTGACTTATCTTCACTGTGGATGTTAAATAGCCCACGTTACTTAACAGGGATTATACATATATCTCAATTATCGCCTCCAACTGCAACAACTTCACAGGACCCTCCTAAAAGAGAGTCATGAGACTCAGTAAGTTAACAAGCATTATAAAATAGGAATAATTAAAAGTAATTAACAACCTTGTATACGGACAACAACCAACCAATCCTAAATAAACAAGAAAAAATGGACACCTGGACAAACTATATACACAAGCTCTATGGCGCCGCGAGAACTCCTGCAGAAAAAGACCAACAGATGTCGAAAGACGCTCTACACATTTTAACATCAGAAGTAGAACATGCAATCAAAACAGCTAAGTTAGGCAAAGCATGCGGGCCCGACACAATCCATGTAGAATTGCTCAAACTATTAGACAGTAACAATATACGACAACTGACTAATTGGTACAATCAAATATACATTGGCAATAAAATTCCATCCGACTGGCTACAATCCATTTTTGTGGCCATACCAAAGAAAGCAACAAGCCGGAAATGCGAGGACTACAGACTGATAAGCTTGATGAGCCACGTGCTGAAAGTCTTCCTGAAGGTGATCCAACAGCGCATACGCTCCACATGCGAAAATGCATTGAAGAACACACAGTTTGGCTTCTGCAAAGGACTAGGCACAAGAGAAGCAATCTTCTGTCTACAGATACTACTACAGCGATGCTACGAACATCAGAAAGAAGTGTACACCTGCTTCATAGATTACGAGAAAGCCTTTGACTCAGTAGACCACGACCGACTAGCAGCTCTATTAAAACAACTGGGACTAGATAAAAACGACATCAATTTCATCATTGCTCTTTATTGGAAGCAAACAGCCCAACTCCGATATGACAACGAATTGACAGACCCAACACCAATACAAAGAGGTGTACGACAAGGCTGCCCACTTTCACCCAGTCTTTTCAACATCTACTCGGAGCAGATTTTTGATCGAACACTAGCAGATAAAAACATTGGTATTAAAGTTAATGGACAATACATCAACAACATCAGATATGCAGACGACACTGCACTGCTGGCCGATTCGGAACAAGACCTACAACAAATCTTGGACGAGGTTGCCACAGAGAGTCAAATATGGGGCTTACGAATTAATAAAAAGAAAACAAGGGTTATGAAGGTCAGCCGAACTACAAGCGAAATAACAATCAAGCTTGGCAGTGAAAAATTGGAACAAGTACACCGATTTAAATACCTTGGTGTAATCATTGACGATCAGTTGAACCATGAAGTCGAAATCAAGAGCAGAATTGAACAAGCAAGGCAAGCATTTATTAAATGGAAAACACTCCTTGCAGACCGCAACTTTAGTACATCACTGAAACTGCGCACACTGAAATGCTACATCTGGTCAATTTTGCTGTACGGAGTAGAGACGTGGACACTGACAACAACAGCAACAAAAAGGCTCGAAGCTTTCGAGATGTGGCTGTATCGAAGAATGCTGAAAATCCCATGGACAGCCAAACCACCAATACACAAGTTCTGCAAGATATGGGCACTGACAGGCAACTGCTGAAGACCATCATTAGCAGGAAGTGTTACTACCTAGGCCACATAGCCCGAAACGACCACAAATACCAGCTATTAAAGCAAATCCTGGAAGGAAAAATCGAAAGGAAAAAACGACCAGGACGGCCAAAAACGACATGGCTCAGTAACATCAAAACATGGCTACAATTAACAACAGCACAAACTCTACACGCCGTGCTAAACCGGGACCAATATCATCGTGAAGTCGCACACGCCGTTAGGCAGCACTAAAGAAGAAGAAGAACAACCCTGCGTCAATCCAGTGCTGGATTAAGGCCTCTTCACAACAGGTTGTTATTTTATTATTTCCCTTCTATGTGACTTTACCGAAAGAACCAAGAAGATGAATCCCTGCAGTCACGAAAGCTTTAAATCGAAATGTTTGACCATACTTCACCACTGTATACAAGCTCACGCACCACTGGTTGACAAAAAGAAACACCTGAAATTTTTCAGCGGTTTCTCTCTAATGGTGGAAACGATGGTAGTCCCATCCACGCCATTCCGTGAACACACTCACCTCACCAGTGCTCCCGGCAGTGGCGCGCGTGAAAGCGTGTTACACATTTCATCCTTGTAGCAGCAGCGGCTTTTGGCTGGCTATCAAACAAAGACAGTCACCGCATTGCGCACATTCAGATGCACTTCTGTGGCCGTCTGGAACGCTCTTCCTTCCGATATCAGGAAGTCGCTGGAGCTACGTACTTTTAAATCTAAATTGGAATCGAATTTCTTTAGAACTGCTTTTTGTGTTTAATTTGTTGTCCTTCCCCCACACCCACGACTAGGACGGTTGGCTTCGTACGGTGCGATAGAAGCTCAACGTACATACATACGTACAAAACTCCCGCACAGCCAGCAGGAGCCAGTACTCACGTAGGAGATGAACATGTTGTCCGTGCGTCCCAGCACCACCCCGTTGAGAGAGACGGTTGCCACCGTATCCACCCCTTCAAACACAAGCACCGCCTTCTGACGGTTCCTGCGACACACAGAGATCCCCCCCCACCGTGGAGGGCACGTGCTGTTAGCGAGCACCCATCCATTATAAGACTGGCAAGGTACACGAGGGGGTGGTGGCGTGGCCAGAACCGCGACACCAAACTGTCGTTGTCTCCCCAGTCCTGATGTTTGCGCATTGCACCAGGTACTCATTTATAGCTGAGTCGACTTGAGAGAAATCCAGGGCCGCCTGCCCTATGCAGCTCACTTCTGGTCGCTGCTTTCTTCTCTCGTCTCCCTCTCTTCCGTCCTCTCTCATGACCCTCTCTCTCATCCCTGACAGCCTGGCTCTGTCGATCCTTCTCCTCCCCATCCTGCCTGATGCTCCACGTTTCTTCCCACTGTTCCTCGTTTCTTCCTGCCGCTGATCTACGACTCATCGTGCCCTCTTTGTCTGTCTTGACTACCCTAGCCGTGCTGTGCTGTGGGTAAAAATGTTTCACGATTACTAAACCACGAAATGTAATAAAATAATTGTTTTTTTACCCTTTTATCTGGCAACAAAACTGACACCTTTTTTTACAAGGAGTCATGTTTGCATTGACCACAATACCTGCGGTCGGAATGCAAACAAAAAACACAACTCTGATAATGTATGCACTGTCCTTGAAATTGATTGGTCCACACCCGAGACAGCTTTCCTTAGAGCCTAGTCTCACATGGTGTTGGACCAGATGACGCCAAAAGCCGCACAACTCAATGACAATGCACCATCAGAGTATGAGAGCTCGGGGTAAGCATTTACACCTATTATCATATTTTGCTACTGGCAAAGGAGGTTCCAATGAGGTCACTATATTTAAATTAACTCGACACGTGGTTGGTAACCAGGACAGAATGGTTCTCACTGCAATGGTATCGGCACGGTGAAGTTGCGCTGGTAGGTCCAGTCCTGCCTTGATATCCAGCGGTACACATCATCGTTGAACCTGTAATAGGGGTCCTGCGGAAGGCGGGGTTCAAAGTTGGAAGAATGATACGTTAGTGAGAGACTGACATATAACGATTTGACTAAAACTCTATTATTAGTATGCTTATGATACACACATCGAATTACATGCATAAAAGTCGATGATTATAAGATTGCTAAAATTGCTCTTAAATATAAGCGTTGTGAGCTGAGAGTCTCAGCACAGTCACCAATACTGCACACAAAAAACATCATTACATGTACAGTTCTGCATTTAATTTGCCTAAATGTCCAACTATGAGAAATTAAAATATTGGCTTGACTGTCACACGATGAACAAATATCACAGAGCGGCTGGCAAAGTGTTGCTTCCTAATGTGTGGTGAGAGATGGTGGTCACTTGCAGGGATCTCGAAAGAAGCTCTGTAATCTCCACTTCTGTGGGTTACACTACTTTAGGAGAGATTGGAATGGATACGGAACTTTGTCCATTGAAATAACGCATGCACAATTCGGATACAATTGGGAAAATGTAAAATTATATTTTATTTTATTCCAGTATGACATGTTAGTGGCCGTCCATAAATGACGTCACGCACCTTAGGGGGGGAGGGTCAGACATTTGTGACGATGTGTGACGAGGGGGGGGGGGTGAGAAATGTGACGTCACATCAAAATGCGCAACTTTAAATAAATATAGACAACACGTTCTACTTAAATAGACTTTTTAATAAATGTTTTCTCCTACAACATCAGAGTGCAGCGCCACATTAAATACGCACTGCAATGACAATAGTTTAAAGCGATTTGAAGCATGTTTTATTTTTGGGGGGGGGGGGCAGAGCTTTGTGACGTCATATTTGAGGGGGGGTCTGACTTTTTGTAACGCCGTGTGACTATGGGGGGGGGGTCAAAAATCGTCCAAAATCGCGTGACGTCATTTATGGACGCCCCCTTACGTTGTGGACAATAGAGTGAACAAATGAAAAACAATACAAACAAAACTGTGGTAAAGCCGAGACGAAAAACTAATAATAAAAACACCTGCCCTGACCCCTCCTCCCCCAAATGTCTCCACTCCAGCCCAGGTGTCACGCACCTGTATGATCCCTGCTGCCATTAGGTCCTGGTGCACGCAGCCTGGCACCGTGGCTCTGACGCTCACTCGGCCCTGCCTACTCTCCGCCGTCCACTCGGATCCTCCGAGGTCGTGGGTCTCCGTCAGAGTGGTCCCCGGGGAACTTCGGGGGCGGTGTGGCCGGCTTGACATCACCCCGAGTACTCCCATTGAAGTGCACAGCATCAGCGATAGCAGCAGTGGAGAGAGCATGGTTGGGGGTGGTGGGCAGGGGGTGTTAGCTCGGGGTCTAGGGGGATCTACTTGGGTCCCCGTAGACTGCAGACTGGGACTCTAATCCCAGCGTTGGGACTCAGGGCGTGGACTTCACGTGACTTGCTGGACGTGACGTCAGGCGTTGGGGCGGGCAGCACTTGGAGCTGTCCTTGGTGCCAGACGAGAGGTTTTTTGTGTTGCATACTTCCAATGGCTGGTTGAGTGTTGTTTGTTGTTAGCAAGACGACTCTTATTCTTGGTTCTTTCGGTAAAGTCACGTAGAAGGGAAATAATAAAATAATACATCCCAGCTTAAATAATCGCTCCAAGCCTGGAGTGTGTCATTCAGACTCTGTCTTCTCGACAGACCTGCTCTCCACCCGAGGACGGCTGCTTGCGTTGTGGCCGAAACGTCGTGAGAATTATTTTATTATGTTTCATTTTTATTATTTCCATTCTACGTGACTTTACCGAAAGAACCAAGAAGATAATTGTAACATGTTGCCATCGTGAAATATACTGATTTGAAATTGGGTCCATCTTTTTAAAACACCCTGTACAATAATGGATTTTTTTTTCCTACACAGTCCTCAGGTGATCATCACGTAGTCCGGCAAGCAGCCTATAACAAACCATTTCTTTTTTTTATTTCACCTATATGTGTATACTCGTGTAATGATTGTAGTTAAAATGTAGTATCACTACTGTGTACACACGCACACGTGTGACGTCACTATGCGGGGGGCGTCAATACCACGTGGGTCTACACACACACACACATGATGTCATCTCGGCTGGAGGCGGGAATGACGTCAGGGCCGGTTCTGGCCTCGGGAGGCGTGGCCGGGGTGGGGCCCATAACACGTTCCTTCGGAGTGGGCAGGTAGGAACTTGGTTGGACAGCGCATTCGTGCACGACAGACAGACAAATAATCCCTGGTGGGCAGTGTGGAACCTGTTGTTCCTACCTGTATGTATATAGCCAGGCAGACAGCCCCCTGAACTATCACCCCCCTCCCTTAGGCCCCTCCCCCCTTAGGCCCCTCCCCTGACCCCTTTCCCTTAGGCCCCTCCCCTGACCACCATATCCTCAGGCCCCTCCCCTGACCCCCCTTCCCTTAGGCCCCTCCCCTAACCCCCCTTCTGTTAGGCCCCTCCCCTGAGCACCCCCCCCCCCCCATATCCGTAAGCCCCTCCCCTGACCCCCCCTCCCTCAGGCTCCTCCGCTGACCCCCCCCTCAGGCCCCTCCCCTGACCCCCCCCCCCTCAGGCCCCTCTCCTGACTCCCCCCTTCCTTAGGCCCCTCCCCTGACCCTCCTCCCTTAGGCACCTCCCCTCTCCGTACCCGGCAGTAGGTCTCCACCAATCAAAGAGCTGTGTGTATTATATGTTATGTACGACAGACAAACAGACAGTCAGACAGACAGCTAAATAATCCCTGGTGGGCAGTGTGGAACATTGTTCCTCCCTGTATAAGCAGCTTCCTCACGAGGTTCGAGGCTGCCCGTGCCAAGGATGAAGATGCATCGTGAAGACGCCAAGAAGAGTCAATGCCTCCAGTCAGCAGACATGCCAGTAGCCCACCTGGCTGGGTCACGCTAGAGTAGCTGAGAGTTAGAGAAGTGTGTGTTATCTTCTTGGTTCTTTTGGTAAAGTCACGTAGAAGGGAAATAATGAAATAAAACATAATAAAATACAATTCTCACAAGGGAAATAATAAAAAATAAAACATAAAATACAATTCTCACAAGGGAAATCATAAAATAATAAACATAAAAATACAAAGTGTGTGTTAGCTAGAGTAGGTCGGTGGTCACCACCTAATGTACAGTGTTATAATACTCCTTGGTTCTTTCGGTAAAGTCACGTAGAATGGAAATAATAAAATAATAATAAACCATAATAAAATAATATAATAAAATACTATAATATAATAATATAAAAAAAAATATTTTTTTATTTCCATTCTACGTGACTTTACCGAAAGAACCAAGAAGATGAATCCCTGCAGTCACGAAAGCTTTAAATCGAAATGTTATAATACTGTTCTAATAAATGAGTGTTGCCTCCCAAGAAGTGTGTATGCCTAAATTGAACCCATTACACTAGTATAATGAGAGCAAGTTAAATGTCCTTTATTTTCCCAGAAAGATGCACCGAGTCTCAAGGCCATTTTTCAGGAGGTTCCTGATATTGGGGTTTGTGAACAATTCCATGAATGAGTGTTTGAGTTCATGTGAAAAGAAACCACAGAACCCGGGAGAAACCCCTCTCAGCCCCACGCCTACGACACCTGGCAAGCCCTATTGGTGGTCACCCACCCAACTGCTCTCCAGGTTCAGACCGGCTTGGCTTCCGAGATATGATGACCAGATCGAAGTCATCATGCTGCAACTAATATCATGATAAGGTCAATACAGTATTCGATAATTATCACTGCAGGTGCTTTTGTGCAGACTTGCAAAGGTCTTGAATAGGAATACAGTAGAGTCACGCACGATAGCTGTATCAAGTGACTCACTTGATACAGCTATCGTGCTGTGACGGTTCCACCTGAAGACGGAAGCTTGTGTTGCCTCCGAAACCTCGTGATTTTTATTTTATTTTTTATTTTACTTTTATAAATAAATTTTACCTACGTGACTACCGAAAAAACCTAAGAATATGAATCCTTGCAGTCACGAAAGCTTCAAATCTAGAAAGAATACAGTAGAGTTTAACATTTTCTGTTCAACACCTAGTAGGCTTTCGCGACAGGGCCAATAAATAAATTCACGTGAACATGTGCACCGATGCCGACTTTATTGAAGGCAAAATTGACATGTAAAATAAATATTGATTTCTTCAGGACAATTGTAACACATTCCTAAGGAGGGAGCTGGTAGGAACATTGGGTTGCTCGGTCAATGGCCAGGGTCAACGGCGGCGTGGTGTATTCCGCAAATATGCCCGACTGTAAGGGCGAGCACAAGCCGGCGTGAGTAGATTAAACGTTGAGTTTTATAAGGGCACCACGGGGTGACCAGCCCCTCCCCACCCAGCCCCACCCCTCCCACCCCCCACCCAGCCCCATCCTCCCCACCCAGCCCCTCCCCTCCCCACCCAGCCCCTCCCCACCCTCCACACCCAGCCCCTCTCCACCCAGCCCCACCCCTCCCATTATTGGATGCACGACGGATGGACGGAATAATCCCCTGTGGGCTGGTGTAACCAGGAGGTTCCTACCAGTATTAATTATCATTTGGCTGTGTCGGGTGAAGGAGGCTGTACGACACATTTACTTATTTGACCCAAACAACAATGCATTGTATTAGTGTCTAGTTTTTCGGGGCTTTTGTGGAGTAAATCTCCTCATATATGGAAACTATAGCGACATACTAGTGTGTCATTTGATTTTAATACTTTGGATATTAACAGATAGCACTGTATTTACTAAATTAAGAAACGCTTTTTGTAATCCTTAACATTCAATTTTACACGCATTTAACGCTCAATTAGAAATCCACTTTTTTTTAGTTCAGGAAAATGCAGCTCGTGACACGACTCAAACTGGAATAAAACAAAAATAACATTTCAATGATTCAACAAAGTAACAATTTCGATTTAAAGCTTTCGTGACTCCAGGGATTCATCTTCTTGGTTCTTTCGGTAAAGTCACATAGAAGGAAAATAATAAAATAATAAAAATAAAACATAATAACATACAATTCTCACGACGTTTCGGCCACAACGCAAGCAGCCGTCCTCAAGTGTTATTATGTTTTATTTTTATTATTTTATTATTTCCCTTCTACGTGACTTTACCGAAAGAACCAAGAAAGAGAAAGTAACAATTGTATTGCTTCGGATACATTTATTTGAAACCTAATTACATTAATACACCAAGGGTCGGGGGGGAAAACAAATATTTTCATACTCTTTGGTTCTTTCGGTAAAGTCACGTAGGTAGAAAAATAAAATAAAACAGAAAATAATATATCACGACGTTTCGATCGCAACACAAGCGGTTGTTCTCAGGCGGACAAAAATATCCAGCAGTGGAACTGCTGACCCAGCGAGAGAGCTGTTTCTACCTACGTGACTTTACTGAAAGAACCTGCAGTCACGAAAATTTCAAATCAAGATAGAAATATGTTCACCAACCTCCTTTAAACAGCGTGGGGAAGTATGGTCAAACAATCCTCATGACCCGCAAGATGTGAGGAGGCTCTTCTTTCATTTGGCATTTTTGGGGATTGCAACAAATTATAAATTTATATCGAGATTTGACATCCATTCGACTGCTCCAAGAGTAGCCGCGCGGATGTTTGAGATCTCCGTTGAATGATCCGATCGGGCAGTAGTTCGCGAGATGTTGCACGGTCTAAGATGTGTCGCAGCATCACACTCACAAACTGGACTCTCGTTCTTTTTCCATTCATGGAGAAAGTGTCCAAGGAGGCCCTTATCCAATCATAGATTTATTGACAAAACACTGACAGCAGGGGCGGTTTCTTCATTAGGGTGATTGGGCGACGCACCACCAATGTCATTCAACCACAGAGTCACGCTAGCCGTCACTGTGCCTCTGGATATAGTCCAATCAGCGTCATGCTACGTTCTGTGGAGTACCGCCTCTTTTTGGGCGATTTCCCTCCGGCTGAGAATCGCCCCGAGTGGTCCCATAGACTTACATTCAAAGATGTTTTTTTTCGAATGGGGGGCGCTGCAATGCATTCTCTATGGCTTCCGGGAGGGCTCGCCCTAACGTGCTTACGTCATCATACGTAAGCACGTTTCATCCAACAAAATTATTTGTCGCCACCTAGTGGAATCTTTAATAAAAGAAACATGAGTGGATTGTATTAATAGCGAGTATAGAAACAAACAAGATGTATTGTAAGAGTCACTTTATTTTTCATTAATATTAAAGAAGTGAAGTTGCCTTTACATGCTTAAGCTGTTAATTTATCTATTGCATGGGTGGACCTTATCCTTATCAATCATCCAGACATTTGCCCCCCCTGAGAGATTTTGCAGGAGCCGCCACTGACTGACAGTAATAGCTGAACATAACCGATGATACAGGCGTTACCTTAATGCTTTCTATGCACTTTTAAATAACACCGTGTTCATGCATTTTACATTTGGAAGCCTGACTTGGGCATGACGTGTATTTTTCACAAGGATCCTGCTCCATTGGAAAGTGAACCCAGAGAAACCCCACATAGGATGAGCTCTGTACAAGGAGATTCAATAATCTACTGCTCTACTGCCATCTCCTGCAAGCCTCTGAACCTGACAATACTGTATCCGCTATACCCAAGCAGTCTCCCATTCACGTATTAGCCAGGCTCAACCCTGGCATTGTCAATTTAACATATTTTATCCAGAGGGGATACGCTTCGGGGTGGTGACATTGAAGTTCACTCGCCGCTTCTTGTTGTAAAGGTTCATGGTTAGAACCCAGTGGCTGCGGTGGCTAAATGTTATCTCCTTCACCTGGTATGCAGGAGGTCGTGGATTTGGTCCCAACTCTGACGCCTGTATATTTCTCCCCGTGGTGGCATGGATTTTTCCACACGATAAGCTATGATTTGTAGCCTGATCGCTTCTGAAAAAGAGCTAATAGCTCAGTGGGCTTTACCCAGTAAATAAAACAGTGAAATATCGTAAATACTGTGGTGTGTATTGACCATTAATGAAATACTACGCGGTGTCTTCTGTGACTTCCTTTGCAAGAGCTAGGCCACTACAGCATGTGTCGGTATCCTTGTCCAAATTTGCCAAAATACTGTTTTATATATATATTTTTTAAATGACACATAAATGATCACAAAATTTTAGATTATATAGGAACCATCGCTCTACTGTGTAAACCTGGCAGGACCCTACTGCAAAAGAATTATGATACTCAGCGAGGATTCCCTGAGTAAACGAGCATAATATTTTTAGAAAAGTTCCTCCTCCCAGTAAAGGAAACTAAAGTGCGGTCCTGTGAGATAAAAAACAACAGAGAGAGCCAAGGAAATGTAACCCCCATCCCCACATCATTAACCCATTACACGTGCCAATGTTGGCCCAAGGTTGGCATGAGGTTGGCCGAACGTTGATCCAACGTTGACAAGGACTTGCCCCAACGTTGACCCAACGTTGACAAGGATTTGGCCCAACGTTGACCCAACGTTGACAAGGATTTGCCCCAACGTTGACAAGGACTTGCCCCAAAGTCGCCCCAACGTTGACAAGGATTTGCCCCAACGTTGACCCAACGTTGACAAGGATTTGGCTCAACGTTGACCCAACGTTGACAAGGATTTGCCCCAACGTTGACAAGGATTTGGCCCAACGTTGACCCCAACGTTGACAAGGATTTGCCCCAACGTTGACCCAACGTTGGCATGCAGTTGGTTGGCCAAACGTTGATCCAACGTTGGAATTGCGCTTAGCCCAAAGTTCCACGTTTTGGGCTGGCTACAACAACATCCTCGTGTCACACACACAAAGCAACACGTTCTCTTATTTTATATTTATTTATTTGCTAATGTTTCAGGGACACGCCCTGCCGGTCCCGGCCAATATAAACCCACAAGGCAGAGAGGGCCCCTCTGCTTCCTGTGCCACGGCTTTCGTTACCTTTTGACAGACAGAAGCGACTTTGAAAGCAGCGCGGACTGTGTGGTTTAATCTCGGGGTGAAAAGACAAATCGAGAAGTTGATTTTTTTTATCTTTATCGCAGGTGAGAGAGGCGACGTCATTGTTTGTGTTGGTTGTGTGTGTGATCGCGCGAGTGTGTTTTTTAATAATTAATATTTAATCGTTCGGCGCATGTTACATGCTTGTGTTGCGTGCATGTCTTGCACGGAATGTTTATCTATTTATTTAAATGAATTGCGTTGATTAATTTCCCTATGTTATTGAGTTTTTGTCGGGAGGGGTGGGGAGCGGTGGCGCAGTGGTTAGCTCGTTCCTCCGCTCGTGGGAGTTCCATTGCAAGCCACGCGGCTCACATCAGTGGCGATTGATCTCCTGTCACCCACCACCCCCTACTTGACCAACATACTCGGACTATGATCGATCTGGCGTGGTGGGAAAGACCTTCAACTAGCAGTGGAGTAACAACGAAAAGGCTTTAAAATAATCGCAGTATTTACTGACACAAGACGTGTCCGCACAAAATGGAGACGTTTGTTACGATTGTGTTTGGATTATGGCCAGCAGGGGTTTAGTTGATGCTGTGCTCGGTGTTTAGTGATGTATTTATTGTGTTTTTTTTGTCTCGAGGTGTACCTAGCCTGGCACACGCACCGCGGTGACGTCACCCCTCCCCCCCTTAGTGGCGAACAGCTGGGTTTTATTTAAATTATATTTTATAGGTGTTCGCTAACAGCCACTATCGTTACATATTAACCTGTGTCCTTTTATTGTCTCGTCTTAGATCAATCATCGACAACAGCCTCAGCCTCTAACATGGCAGTAAGTCCAGGCAAACCCAGCATCTCGAGGTCTACATGTTGATCTGTTAGGGGGGCACAAAGAGCTTTATAGGTCATCAGATTTCTCCAGTGTAAATACAGATTCTGGGATGAGAGATGATTTCCACAAAGGCGAATTATTTTGTACCGTATTCTCCCGATTATAACACGGAGTGGTGCCTGGTGATTTGTCACAGATGTGGTCACACAGCTGCCGAATTATATAAGACGAACCCACAGTCAATGTTTTAATAAATATGTGATGACGAACCACAAACTATTACTTTTACACATTCTCCATTCTGCCCGATGACCAAATCACCTGGAATGTATCGGATCTCGGAAGCCAAGCACTACGTTTCAGACCTCTTGTGTTGCGATCTTAACGTGATATTTTTAAATTTTTATTCACTTTCTTTTTATTACTTTATCGTCATTATTTTTTCCTATCTACGTGATTTTCCCGATAGAACCATTGAATGTGAATTCCTGCAGTCACGAAAGTTTACAGTCAAACTTTTATGGACTCACTGTTGCACCTCATTCATCGGGCTTCACGGGCTCAAAGCACCTTAAAGCAACGACGATGATAAACCAGTTGGACAAGTCAAACCTGTTAATTCATAAACAACTAGCTGTACTACCCGGCTTCGCCCGGGACTTGTATCCACCACGGCCGGCCGCCTTTGTCTCCCCAGTGGCGATGTTAATACGCCACACCAGTTACTCGTTTGAGGCAGAGTCGACCTAGGGGAGGTTCAAATAATCGTCACCGGTGGTGGCCGTGAGCGGGAATCGAACTCGGTTCGCCGGGTTGGTAGCGCAGCGTAGCGTTAACCACTACACCCACCGCTCCTCACACACCACACACGCACAGACACACACAGACACACGCAGACACACACAGACAGACACACACACACAGACACACAGACAGCACGCTAACCACTACACTACCGCTCCCCACACACCACACACGCACACACACAGACACACACACAGACACACAGACACACACACACAGACACACACACACACAGACACAGGCACAGACACACACACACAGACACACACACAGACACACACACACAGACACAGGCAGCACGCTAAGCACTACACTACCGTTCCCCCTACACAACACACGCGCGCGCGTCCATAGGTACACATACACGCGCTTGCTGCAGACACACACATACACACACATACATACACGCAGACACACACATACACACAAACACACATACATACACACAAACACACATACATACACACAAACACATACACAGTGACATGCGTATTCCCATCGCGGGGCACGGGACGTGCCTCCCGGCAAATCCCTCGCAAGCGATCGTACACAGATGGACAGACAACTGAACAGTACGACGTTTGGCTGGTAATTGCATCCAGCATCAGCGAAAGGACGTACTCTGAAATGGGAATTGTTGTGGTTTTACGCTTGTACACACCGGTGGGCCAAAGCAGAGACTTATGAGTGTTTTATCAACGGGACACTTTTTGACTGATTGGCCGTGTGGGGTGGTGGAGGGTTACAACACATTAATAATTAAGGCGAGCGAAAGGCAATAAAGTTATTTTTGAAGAATGGTTGCGAAAGCGTACGTGTTACAAAAAGACTCACTTTACTTAAGAAGCAGGCTAATGTGTACATGATAGACTGTCAGTACAGCCACCCAGAAATATAACCAGGCTACACTGTACATTCTAGAGTGGCAGTACGCTCAGCCAGCTTAATGAGTATTTGTTGAGTGAACATTTAAACAAATCCATTATTGGCGCGTGTGGTTTAAACATAATTATACAGTAGTTTTTTCATGAGAAATGGTAATTGTTGTGGTTTTCCGCTTAAACACACCGGTGGGCTAAAGCAGTCAAGTCTTAGTCTTTTATGAACGTGACAATTTTGTGCAGATTGGGCGTGTCGGGTGGTGGATAAGGGTGACACCTTAATAAATAAGGCGATCTAAACGCAATAACGTTGTTTATGAATAATGTTTGCGAAAGCGTACGTGTTACAAATTGACTAACTTTACTTCCTAACCAGGCTAATGTGTACAGGATAGACTGGCAGTACACCCAGCCAGCTGAATAAGCAGGCAGCAGTCTACATAATAGACGGGCAGTACGCTAAAGCAGCTTAATGACTATTTGTACAAAGAACATTTAAAGAATCGATTATAATAACCAGGCTACAGTCTACATTATAGACTGCCAGTACACCCACTCAGCTTCATAAGCAGGCTAGAGTGTACATGATAGAGTGGCAGTACGCTGACAGAGCTTAATAAGCAGGCTACAGTGTACATAATAGACTGTCAGTACGCTCACCCAGCTTAATGAGTATTTGTACAGTGAACATTAAAGTAATCGATTGTTGGCGCGTTGGGTTTAAAAGTAATATTAATAGCACACATTGTGGTGGGGGTGTAGTGAAGAGTAGGAAAAACTTTTATGAATTTACCTCAGAGTGGCGTGGTGGGTGTCGGGGCCTAGTAGCGTGCAAAGCCTGCGGCCTCGCCTAAAATTGTCGACTTGGAAGAGGCAGGGTACGGGTGGCGTTCCTCCCCCCCTAGCGCTCCAACAACACTGTGTAATGGCTATTATTTAATTAAATACGGAGCTTATGAAAGTGGCGAAGGCGTGGCTAGCGGTTGGCAGGGGCAACCGCCGTCCAATGAAACTGCAGCCCTTGGCGAAGGCGTCGCTAGCCGTTGCCAGGTCCAATGAAAGCGGCGAAGGCGTCGCTAGCCGTTGCCAGGGGCAACCGCCGTCCAATGAAAGTGCGTATGTTCCGGAGACACACAGACAGACAGATTCACGATTTTATATATATAGAAAGATATACAGAATGCAGTGACCACCGATACATGTTACAGCCTTTCACTGAATGGGGTGGCTGTTACATGGGGTTGGTTGACCAGTGCATGCAGCATGCCTCTTGCCAATGATGTTAGCCATGCTCAGGTATCGAACTGGGCCCTCTAAGTTCATAGGCCAGTGCACTAACTCACTCTTAATTGCATATCTACCTAAATTTAGATTTAAAGCTTTCGTGACTGCAGGGATTCATATTCTTGGTTCTTTCGGTAAAGTCACGTAGAAGGGAAATAATGAAATCATAAAATTCTCACGACGTTTAGATTGCACTACAAGCAATCATCATCAGGTGTGAAAACCACAGCAAGAATTTTTTGTTCAAATTTGTTGAGAATTGTATTGTTTTTTTTATTATTTCCCTTCTGTGTGACTTTACCGAAAGAACCAAGAATACATATCTACCTGTTGGTATTAACCATTGCATGTTAACTATACTTTTCCTGGGCTCATTATGACATGTCCGTCTTAATTTGCACATTACCTTCTTGAGTAGTCCACTAATTCAGCAGGTTATGTTTTTAATGCAGCCAATTATTTTATAGCTTTGTATTGTGAATACAGTGGATTTGAAAATGCGGTGACAGTACCATATATCATTAAACATAACTCAACACATCTTATAATAATAGTTTTTTTTACCCTATTTTCTGGCAACAAAACTGACACCTTTTTACGAGGAATCATGTTTACATTAACCACAATACCTGCGGTCAGAATGCAAACAAAAAACAGCACTCTGATAATGTATACATTGTCCTTGAAATTGATTGGTCCACACCAGAGACAGCTTTTCTTAGAGCCCAGTCTCATATGGTGTTCGACCAGATGACGCCAAAAGGTGTACCCACTCACAACAACAGCATTTACTAAATAATTGGTATCGCATTTTAAAATCTGGCATGCTCGCTGCGTGGTATATGGGAAGGTATCGGTTCCCGTTTGTTGACCCGTTTCTAACTCGACCGTCTGATGGGCAGCAGCAAGGGCTGTTCTCTCCTCCTCTTGTCATCCTTTCTTCATCTCTTTGCTCTGCTGCCCTTTGCTGGCTTAGATCAGAACGAGATTCTCCTCCGAATCCACGCACTTGCACTGCACACGGTGGCGATATAGACCAGTGTGTGTGTCCTGGTTCTGTTTTCTCGATGTTGGCTTTGTTGCGAATTCCAAGTGAAATAACAAATAGCTATCCTGTTGGCAAAGCAAAGGCCTAGATTTTTTCAAGTAACTAGCTTATCCAGTAAAGTTTTCCTGGATGAATAATTACAAATCTGCTGTATATCGTGAAACAAAATATCTGGTGATTCTGCTGCTGCGTTATCAGTGGTGCATAGCTAACAAATAGAGTGATCTTGGTACGTTAGTCAATAACACCAAGGCCTTGATAGGAAATCGAATAGGTGACGTTACACATAATGGCCAATTGCATCTTGAATTCTTAAATACAATACCGGATGAGTTACTTGAAGCAAGCTCATCGGTCAATTTAGGTGCTTCTCCCACAATATTAAATATATTTTAAAAGTCCGTGAAATTACTGCCCATTTTAAATACTGTAGTCATGTCCCATTGCATTGGCATCGGGTTAGGTTTGGCAGTACAGTAAATCTTCTCAACACAGTTGTTTATGATTTAAAAATAGAATATTAACACAAACCTGGACAGACCATATGCTGAGGGGTAACAAGTGGATTTTGATCATTATCCCTGAGTTGAGGCTAATTTTGTAAAATTATGGAATGGCTTTGAAATCAAATATCCTTGGCGTATACGTTTCCTATTTTCTTTTGACCTTAAAGTTGCTCTCTTAAGTTATACTACATTAAAACGTAAATATACATAACTCCATTCTATCTCTCCACATATCAACACAAATATGTTTTAGTCCATCCGTCTGTTGGCTTTCACCAGACCCTTACTATCAAGAAGCGTCAATTCAAGCAAGCGAACTCAGGACCGGTTTGACCTCTTGGGTTTCGTCAGCAGAGTCTGCCGTGTTGAACAAATGCTGCTGGATTATTAGATGTTATTGGGTAAAAGTACTTCCGTTTAAAATATGGGAATCCATTGAATGCATTCACCTTCGGAAATTATGTGCTGCCATGGTCAAACCATAAATAGTTAATGAGTTACCCATGGTCATGAGTTAACAACGCTGCTCCAAGGCAACGCTAATGAGTTTGTGTCCAGTCACATGGGTTGTTACGGCACGGGCTGATCAAATATTTTGTGAGTGGTAAATACAAGCTGGTGTGCCATTAGGCAATTTGATCTGGTGAGCAGTGGTGCCGGTGTTCCGAGTGATAAAATAGGGTTCACAGAACACTGTAATTGAGGTGACCATGCACCTGGCTCCGTTTACCGTAACACTGGACCTCGTGAGTGCGATGCAGTCAAATTGCATTTTCTGGCTTTTTGCGTTTTCTTAGCACCGCAACCGCATGGTGGTTGCAAGCGACAGTTTTGTGCAATATTCAACCACGTGTTCCTCTTTTATTTGCTATACTGTAACTAAATTTACATCGTAACTGTGTGCGCTTTGCATCTGCTGTTAATGTTTGTGGAGTTGGCTTCTTTTGCGGGTTTTCTTGTGCCACACATTCCAGGCGATTAGCCAGAATAAGCTTTTGCCGGCGGGCGGAGGATTTATGCCAGGACATAGATTATGCAATTTTGTTGTTATTACTTTAATAATCAATGGGTCACGAGTCTCGAGCGATGGAGCAAGAGAGAAGCAGCTGATATTTAGAGCCCAGCGTCTGGAAAAGCCAGGAATGAGTGTGGATTTACTACTTTTACTATTCCTTCATTTCACAAGCACGGTTAATCCACTACCCGACTAATCTCATAGACACTCAAGGTTAACTGTACAGTATATCATTTGTTAATATTATACAAGGTAATCCAGGTAAATAATATCCAACGAGCGAATGAGCCCCCTTTGCTTTGCACTGAATAGGTGATGTGAATCTTATGTCATCAAAGTGATAGCAACCATCGATTACAGAGAAGGGAAGTGTTCATTCATGTGATGCACGTGTATTGAGATGGCTGGGAAGTCGTGAGGACTATTTGTTAGTTTGTCTATAATTTATACCCCTATTTAAATTACCATCCCTATTTCTGGTTAGGCATGACCTTGTATATGAGTCCCCGTAGTACGTGGCTGGTCATGTGCTGCTTGCTGATGAGCCTCGGGAGAGCAAAACTCATCTGTCACCGAGTTTATAACGAGCTATTTTAAATTTAAATCGGGAAACATTGTTTGGCTCTGCTCTGAAGAAGGGCTGTTGTTTGTACGTTGAACTTCTTTCGCACCGTGCCAATCGGAGGTGCCTGAAACGTCGGCATATTACATGTGAAGATTAGTAGGGAGGCTTTGAAATAAAATGTAGTTTTCTCTCATTTATCCCTATTTAGTGGGGTGTCTATAAATGGAACCACCCTATATAAGTCATTTGGTGCTGCTGCGTTGTTAGTGGTGCACAATTAACAAACATAAACCCCAACACATTTGTCAATAACACTGGCCTTAAAAGGGGAAAATATACAATGGGTGACGTTTCGGTCATTGGCCCTTCGTCATCGCACATAATGGGATTTTTTGCACATTTTTGTACGCAGCATAAACGAATGGTGCTTTTTCTGGAACATTTATTGTTTTTGTAGGGGATGTTTAAATTTGCGTACAGTAAATTTTTATGTATCTTGTAATTTTATTGTTTGTTGCGGTTGCACCCGAATCAAGAGCCGAATGGCTCGCAGGGTTATTCCAAATAAATTAAACTGAAAACTGAAGGGTGGATAATCCAGAATGATTTGGAGACGGAACTTTACGTCGTAGAGCCGGATGAGAATAAAGTATAAAAAATGTTTTCCCGGTGACCGTTTTTTAACCTGACGAATGCGCCCAGTTTTCATAAATAACGGTAGAAAGGTACATTCAGCGGTGCCTTTCTGAGCTGTGTTCACGGTGTGGCGATCAGGCAAGGGGCACTGTGCGCGAGGCGTCTGGCTTCAATGCCCTGCAAGACGCGGAAAAGCTTCGCAAGGCCATGAAGGGCATTGGTAAGTAACTCCACGCCTTGCACACTTCAGTGTTATGCTTGTCGCAAGGTGGAAGAGGAGGGTGCACTCATTTCAGCCAGCGTTTTGGAGAAGAGATTGGTGGCTGGTAGAGTACATCTACAAGTGGATGTACGTGTGTTATGATAGGCTCACACTGATGACATCACCTCGACTGTATTTAAGGCTGAAACAGAAAGACTTCTTCACAATTCTGGCTAATCGCCTGATGAAGCAAGTTGTTGTAATCACCAGCAACACGTTGTACTCGAATCGTAAATGTAGTGGCTTTACTCTCCAACACACCAGTGGGCTGAAGTAATGAATAATTGGCACGTTTTGTTTACGTAACAAACCTTACTAACTAGACTTTTGCCCCTCCTAGGACGGAAGCTGTAATATTTACGATAAAAATTGAGCAGAGTATAATTGTATCTTGTGTAAATTTAATGGCAGTGATGCTTGCACGAAAGTACGTCATCAAACACGACACTGCACTTAACTGCAGTACTGTATTAATGGCAGTGATGCTTGCACAAACTATGTCATAAAACACCTCACTTAATGTCACTGTAGCACTGTATTTAACTGACCTTCAATTAGCCTTTTGCCCGTCCGAGGACGGAAGCTGTACTATTAAAGATGTACATTTACGTTTTCTTGTGTGATTGTACATTTTTTTAGAAAATTGTTGCACGTAAATACATTTTTCTTAACTTAAAAAATGAAACCTCGGTATACGATATTTTGTGTGAATCTCTTGTACTGTATTAATGGCAGTGATTATTGCACAAAACTACGTCATTAAACACCTCACTTCATGTCACTGTAGCACTGCATTTAACTCACCTCCAATTAGTTCTAAATCACTGCTCTGATACTTTATTTTCTCCTGATTTTGCTTGCTGAGGTTTGTAATTAATTTGAATTCGATACAATGTCTAGAAAATCACAGAGCAATGTCTATTTTATCATAATTTAGAAGCAAAAATTAGACTTACCTTTTTATTTCAAATGCTGAAGAAATAAATAAAGACACCAAATACACTTTGTTGCTGCGTATAATTATTTATTTGATTAATTTTAAATAAAGAGACGTCAAATTGAAAGCGGATTTTGCTGCACTGCCCTCTGATGCCAACCACATAGCCCTGAGAGGAGGATTATAAAGTGCTCGGTAAATGTAAGCAGAGCTAGTATGTTGCTGACCTACATGTATCGATGATTTTTGTTCGTTATCCCAACTTTGCTTCAGATTTTCTCAGGAAATATTGTATCCTCTCACGTGCAAGAAGCTCGTTGATTAATTTACAAAACATCTCCAGCTCATGTTTGGGTGTTTGTCTCCTTAATATGGTCCTAAAGATTCTCTGGGCAAATTAACTTTTCAGTCGTTCCATCCCCGGGACCCTTTGATCAGCGCCAACATGGTTGCTTCGCTAGGAATTTGACTGAGTGATTGGTTTTATTTTTAACCAAATGAAAGCGTTGACTTAAAACATTTCGAACAGGGTTGCTGCTCTGTGTTTATTTGGCAAGCGGAGGTCGTTGTAATGTGACACCAGTGGCTGTGGGGAAGTCTACAAGTGGGACATCTGTGTTGCTGCTAGGAAGGGCAGCGGTAGTGTTGCAAGCTGTGGTTGGCAGAGTGATGACAGATGTGGCAGCAGCCAGTGGGTTGAATTGAGCAAGGGCTGTGTTCTGTTTCAAAAGTATTTTGTGTACCGTAGTTGTACACGCATGGACATGGCATATACTTGAAGCCCACTGGCCATAGGGAGTTTCTAATATCGGCATTTTGCAGTTTTGCTGTATAGCTGTGTACAGCTCTGTGTGTTGTTTGTTTGTTTGGCACGATGCCCAATGATTTGCTGCACTTGCTGGGAGCTTCTGCAGGAACTGAATTCAGGATCTGACAGTGGCAGACTTCTTCATTTGTAATCTTCCCTAATGCCCATGTCACATTGCAACACCCTCCTTGGCAAATAGAGATAACGTTACTAGATGTTTCAAGTAAATGTTTTCAGCTGATTTAAAAAAAAGTTAAAATCTAAATCGTGAATTTATGATTCGGTATAGGAGATGAATTCCAGTCCTGGAGAAGTTCCCGGCATGTGTCGCGAAACGTCGGACATCAGGGAGAACAACACGCAGCACAACTCGAAAATGCATCAGAGAGTCATACAGCACAACCCTGAACCTCCACAGTAGAACCCCTCCTTAATGTCCAGCGTGATTCATGGCATTTGCACGTGTGTGTGTGTGTGTGTATATAAATACACACAAGACTGTTACGTGTGAAGGTGTGTCCTGCACAGAGTGATCATGCCTCCAGGCTCAGGGACTCCCATGAGAATCTCGTCTCAGCAACGAGTCCAACTGGATATACAGCCAGGAATGGACGTGGTTACCCACATAGTTTGCTAGTGAGTGGATGGAAATGTGGCCAAAATAATCAATTACCACGACTAATGGGATTCTAACTTGAGCTGCCAGATATGAGTGTATCTGTTTAATCCATGAAATGAAATAACAACAACCAGATCATGGGCAATTCATGCTATTTAGGCACATAACAATGCATCGATTGATTTAAAATGAATGAAGACAAGGCATCGGATCGCATGTGTCTATATATTTGTGTTGTTTGACCGTACTTCACCAGCATGGTGGTTTATGGTCAAACAACTCCCATGACCGACATGGCATTGGGAGACTTGCATTCTTGGGGGGATGACGGAGGGCTGTGATGGTGGAGCCTGTGCTCTATTTACTGCATGCCCGTTGCGAGCTTGTTTCTTGAGAGCGTTAATCGCGATGGATGCTCTCTGTGTGCGTGTGAGCGCAGGCACGGACGAGCAGGCCGTTATCGACGTGCTGGCCTGTCGCAGCAACGCTCAGCGCCAGCAGATCGCCCTCAACTTCAAGTCGGCGTATGGGAAGGTGCATACCCCCCCCCACCTCCTTTAGTCCTCAACCGGGAGACAACCTCTATCCCTTCCCAGATTTTCTTGAATTTTACTTCTTCATTTCACTCATTCCTTCTATCTTCTTGGTTCTTTCGGTAAAGTCACGTAGAATTTAAATAATAAAATAATAAAAATAAAACATAATAAAACAATTCTCACGACGTTTCGGCCACAACGCAAGTAGCCGTCCTCAGGTGGCCACAACGCTATTTGCGTTGTGGCCGAAACGTCGTGAGAATTATTTTATTATGTTTTATTTTTATTATTGTATTATTTCAAATCTACGTGACTTTACCGAAAGAACCAAGAAGATGAATCCCTGCAGTCACGAAAGCTTTAAATCGAAATCATTCCTTCTATTTAAACTAAAACTATTGAAACCATTTTTTTATTTTACTAGGTAAGGCCCACTGAGCTACAAAGCTCTTTCTCAGAAGCGACCTGGTCACAAGTGATATCTCTACGAAGTGGCCTGTCGTGTGGAAATTTATAGCAGCCAAATACTCTTAAACGCATGTTTCTAAAGTTGTCAAGCAGCATCTCAATTGTTATGCCCCTTAGCCGCTTGCCCATCGTCCTTCCAGAACTTACTTTTGGGCTCTCTTATAAAATCCTTCCTTCCAGAACGTCATTCATCAAGCAGTCGCCTCTAAGCATTTTCCTAATTCACATCTAATATCCAATGACGCATTGTTATAATGAGGCTTGTCTCAACCTTAACCTGATCTAGGACTTCTGTTCTTTTTCGCTACACCCACATCTCAAGACTCTCCACTCTTCTTACGTCACACACCACATGGGTTTACATAGAAATACATTAAGGGATTGCATTGTCATTGGTTGCACAAGCACATCTCAAGAAAGATTTGCCGTGTTTGTCATGATCGCCACCTTACAACAGAAAACCTTTCAAACCCACATTTTTCCAGCGTGGTGAAGTATGGTCAAACAACCCTTATGACCTTCATTGCGTGGGGGGGTCCTTCATCAAACAGTGGATTCATAAATGGCTACAATTAATTAATGGTACGCGCAGCCCTGCTTTCTTATGCCACTGCTGGCAGAAGGGCCTTCACTGGAGGGTATTTGGCCTACTCTTCCACACTGGCCAGACATGTTGGAAGAGCTGGGAGTGCCCACACCCTGCCCCACCGCACACAACCTGCCCGCTATACGAACGGTGATGTACCCATTTACACTGCTGAGTGGACAGCGGTGGGGTGGGCGATCGTTAAGGAGCAAGCCCAATGACCTCTGGATCGTACTTCCAGCGAAGTCACTGTTACACCACGGCAGCATCCCCGCTTGTTATTGAACTGTTCAGTCTCAAATCGACTGGACAGGGTCGGTGTGGTCGCATTGACAGGTGGGCGATGTCAGACGTTGGCCTCGCCCAGTTTGGCGTCGGAAACTTTGCCTCCCTTCGCCATCACGAGCTTCAATTTGTGCAATGCGCGACGTGTAGACACCGCCACTCACCCGCACCTCCCGGGTCCCCTCCGCAGGACTTGACCGACGAACTCAAGTCCGAGCTGTCTGGAAAGTTCGAGACGGTCATCCTGGGTCTGCTCATGCCGCCCATCAAGTACGACGTGACTCAGCTGAGAGAAGCCATCCAGGTATGGGTGCGGGGGTGCGACTGGGCGACCCCAGAGGCTGGGGTTGGTGGGTCGTGCAGAGGTTGTGCCGGGCCGATGAACATGGTACAGACTTAATATAGGGGTTTTTTTATGGGATAGATCATGTAGATATAGAAAGTCCTATTTCAGGAAGACTTCACAATTCTGGCTATCGCCTGATGAAGCTAGTTGTTGTAATCGCCAGGGAAACGTCGTACTCGAATTGTGAATGTTGTGGATTTACTCTCCCAACACACCGGTGTGCTGAAGTAGTAACTAATTGACACTTTTTATTTACGTGACAAACCTTACTAATTGGCTGTGCCGCGTGGTGGCAGGTTTAACGGCACGCTTATATTTATGCGATTTAACCCAAAAAAAACTTTATGGAATATATTGGTCGCGAAAGCCTACGTGTTCAATAGTTAAGACTCCAGTCAACCCTCTACTTTTACAGCTGGGACGATTAGTCGGCTTATTATTCTAGGCCAGGGGTTGGCAACCTACGGCTCCGGAGCCGCATGCGGCTCTTTACGGGCTGCTTCTTGACGATATGTACGTATGTACAGTATGTACTCAGATGCATTGCGGCTCTTGAAATACTGAATTTTGTACCGAATTGGAAAGAAATGGCTCTTCTTGTTATTTTGGTTGCCGCCCCCTGTTCTAGGCGATTACTTTTCTTGTGGTCTCTTATTCTTGACCGTCAAAAGTGGCAGTCCCTCCCCCGCGTCCTGCCCCTCCTGAAGGCGAGAAACCTCCTCCTACGAGCCCCGCCCAGCGTGACGCCGCCGATGACGACACTCAGTCCCGCCCATGACCTCTCATCCAGTGGCACACGTTTAATATTTTGGGAGATTTGTTTACCCTGAATCTGGCATTTGTGAGAACCGCCGGTTTTGGAGCTCGCGTCTGTTCATGTTTTCCACACTGTGGTCTGATGGCTGGCGCCAGGGCACGCAGTGTGAATGCCTGGAGCCATTCACCAACAATTTTTTAAGAATGGGCGCATCGCGGAAATCACACTAAACGCGTTCTCTGTTTTTAACATGCAGTTCTGTACAACTAGCTTGAGCTCCTTGTAAACAAACTGTTGGCAATGTAGTACTGTTGTTTCACTACAAAAGGAACCGAACACATTTTAATTTACAAAATGTAATAGATAATGTGTGTCGAAATAGATTGTTGGGGACTGTCTGTACTGGTGTTTTCTAAAACAGAAACACATTTTACCAACATTTTCTTAAATTAGGCACTGGGTTTAAAGTAAACTTTGTTCCTATGAAATTCCATTTTTCTTCTAATCAAGTTGATAGCAAAATTTCCAGATCAAATATGTAAATTAAAATTAACGAATCCTCATGCAAACAAGATAAAAAAAAATTGTCTTCTATATTTTTTTCAAAGAAATGCATTTCAAGTTTATTTTTGGTTTAACCAGGTGAGACAACAGCTGGTTTGGGGGTGATGCTGTGTCGCAGTGGTTCGCACACCCTTCGCTATGAACCCAGCGACCAGAGTTCGATTCCCGGCCACGGCTGACATCTGAACTTGTTCTGGCCCTTCCCGTCACCAACCCGCACTGCCCCACATGGAGTAGTATATTCTTTGGGTCTTTCGGTAAAGTCACGTAGATAGGTTCAAAGAAAATAACAAAAAACAAAAACTACAGCGTTTCGATCGCAACACAAGTGGTCGTCTTCAGGAAAAGGGGGGTTTAGCTTCCAAAGTCAAACTATTTATAAGGGTCTGAAATGGGCATCGCCCAAAAGTCGGCAGCCAATGTTAATGCAAGTGGTGGGCAGCCAATCCGACGGTGGTTGGTTTTCCACCAATCAAAGGGCTACCCGGATTTCCCATTACATGAAGACGACCGCTTATGTTGCGATCGAAACGTCGTAGTTTTTGTTTTTTTGTTATTTTCTTTGAACCTATCTACGCGACTTTACCGAAAGACCCAAAGAATATGAATTCCTGCAGTCACGAAAGCTTCAAGTCAAGATGGAGTAGTGTGGTTGAACCAACCCAATGACAAACACAGCTTAGGGATGCCTTCATCCAGCAGTGGAATGACATCAGGCTATGAATCGGGGAAATAGCCCTTCGTCATAGCGTAAAGAAGGGCCATTGCCTGAAATGTCACCTACCATTGAATTATTGACATCAAAGCAGGTTTCTTTGCATGTTTTGACACGTGAAGTATTGGAAATGACGGCAGGAACTTCTTGACGGGTAACACACTTTTATTAAATCTTGACGTGTCAGAATACAACGTGTGGTCTCTATTCTTTGGACTATACACTCCACTTAACTCGTGTAGACTCTATGCCTCTGGCTACACACAATACACTTGACTCGTGTAGACCCTATGCCTCTGGCTACACACAATACACTTGACTCGTGTAGACCCTATGCCTCTGGCTACACACCATGCATTCGGCTCGTGTAGACCCTATGCCTATGGCTACACACAATACACTCGCCTCACAGAGTCCCGGTCCCGTTAGGACAGCGGGACTAGGTACCGCAGGGCCCTATCTCTTCGATCCCCGTCTTCATTCTTCGCTGGTTACATACTGCCCTTACGCCTGTGTGCATCCCCTTTTATAGCCCCTGCTCACGAGAGACGGAGCTGATGCGGACGTCGACGTGAGCATCGCTCCTTAGTGAACCAATCACGACGCACTCTCTCTACGATCCGTTTTCCCCAGCGCGTGCTAACACTACTCCACCAATCACACCGCGCTGCCACCCGGTCACTCCCTCTCAGCGCGTCACCGGCCCACAGCCAATCATTACCCCGTAACCCACGACCCCGCGCTGACCCCTGATCCTCCACCGTCAGCGCGCGTCACCACATATACAGCCAATCATTACGCGCTGGCATACGATCCCTAATCCCAGCGCGTATCACCACTACACATGTACTGTGTGTGGTTAATGCAGACTTAATGCCTTGTTTTATTTTCAGAAAGGTTGAAGTCTATTCTTGTATTTTTTTCATCGCGATCCGTTTTTGTTAATTGTGTTTGTGCACCGCTGCCAACGCAGAATGACAAACAGTTGCTACAATCGATTTCCGAATCTACAAATCTTCCCGTGCCTGCCTTTCCCCCCATCCCACCTCTTCCTGGAACGATCGATCCAGGGTGCCGGCACGAATGAGCGATGCATCATCGAGATCATGGCATCGCGTGGAAACCGAGAGATCCTAGAGATCGTGAAGCTCTACAAAACCCGTGAGTGCCGACCTCGCGACCAGTCAGCACGCTAACACCATCGGCAGCAAAAACGTTGCTCGACAATAAAATACTTATCCACGACCCCTGACCAACCTCAATTGATCTGCAGAAACTATTCCCAGAAACTCTTATGAACAAACGGATTTGTATCATTGAGTGATTTCCCAGTAGTGCCAAATTCGCCCTATTGTGTGAGTCTTTTGTGCAGATAAGAGGAACCGAATCCATTTTGTTATCTACAAATAACCGCACGGATAACAGCTATTTCCTTGAATAATAGAATCTCCCGATAGTTCTACACAAATCACCGCGCACAAGGCTTAGTTACACTGTACACACAGAAACTTTTTAACCACTGAGTAAAAAGAATTCCACAGCAAAACCTGTGGTGCAGCCAAAACCAATTGATCATGAAAACAAACAGAACAAGTGTGCAACAATAATCAAGCACGGGGAAAAAAATCATCGCTCAGCAAAATAAATATTCTGTTCCTTTTGTAGTCTTTGAGCCGATGGAGGAAATGTTTGTAGTGTGTGTGTGTGTTCATGTGTACACTGCGTGCTATGGGGGAGCGATCGCGCAGCGACTTCTGCTAAGAAAAAGGCAACTTGAGTTCAATTGCCAACCACGGCTAACATCGATGGCAAGCATAATTAGAACTGGTCCTGGGTCGACCTGGCCTTAAATGAGTGTCTTCTGCAGTGTTTTAAGCATGAGCACTTGGGAGACAACAGTAGCAGTGCTGGCACACAAACACCTCCTCACCGCAGCGCATGCCTTCATCGGTGCCCGCTAACAGCACTCGCTCCCAACGGTCTTAGTGAGGATTGCACCGTGGGTGTTTATTTGCCGTCCTCTGTGTGCTCTGCGCAGAGTACCATCGCTCTCTGGAGGATGACCTCGTGTCGGATACTTCGGGATACTTTGAGCGAGTCCTCGTTTCATTGTCAACAGTAAGTGCACACCACGTGTACTCGGAGTGTTGCCCCCTCGTGCACGTATGGGTTTACTCCGGGCGCTGCGGTTTCCTCCCACTCATCTTCTTGGTTCTTTCGGTAAAGTCACGTAGAAGGGAAATAATAAAATAATAAAAATAAAACATAATTAAATAATTCTCACAACGTTTCGGCCAAAACGCAAGCAGCCGTCCTCAGGTGAAGAACAGGTCTGTCGGGAAGACAGACCTGTTTCCGACAGACCTGTTCTTCACATGGAGACGGCTGCTTGCGTTGTGGCCGAAACGTCGTGAGAATTGTATTTTATTATGTTTTATTTTATTATTTCCCTTCTACGTGACTTTACCGAAAGAACCAAGAAGATGAATCCCTGCAGTCACGAAAGCTTTAAATCGAAATTCCTCCCACTCATTAATTGACTGAAAACTTTTTAAAAGTAATGTAAAAAAAGCAATATAGGACACTCCTGAAAAAAAGTTCTAGGACTCTGGGCCAGTTTTCCTGGATAAATTAATACTTGTTAATAAGCCTTCAAGTATTTTTTTTATTTGATTACATATATTTACTCAGGAACGCCTCATTTGAGTTTGAAGAATATTTTATCGGGAGGGTCCTGATACGTTGTAACGTGGTCTGATCCAAATCCCATTCCTCGGTACCATATTTTCAAGATTATAAGGCACACTTTTTCCTGTCGTTTAAAGCAAAGTTGGGCATTCGTCTTATAATCCCATGTATGTGTGTGTGATTGACCATATTTGTTTGTTTATTGACACTGGGCACCAGTTTGGAGCGCATCCTCTATTAATCAGCGGTGGTGAGATGTTAACTACCTTGCCTGGTATACAGAAGGTCGTGGATTCGATCCCGACCCTGACGTCTGTACATTTGGAGTTTGCGTTTCTCTCTCTCCATGGTCGTGTGGATTTTCCCCCGGGTCCTCTGGTTTTTCCCTCCACATTTAGAATCGATATCACGTGTGTAAGGTATTTGGCCACTATAAATGTCCACACGATGATAAGCCACTTTGTTGAGCTATCATTTGTGGCCAGTTCGGTCCTGAAAAAGAGCTCGGTGGGCCTTACCTGATAAAATACTAAAATAGTTGAGTTCATAGTTTTGCTTAATCTGGAGATTCCATGAACGGTGACAAAGGATGTTCTCTTTCTCGGCTCGCCAAGGGCAACCGTGACGAGGGGACGTCCATTGACGACGCTCTTGTGAAGAAGGACGCGGAGGTGAGCGGTCCCGCACCGGCGCCAGGGCTTGATCTCTCAAGGTTTTTGTTGCAATGGAAGTGGCCGGGTGTCTCGGGGGTTCGCAGCGCAGCGCCCGCAGCGCCGAATCCCCTGGTTGGGGATACGAGTTTCAAGCCGCCTGTGGTTTCAGACCTTGTTACCGACGTTTTGCTTGTTTTTGCTAAACTGCATCTCTGCAAATTAACAATATCAGTTTGTATTTATTAGTGCAGTAGCAGACCATTTCTCAGCAGCAGCTCACGTGGGAGAGTTCTCTTCTCGTGCGGTTGAGAGGTCACTTGAAGGCGTCTCGGAAGTAGTTTTGTGATGTCTCCTTCTGCGAACCTTGCTCAAAAAATGGGGTGGACTGGTTTTGCGAGAGAACCAAACGGTAAACCTAGTCTCATGGCGCCACGTTGATATCACAGTCGGAGTAGAATTGTCGGAAAACACCTCTCTTTTCGATGCAAACAAGACCATCCCCCCCACCCTAACAGCTGCGTGTCACCCACCTTCTATATGTCCCCTACCACCACGGTGTCTGGTGCTCCGTGCGGCCTCCAGACGCTCTTCCAGGCCGGCGAGAAGAAGACCGGGACGGACGAGACTGCGTTCGTGATGATCCTGTGCAGCCGCAGTGTGCCCCACCTTCACAAAGGTCCGTCGCGCGCGGAGAGTGAGGCCCACTAACACTTAGTCCTGCTGCTTACAGACCAGGGGTGGGCCGCCCCACGGCCCACAGGCCAGGTAATGAGGCCCGTAAACTTCGATTTGTACCGCCCGCGACCACATGAGGGCTACCACTTTGAATCGGCCTGCACACGTGTATCTGTCGTTGCAAGCATCTTTGCTGCACTCATCGGGTACTAGAGGGGGCAATATTTTTGGCCCGACAACAACACTTTGTATCTAATGTTAGTGTGCTCGGTCACTTCCATGACTGAATGAGCCTTTTGTAGTGACTGAGGTGGGTGGGTGTGTTTTTAATGTGTGACCCGCCAAGGTTAAAGTCCAAATCGGCCCGCGGTAAAGAAAAAGAATACCACACCGCTATTATAGACTCAATGTAATTGCATGAAGATTATGTATACATATGATTGCTTTGTAATGCTCTTGACCATTGCAACTGGCTGCTTAACGGAGTTACTTTTTGCAAAAATTTTCAGAATGGAGCATGACCAGAGGTCGCAAACGGGTTTTGATTGCTTACCTACCGTACCCGGCCGCACCAGGGTCGCAAACGGGTACCCGTACCCGGCCGTACCCGTACCCTACCCGTACCCAGTCGGGTACGGGTAGGGTACGGGTATCGGGTACCTGATTGCGACCTCTGGGATGAAGCCATGTTGCAGGCGCGGGTGGGTTGATTCTAGGAACTTGAATTGTGAGAAGAGACAAGACGTTGGGAAATGAGTGACAAACGGTTACTCACCAGTGACTCACCGTCTACCCCTACCCGTACCCGGCCACACCAGAGTCGCAAACGGGTACCCGTACCCGGCCGGGTACGGGTAGCCGGGTATCAGGTACCCGGTTACGACTTCTGAGCATGACCCTGGTTCCCTGTATTCGGTATATTTCGTCTCCGGGTGTTGCCACTTGCTGGCAGCAGACGCATCATGTGCGTGATCCCAAACAAATCCTAAATTCGCTCGCGTGAAATATTGTAACTGGTTGAGAATAGATGGAGCCGGCTGTGAGAACTTTGATATACTAGGGCTGAGATGTACATGTAAAGCCCCGTTGACAATCTACTGCTGGGTGAGGGGTCTCCCCTGCACACAAGAAGGTGTCTGGTACGGAGCTGCAGAGATGAGATCGGCTCGTGTGCAGGGCCTGGGTGGATTTTTTGCATCGTGGGACCATGAGAGACACCGACTGCTTGGGGGGAGGCCTTCATCTAGCAGCGGATTCATCATGGCCGGTGATGATTATGATGAGTGATTTGATGATCATTACGATTAATCAACGGTGTTGTGATGTTGACGGGACAGTGTTTGAGGAATACCAGCGAATTTCCGGCAAGGACATTGAGCAGAGCATTAAGAGCGAGATGTCTGGTAGCGTGGAGGATGCGCTGCTGGCTGTGGGTAAGTCGCACCGTGCACACAGCACACTGTGCCATCTGTACGTGTCACACCACAAGACATCACAACGAGGTCAACAACACATATCCACACCAAGCTGCAACACCACAATGTTGTGCTTGCATAACACCTCTTTTGTACCACACCACATTATCCCAAACCACGTTGTGCTCTGCACCACACCATATCCAAGGCTCGCCATGCCATACCACATCATCTATGCCACGTCATATCATACCAACACCAACCAGCGCTGTCACTGAGGCTCTTCCTTCCACCCCACACACACGACGCCACACCGTCACACTGTATAGAATGCCCTGGTTTAACTTAACTTAACACTTTCCAACGAAGATTGATAACGTAAACACATGAGCTCTGTCTGTCCGTCCTCATGACTGTCATATGGAGGCAGGATGGCTCTGGTGAAATTGATCCAAAATGAATAATCAACGTTTTTGGGTTGATTATGAATAATTTTGGTCACGAAAGCCTACGTGTTAAACTGATCCAATATGAATGAAACTTTTGTGTAAAGTTCTGTTGCTATTAGGGACTTTCCCAATATAGAACGAACTCAATCGATCAAAGGCTTGTCTAAAATTTGAAGACAAAAACCAGAACTAAAAGGGCTCTCCTCTATTACCTGGCCTTACCGGCTGCGGAACGCCTTCCTGGCACAGCTGCTAAGCGAGCCCCGAGGCCTCACTCTGGCCTACAGACATACTACTTCCTGCATGCCTGGCGCTAAGCGCAACTGTTATAACTGCTGATTAAATACCTGCTAATGACAAACACATGTTGCAAAGTGTTCTATAATCCATGCATGCGCATGGTCTTGCTTCTCTTGTTGTTGTAGATGTGTCTCGTTGATGGGTTTGTTTGTCCCCACCACAGTGAAGTGCGTGAAAAACAAGCCTGCTTTCTTTGCCGAGAGCCTCTATAAATCTATGAAGGTGAGGAGTCCTCCACGCTGCCTTTCACTCCCTATCCTCGTGCACACAATCCATATACATTGTCCTTTGGTTTCAGTTTTATTTTCAGTTTCATTTATTTGGTAGAGCAAGTGCTGTTAGCGAGCACCTTTGACTATGTATGTCTGCTGAACTTCTGTCGCACCGTGTTTCAGTTTCATTTATTTGGTATAGCCCTGTGAGCCATTCGGCTCATGAATCGGGTGCAACCGCAACAAACAAAACCATGAACAAGGAACATCTTAAAGTGACTACGCGCAAACAGAAAAATCCAGGAAAACACAGCAAAGACTTACAGAAAAAGCACCGTACATCAACGCTGTGTGCAAAAATCCCAGTGGGATGCAAGTCAAACAATAACAACCATGAGACAATTTAGATTAAAGTTATCAGTCTGGTCTCTGCCAAAAATAATGTGGGATTTCCACGTTAACGCCAACCAACGTCCTAGCCATTCGAGTTGACTTTCTTGTCTTTTATCTTTTTCTTGTCTTTTTCCTTGCCTCTTAATTTTTAATCCTATCCCTTCATAATTGATGAGCAGTTTTATTTTAATTATTATTCAAGTAGTGCCACTTTGTTGATTTGCGCAACCGTTTCTGATGCAGGGCGCCGGCACGGATGACGCGACGCTAATGCGCATCATGGTGTCGCGCTGCGAGGTGGACATGCTGGACATCCGAGCCGAGTTCAAGCGCCTCTACGGGAAGTCTCTCTACTCTTTCATCAAGGTTCGCTTGAGCGAGGTGGTGCGTGTGGGAGGGGGGGGGGGGTGCGAGTGCGGGTGCTGCGAGGGGGACATAAAGGGGTGCGAGGAGGGGGTGCGATGATGTGCGAGAATGGGTGGCGAGTGGTTATCTGCCTCGCCTGATATACACGAGGTCGTGGGTTCGATCCCGACCCTGACACCTGTACATTTTACTTTTTACGCATTTCTCTCTCCCCCTGGTCGTATGGATTTTTATTCTGGGTCCCTCGTTTTTTCCCCCCGCACATTGAGTATTTGGCTGCTATACATTTCCACACGATATAAGCCACTTCGTTGCGCTATCATTGGTGGCCAGGTCGCCTCTGAAAAAGAGCTAATGCCTCGGTGAGCTTGACCTGGTAAAATAAAATAGTTGTTGCGTGCTGTGTGGAAGCCAAGTGCCGACTCGTAAAAACGCTTCCGAAGTTCGTCGGGAAATCGTTGAAACGATTCTATTGGTGAACTTGGCGGTTCCTTTTATTCACGCAGGGTGACTCATCGGGTGACTACAGGAAGGTGCTGCTGCAGCTGTGCGGAGGGGATGACTGAGCGTCACGACGCCAAACGACACGGGGAGTCAACTAGGGGACCAGGATTCGCGAGTGCCTTGTATTGTGCAACGTGTTGACATTACCGTGATGCTTACACGGTCACTGTTTAGCCATTAATTGCATTTGATTCGCAGTACTAAAATAATAGGGATGTAACAATTACACGTGTTGATGATTTTTTATGTTTGATTAACTGATAGATTACATTTTTCTAGCACCTACAGTGAGTTTCAATATTCGACATGTATTGAGAGCTTTAGAGTGTTTTCAATCAAATTGTCAACAATATTTAGACTACAGAGCATTGTTTAAGCATACGATATTCTACCATGTTCTACATTTCTCATTGTGCCATGGCAATGCTATCTTGGTTTGGCCTGTGCACGGTTTCCCCCACTCATTGATGATACTCGTCATTGACTGGGACTGGACTGAAGCTTTTCAGCCTGTGATGAAATGGTGTCAAGTCTATACAGTGTCAATGCAACATGTACAGATTCATCTCCTTCACCTGCGCAACATGGGGCGTACCTTTTGACATCTCATTGTCGTGTTACTCGGTGCTTATATTGTACGTTGCAACATTTCTTTCAACTGCTCTATTATACCCGCAAGAAAAAAACAGTAAAGTAAAATGATCGTTATGCCTTGGTCTATTAAATGATGTCAAGTGGAGACTATAACGTTTGCTGGAATTTGTTTGATAAACCACCCATGTTCATCCCCATAACCTTCGGAACACTGCAACCACCACATCGCACCACCCCCCACACAAACCCACCAAAAGCCCTAGTTTGTCCAGAATGGTTCCAGGTGCGTTGTTTGGCCCTGAATGGGGCCGTTTGTCGTGGCTTGTGTTGTTGCTCTGCATGATGGCATTTCGTCGTGATTTCTGACTTAACAGAGTGGGCTATATTCTTGGTTCTTTCGGTAAAGTCACGTAGAAGGGAAATTATAAAATAATACAAACATAAAACAATAAAAATTCTCACGACGTTTTGACTGCAACGCAAGCAATCATCAGGTGTGAAATCCACAGCAAGAAAATTTGGCGGTTTTTCATAACGTGGGCCATGTGAAGGCTGCTATCTTTCACTCCACCTTACCAAACATCCTAAGTTTGGCCAGAATGCTAGCCTTTCACGACCACCTGAAAAAGGTAGCTGCCAGGACCAAACGGGTGAACCTGGTCCAGAAAGTGGCAATCACAAGATGGGGAGCATCAGCACCCTCAAGTTTAAAGTTTCATTTATTAGGTATAGCCCTGTGAGCCATTCGGCTCTTGCATCGGGTGCAACCGCAAAAAACAAAAACATGAACAAGAAAACATCTTAAAGTGACTGTGCAAAAATAAAATCCAAGAAAAGACAGCAAAATATTGCAGAAAAAGCACCGTACACCAACCCTGCAAAAATCCCAGTGGGATGCAAGTCAAACAACCACAAGACAACTTAGATTAAGGCCATCAGTCTAACTCTGTACTACAACAAACAAACATGTGCTGCGGACATCAGCGATGGTCCATGTGTCCTCTGGAGCCGAGTACTGTGCACCGGTATGGACCAGAAGTAGTCGCCATTCGACTTGTTGATGTCCAACTGAACACTGCAATGTGGCGTATCACTGGAACCCTCAAGTCGACTGGCTGCCTGTGCTGTTACAAATCTCTGTTGACCCATTCGCCACATCGCTGCAACCCTCTGAGAAGTCGTGTAAATCCAGAAAAAGGGTCTCGTTCTCATTCACCAGGACCTCAATAACGTCATTCGAACATCACTTGAAGTCGCGCAAGACCTATGCACTTAACCTTCAAAAATGCGAGTTGAACCCCAATGAAGTTTGGAGAGCTGAGTGGAGTTAATAAGTAATATTAAAAACAAACGTTTTAAAACACGCTTTTATGAAATGTAATAATGGCAGAACTCCACGACTCCAGGAAGTGGTCCCGAAGCTTGCCATAACGTAAGGGACCATGGCCAATTACAGCCAATGTCAGTTGAGCGTGGACAATTAGACCCAAGCCGAAACATAACATATAAAAAATAATGTTTAAAATATTTTTTTTCTATGATAGAATATAGTATTGTCATCAGTATGACATAAGTATACCAAGTTTGCTGTCGATACCACATTGGAAAGTGGGTTAAACTTTAGTTACAAGTTTTGAGGATACAACAACAGCCCGAGTGAGTTAAAAGAAAGCGTGTAAAAATTAACCCGTAAAAACAAAGTTTTTCACTATAAATCCTTTATATGCGTGGCGGCTAGAGTCATCTCGTCCTCTGGCTTGAGATGGCTGCCACCTATGGGTCAGATGATTGCCACCATTAAGCAATTGGTAATTAAATATAATTAATTTTGCCTAAACAGTGTAAAATTTTTGAAAAAAATTTTCACGAAAATAAATTGTCACGCACAACGAGTCTGTGTGCAAAATGTCAGCTCGATTGGATCACGGGAAGTGGGTTAAAAAACGACCGAAAGATTTGCACGGTCGTAAGCGCGCAAGCAAGCAAGTGAACTTAATATAAATGATTTCAAAAGAACTCGCAAACAAAACACCGCCTTGTTGTGAAAGACCCAACGCAGAAAATCCATTGTTTTTGATCTACCACGAAGCTCATGGCCCACCATGAACCGAATCCACTGCACAAAACATGGCAGCAGACGCGGATACCTAATGCACAAATGGAAAGTGAAAAACTTTACTTTGGTGTGCGACTGTGATCATCCAGAACGGACCGTAGCAATGTATAACGACGCAATCAATGCCCGATCCACAAACATACGAAGGAGCAGAGGTCGCAAACGGGTTTTGATTCCTTACCCGTACCCGGCCGGACCAGGGTCGCAAATGGGTACGGGTAGGGAACGGGTACCCATACCTGGCCGGGTACGGGTACCCGTTCCCTACCCGTACCCTACCCGAAATGAGTGACAAACGGTTACTCACCAGTGACTCACGGCTGACCCATACCTGTACCCGGCCGCACCAGGGTCACAAACGGGTACCTGTACCCGTACCTGGCCGGGTACGGGTAGCCGGGTATCGGGTAGGGTACGGGTATCGGGTACCCGGTTGCGATCTCTGCGAAGGAGACATCACAGCGATACAGTCCGGTGCTTCTGGCGCGATTGTCTGGCTTGGCCAACTGGATGTGAAATTGTAATCGTTGCTCTCCATCTACATCAGCAGCCAAACGACAGAAGAAGAAGCGAGGTGGTTTTATGAACGCCGTGTCGGCTATCCCGTAGACCTCGTGTCAATCGGGACTTTGCCCCCACTAGAATATGTTTTGCTCGTGGTAGCAGCATTGTATCAAGTACACGTCCTGATATAGTATTCGCCTATTGACGTCCTTTAATGAGTCCTTAAAATCGTGCCAATAAAATGACGTCGTTGTTTTATTCTCAAAACATTGTAACAATTGGACGTGATTTAATTTTTTATGGAATGTATTAGCACACGCTGTAACGGGCAATAAAGCATTTTAGTACCACCGTGTAAAGAATAGAGCTGAACACTGGCTCATTCATGGTTTAGGGCCACGTTATGGCCGTAGGGCTCCATTGATTCGAGCATTAATGTCTTATGTAAAGCTGATTGCAAATGATATAAGAATTCAAGAAAAGTTAAACTTTTATATTTTTTGGAGCGTGGTACGATGATGGTTGTCAACACTGGCAGCAGTTCGGTCTCTCGGCTTGGGAAACGGGCCGTCCATAAATGACGTCACGCGATTTTGGACGATTTTTAACCCCCCCCCCCCCCTTGTTACACGGCGTCACAAAAAGTCAGACCCCCCCCCTCAAATATGACGTCACAAAGCTCTGCCCCTCCCTCCCCAAAAAAAACATGCTTCAAATGGCTTTCAATAATTGTCATTGTAGTGCGTATTTAATGTGGCGCTGCACTCTGATGTTGTAGGAGAAAACATTTATTAAAAAGTCTATTTAATTAAGTAGAACGTGTTGTCTATATTATTTAAAGTTGCGCATTTTGATGTGACGTCACATTTCTCAAACTCCCCCCCCCCTCGTCACACATCGTCACAAATGTCTGACCCCCCCCCCCCCAGGTGCGTGACGTCATTTATGGACGGCCCCAACGCCGGCGAAAGTGTCCGTAAAATTGGCGTCGCAAAACGGAATACCGTATTTTAAAAAAATCGATTCTTGAACCGACTATAAACCCTGATTGGTGACGGTTAACTTATCTGCAGCGGCAGCCATCGCCCTCACAACTTCTAGAAGATAAAGGAATCCCCGTGCAAGTCGCCCATGCGTAATAGAACGCTTCATATTTTTAAATCCTTTATATTAAGTTCACTTGCTTGCTTGCGCGCTTACGACCGTGCAAATCTTTCGGTCGTTTTTTAACCCACTTCCCGTGATCCAATCGAGCTGACATTTTGCACACAGACTCGTTGTGCGTGACAATTTATTTCCGTGAAATTTTTTTCCAAAATTGTACACTTTTTAGGATTTTTTTTTATATTTAATTACCAATTGCTTAATGGTGGCAGGCAATCATCTGACCCATAGGTGGCAGCCATCTCAAGCCAGAGGAGGAGAGGACTCTAGCCGCCCGTTTCAAAGACCAATGTGGGCTGGGTTGTAGCCCATTGAACACGCATATAAAGGATTTATAGTGAAAAACTTTGTTTTTACGGGTTAATTTTTTCCCGTCCAGCTGATGTCGCTGTTTACTCAAAAAGAGCTCAGCCGGAACGTCTGTCGCCTCTTCAGTGGAAGCTGGGGGGGGGGGGGGGTCAGACGACCGGCCATGAAAAAGTGTTGGAAATTCCACGTTACTATGGCTGGAGGACGAGATTGCTCCGAGAACTCGCGCCGCATGTTTTAGAGGTCAGACATTTGTGACGTAGTGTGACGAGGGGGGGGGGGGGGGTTGAGAAATGTGACGTCACATCAAAATGCGCAACTTTAAATAAATATAGACAACACGTTCTACTTAATTAAATAGACTTTTAATACAAGTTTTCTCCTACAACATCAGAGTGCAGCGCCACATTAAATACGCACTACAATGACAATAGTTTAAAGCGATTTGAAGCATGTTTTATTTTTTGGGGGGGCAGAGCTTTGTGACGTCATATTTGAGGGGGGGTCTGACTTTTTGTGACGCCGTGTGACGAAGGGGGGGGAGGGGGGTCAAAAATCGTCCAAAATCGCGTGACGTCATTTATGGACGGCTCCTAAGATGCAGTTCCCGCACCCCCCATGAGAGCGGTTGGCTACGTACGAAAGAAGTTCCAGACACATACCGTACAAACATTACAATATAGTGATTTGGTTATATGAAAAACATACATTTGTATACAATTTAAATGGTTTTAAAATTATGAATTCTTAATCGGTGTGGTTGTAAAACGCAGGAACCGGAGAAACCCCACCACGCATAAGAATGTCAAAATACTCCGCACAGATGGATTTAAGAATTAATTCAAGAATGGATGGAGGTGGATGAGCGGCGGTTAGGAGAAAGAAGGGAGAGCGAGGGAGTGGCAGTTGTAGACACACGAAACGCCGCACAGATGGATTTAATAATCCATCCAGTAAAGGATTGACGGCGAGGTGGAAGTGAGAGAGAGACGACAAAGGGAGTGGAGAGACGTGGGGTGGGGGGTAGACATGGGAGGGGGGGCGTGGGGTGGGGGGGGACGTGGGGGTGGGGGGGGCGTGGGGTGGGGGGGAGACATGGGAGGGGGGGCGTGGGGTGGGGGGGGACGTGGAGGTGGGGGGGGCGTGGGGTGGGGGGGAGACATGGGAGGGGGGGCGTGGGGTGGGGGGAGACGTGGGAGGGGGGAGACGTGGGAGGGGGGGAGACGTGGGAGGGGGGGGCACGTGGGGGGGGGGGAGACGTGGGAGGGGGGGACACGTGGGGGGGGAGACGTGGGAGGGGGGGGCGTGGGGTGGGGGGGAGACGTGGGAGGGGGGGACGTGGGGTGGGGGGGAGACGTGGGGGGGGGGAGACGTGGGAGGGGGGGGACACGTGGGGGGGGGAGACGTGGGAGGGGGGGACACGTGGGGGGGGAGACGTGGGAGGGGGGGACGTGGGGTGGGGGGGAGACGTGGGAGGGGGGGACGTGGGGTGGGGGGGAGACGTGGGGGGGGGAGACGTGGGAGGGGGGGGGACACGTGGGGGGGGGGAGACGTGGGAGGGGGGGACGTGGGGTGGGGGGGAGACGTGGGTGGGGGGAGACGTGAGAGGGGGGGGAGACGTGGGGTGGGGGAGACGTGGGGTGGGGGGGACGTGGGGTGGGGGGTAAGCGGCTCTGCCACAGATGGATGGAGGAGGGAGGGGGGGGTGACAGGACGGGATATGGAGGGAGGAGAGAGGGAGGAGAGGGAGGTGGGGGTGTAGGGCAGGTAGGATATGAAGGTGTGGTTGAAGGAAGGCCGTCCAGAGGACCAGGTGGGTGGGTTGCCACGTACATAAGCGAGGGCGGGTGGAAGTTGAAGTGAGTTGTTCTCTACGTGGAGTCGTCTTCACATCCACTGAAATCGACTTCGTCCCGGACCTTAAACGGGACGACTGTTGCAAGGCTCGAAGGGAATTCTCACCAGGTAGGCAGCACACGCAGAACACGCCCTTGTGTGAGAAGATGGGTTCGTGTTGCATGTTGTTGTTGTCGGTGAGAGATCCGTTTTGTGTCCCGGCGTTTGTGTGCGCGGTATTTCGTGCGGTGCGCGCCGCGTACCCGGCAACGGTGAGTTCTGTTGAGTGCCGAGTGGTATCTGAACCGGTCCTGCGCGGCCACCTAGGTCGGCTCAGCCTTAAACGAGTACCGTCAATGATGCACTATGAGAACGTCAGCGCTGGTCAGAATATATTTTTTTCTTTTACCAGGTAAGGTGCAACTGGGCTATAAAGCTCTTTTTATAACTCAATCTGGCCACAAAAGATAACTCAACGAAGTGGCTTGGAGTGTGGAGATTTATAGCGGTCGCCAAATAATCTGAACGCGTGATGTTGATTCTAAATGAGGACTCGGAGAAAAATCCACTCGTCCACGTGGAGAGAAAGAACACGCAAACTCCAAATATACATAGCATCAGGGTGGCGAATCGAACCGACGACCTCCTGTAAACTCGGCGAGGTAGTTAACATCTTGCCACGAGCGCAGTGGCGTCTTTAACCACTTCCCCCCCCCCCCCCCTACCGTGTGGCGTAAAGGGCTTCACAACGCTTCCATCAACAATCCGTGTAGCCTCGACGGGAGATCGTTGTCTTTGTGCCTTCCTGCAATGTTGTCTTGAAGGCATTCAAAAGCTTTTAACGCGTGGGATTCAAACGAACGTATGGGGGTTGTTGCAATGTGCTCCTTTGGTGATACGTGATGGGCACATTCTCACAGAGAAGAGGACGATTATGACACACTGTGTGAATCTCGGCGACCCAGTTCTTGAGCGAGTGTTAAAAAAAATCGACTGGCTCGTTTTGCCGCCAGGCAACTAACCCAGCCTGTTTGTCAGCGTAATTGATGTTGTCTACGCTTATTCCGTCTACCCCTTACGAACTTTTTTCCGCCGCATCGTGCAACTATGCCTCCCCACCTTCACATCTATTCCGAGGTTGTTCTCTTTTTCGTTTTCCATTTGTCGGTTTCCAATGCATCAGTTTTTTGTGTGGATAACCCCTTTGCGGTTTACATCCTTTCGTCGATGTCAAAGCCCATCGCAGGCTCTTCATCTTGTTCTTCCTGATTTAAACGGCCGACTGTGTCTCATCCAATTCTCGTTCTGACTTCTGCATTGCCCGCCTTAATTTTCTACTTGGTTCACAGGATGTTGTATAAGGCGATGCCGATCTAATGCATTTTCACATCGGACGGACGTCTTCGATTGTTAAGCGGACGTGTTGTGCGTGACAGTTGTTTTGCTCGTGGTTATCCTGAGCCCAGCTTTGCAGCCTTCCTTGATTCAATTCTCCTAACCTCCCCCGCAGATCACATGTTCATTAGACGTCATCAAAACGGTGATGTGTATCCGATTATATTTTCGGAAAAAACTTACAGTTTTCCTGCGAATAACCTTGGCCAAAGTATGTCCGCCACGTAGGTTGGCACCTTCATGTGAGCTTATTTCCACCCGTTTCATTTTTGTACATATATTGTATTACTTGTAAATATACTTCAGTTACACCTCCCAATTTGTGGGAGCTTGGATGACTGCATTAACTTCCATCGAGTCTAGAATAGCTTTTCACACTCCACAAAGGCCAGGCACAATGTTAATCGAGTATAATGGGTCCTTTCCAGCACCTGAATCATCGTATAAATGTCGTAGAAAAACCTTGGCCAGCCTCTAATTGTATACAAATTATATTCCCAATGATCCTTGTTAACAAGTTATATTATATTTGAGCCAAGATGGGCTCACGGATCTGTCGTTTTTTCCCCTGTTTTAATGTACGAAAGATTGAGGCATTTATTGTTTTTGTAAACATTTATAATCAAGTAAATGTTCTTTAATTTCACAATTTTGGCTTCTCTACATCCATTTCGTATATTAATTATTTGTAACTACGTATACTCCGATAACTTTTAAACTTTTTATTTTAGCAGGTAAGGCTCATTGAGCTATCTAGCTCTCTTTCAAAGCGACCTGGCCACAAATGGTCCCTTAACGAAGTGGCTTATAACGTGGAAATGTATGATTATAAATGTGGAGGGAAAAACCGGAGGACCCGGAGAAAAATCGACCCGACCACGGGGAGAACATGCAATCTCCAAATATACAGCAGGCGTCGGGGTCGGAATCGAACCCGTGACCTCCTGCGTACTAGGCGAGGTTGTTAACATCTCTCCACCGACGTGCCCAATGCAAAAATGAAGTGGGTGCGTTTGTGGTTTCGCTTGAGCAATACTGTCAACACTGTCGCTTACACTCTGTATTTTTTCAACAAGCAGCATTGTGAACAGGTCAATGATTTTAAAACTGAAATCTGTAAAATGTTTCTGATTTTTGTTTTAAGTAACATACATTTTAATCTTGATTTAGCATACATTTTGTGAAATGATCCTGCTACGGAATATAAGTCATTGATCATTAGCAAAACATACTTGGCGTAAATAAAGGTATCAACCATTAAATAAATAAAATACTTAGAACGAAACCCACTATCGTGCAAATCTGCGCTCTTTCAACAGAGGAACAGGAAAACCACACAATCTCTCTCCTGAAGCGCTTGTGACGTTTAGTTCCTGCACATTGCCGCCACCACGCACATTAACAGCACAAAACGGCAGTGTGAACTGCGTGCTTGAAATGTTTGGCAAACGTATCCCTTGTATAGCGAGGTTTCCTTTTTTGAAGCAAAAAATCTCGAGTCGTCTTCACCTTCACCTAAACTGAGAGCCGGAGGAATAGTCACAGAGGAGAAGTTGCCCAGCACTATGAACCCTCGCTGGAGCCTCGTCAGTGGCGTAGTAACACGACATTATCAGCTCAGGGGGTGCGGCAATCCGTCAGGTGGAGTCCCAATATGCGATTTGTCTCCAACGGCCGCACCTCGGCTGCATTGTGTAATCGTTACGCTCGCGGTCTCGAATATTTAATGCTGTATGGGTGCTCTGTTTTAAACAATTTTTTGTTCTTTTCAAACTCTTGTTGAAAACAAATCTCATTGTGGTTGTCAAGGGGTCCCCAACTCTTAACTTTAGCCACAAGGCACCCCATTTGTGCTCCACGCTCGTTACGCAACTGACCCTCGTGTATCCCGAAACGAGGCGATGCCACGGTGAACACGTTACGGTTGCGCGGGGGTGAGATGGGAACGATGAAATGTTCATGCTACCAAGCGTGTGTGCAGCTCTTTCAGCCTTTTCTAACTTTGTAAATGTTCTTACAGAACAGGTTGGGTGCCGCACACGTGATCCATTAACGAGGCCATTTCAGCCCCTGCCTCTTGTTGGCACGCATTGATTTTTAAATTCCATTACATACTTAAACATTTTAAGTTGCACTATGTATGTATGTATGTTTACATTATTTCGCACTATACGTAGCCAACCGTACTAATCGGAGGTGCGGTGGAAGGACAAGCGTAATGCTTAAAACAATTAGTTATTGCCATTTTTTTAATACACAAAGGCAGTGGTGTACCATGGTCGACACGGACACTGGTACAGGGAATTATGGGAGCCCCCCCCCCTTCCCCCCTGTCCAGTTTTCCTCCCTCTTCATACTGCGGTGCTTGCACCCCCCCTCCACTCCTGCGGCCCGTGGGTCCTGGTGCAGCTGCACTCCCTGCACACTCGCCGTTGCTGTGCCACCACTTATCGGGTTGTTGTGTAAATATTCGGCTGAATCGTCTCACCGCGCTTGGAGGACTCGGCCCTCAATTCGAAAGCAGTGAGACTCAATTCCCGTTGGGAGGATTCACCGGGCCACTCATTTTCCTGGGTTCTGTGACAAAAAATGTACAACGGGCTTTGCCCTGTGGACAGACTGACCCTGCCATGGGAATGTGAAATTCTCACCACGAGGCTGATTTGCACGCCCAGTCCATTACTGAATGAGGCGACGAAACGATTCTGCAGTCGGCGAACCCGTGTCGTGACGGGCCGAACAAAGCGCACGTGGTCAATTGTTACATCCAATGATTAACTCTCGCATCAAAACAAGTCACGTGGTGGTCACCACTCTCAACGTTGTGCAATCCGAGGAAGCCTCAACTGCTCGCTGACAACCTGAACTGCTCCGCATCGTAGGTCCCGTGACTCGGACGATGTTGGGAGGAAGTCCCTCGAGCGGTTGCCCGCCACAGAGGGCTTCAATTCAGCCGGAACAGTCCGGAAAGCTGTTCCAGATCATTATTATGGCACATCACATCCATCTTGCCGTGTTTCGTCCTGATTTTACATACATATAAAAGCCTCTTCATAAGAATTTTGGGTCCAATAACATAGGTTTATTATGGACAGGTGTACTTTGCACTCGAGTGGTAGTGCCTTGCACCGATAATTCCACTCAAAGGCGGCCTAGAAAAACGTTCCAGAAAATATCAGGGGAGATATTCAGCCCTGCTTGTACAGTGATCGATAATAATTGGCATTACGACCTCTTTGTTAATACACTGCCGAACGAAGTGTCAGATGTGCGGGTTCTTTAACCATACTTCACCACACTGGTCAAAGGCGAGGGCCAGGACCAGTTTGAATATCAACCACTCTCATGTGAGCCGTGGCATGCCTCGTCCTCTGGGCTTTTGGGCCACTGCAGCATGACCTTTGCCTTCACCAATATCTCCTCGCAGTGACCCCTCTCCACTTTTATCTCTCTCTCTCTCTCCTCTGTACGTCACTGCATCTGCCAGCTGAGAAGGCTTCCATCCCGTGCAGTGTTCGATGTGTGATGTGGCAAAGAAGAAACCCACTGGGCGATTTTAAATTCAAATTTTCGATAGGGCCCTAGTTACAGAAACCTGGTTACACTAAAAAATAAAAATTCAGGGCTGCAACTTTAACCTTCACCTGTAAATAGTTAATAGTGCAGAGTTGAACCTTCGTTGTTTACAGAAACAGACATGACAAGCTTTTTTTTTCTGTTCCATAAACACACGC